CTTATATATTTTTTAATAGTAGCTTCATCTATTCTGTGTTTTGTAAGAATTTGCTATCTGCTATCTGCTTTGATGACATATTATTGACTGTGCACCAATAAAAAAATAGTATGAACTAATTTCAGTATTTAGTTATTAATTAAAGTCTATGAAGTATAAATCTTTCCACCTGATTACTGGTATTTACTAGAGATTATGCAACATCGAGTCTTTATCTCGAATGCGAGTTATCGCCCTTTGAACTAATGGACGCTTCGAGAAACAACACTTTAAAATAGTTAATTATGGTATGAATTATATATTTATGAAAATTTTAAGCATTAATCTTTATGAAAATCATCATTTAAAGTCAGTTGAAGGGGCATTTCGGTGATTTCAGTGGTCATTCCGGTGATTTGTAGGGGCATTTCGGTGATTACGGGGCATTCCGGTGATTCGTGTTACCCGGTACTTAATCCCCCGTTTGGTAGATAATCTACCATATCGGTAACGAATTTTACTGACCAAATGGGGGACAAAATTAGTTGTGTTTAATTCCATAGAGAGGAGTAGAATTTCGCATTATTTTAAACCATGTGGAATAAAATATAGATATTTCTCGATGTTCTGGATGAAAAAAATAAAAAATTCTATGTGCAATTTTTTGCGCAGAGTCGTTCAAAAATTTAACAAAAAACGTACCTTATGTAAACAAGTGCAATGTTTCTCCGTTTTTTACTTTAAAAGAAAATTCTCTTTTTCTCCAACGATGCTGCACCTGTCAATCATGTCCTTTACTTTCTATTTCGATTATCCGGGCAACCAATCAATTAGTGCAAACCAATCAAAACGATGATCTTTTTTAAACCTAATGAAAAGTCGGATTTGACTACGGAGGCACATTCGTGTTAATTTTCAACTAGGAAATCGGAAGAATAAAAAGTTTTGCCTTTATTTCTTTTTATTTTGAACACAATGGCTTTGTTCTTCATAGAAATAGTAAATGCAGTTGGAGTATGGCATAATTGTTGTTTTAAAACGATGTACATGGAACAAAAACAAGAATAATGGCAAAAGTCATTTTGTACATCTTTTATTGAATATTATTTTTCGAATTTATTAAATTCACCAGTAATATGCATATTAAACCCCAAAAGGTCGCATGGAATCTGCAACTTCATCCTGAAACAAAAATGACAACAAATATTACGTACAACTCTGGAAAAAATTAACTTTATGGCAAGAAGTGCCCACCATACCGGTAAGGCATGAGGAGCTCGTGTTTAACAGGATTTTATGGAGATAAACATTGACGAAGATCCATAAAGAGATTGAAAGTTAACTCATCAAGAGTTAAATCACTGTATGAAATTAGACTTTTATCCAACAAGACACAATAAAGATTTTTTTTGATCGTTTGATCAAGAAGTTCGGCTGTTACAGACAACTATGGGTATTGTTTTTACGAAGTTACGGAGAAATTACACATGGAAATTCGACCGATTTATGTTTATTGTGCGAGGAAAATGTTTACTAAAATCCCCCAATGCCTAAATAAATGCGCTTTTGTTTTATTTTAATAAAAATTGCAATAGAATAAAAAAGTCCCCCATTTGGTTAGTAAAATTCGTTACCGATATGGTAGATTATCTACCAAACGGGGGATAAAGTACCATTTGGTAGGCTGTGCCCAACCTGATAATATTTTACAGACATCACATTAAGTCAGATGTAAGTTGCATTACTAAACCAACGCCTGAACAGAGCTGATTGAAATGAAGAACATTTCCCATCAATATCTGCATTATATTCATTAAATCAAGGCGACATTATTTTTTCGTGAACTTAATTTGTTATTCCTGTGAGAACATAGCAATGCATTGGTTGTCCAGAATTACTATGGAAAAATTCCATTAAAAGAATGTGCAGCAGGCCAAATTTCTATTTGCTAAGATGTTGTTGTTAGAGCTTGCATTGACAAGTGTCCCCTGTCTTTCTTGTCCACAAATGGCAATTTGTGGGACTTGCTATAATTACTATACATGCTATGCCTAGTAGTATACATTTTGAGGTGAGTGCAGCAAGCTTTTAAAGCAATATGGCATTATACAGTCTATCTCAGCAAGATTCATTGAGACTAAAATATTTGCACTGACGTATCACTTCCAAGTCTCAGAGAATCTCAGATGGTGCCACACAGTGTGTTTTGGGAAATCTTGCATAAACCTTGACTGCTTGTTCCGATCAAAATAGCTTTATGTTGAATGCCCTGTCAACTTCAACTTTTTGTTTTGGACATATCCATTAGTACTCTCTACCATTATAAAACATACTTTCTTGTTTTTACAAAAGCTGAGATGTTGATTTTTCATAGAACTAGCAGTTCCTTAAAACATCATTCTAATCCCAAAATGCTCCTGGCCAGTCGAGGTCTGCTTCAAAATTCTTTGTCTAAGATTTGGAATAAAAACAAAATAGTGCAAAAGTATTTTCAGAAAAGTTTTTTGAAGTGATAGGCATATAAAAGGATGTCCAAAGGGAAATTATGATGATACAGTGTAGTCCTCATATTTATAGGCTTAGGTCGCCAGAAACCATAACACCATACAAAACACTGTGTGATTTTAATATTTTGTACTTTGAATTTTTGGTAAACTGTACAATTATTTGATTTTTAATTAAAAAATGCTGTAGTTTGAGAGGGAAATTTTTAAAGAGAAAATAGTACTTTAATGTATTTGTCAAGAAATATCCTTGTTTGTCAAGTGAGAAAGATATTAATCTGCAACACAACAACAAACCAAAAGTACATTTTATTGAAAAGGGGGTGATCATTTTTTGCAAGTATTAAATATTGTCATATTTGTGGACCCAGTGTGTATGAAGTCTGCAAATGTCTATACGGCTAATGGCAGAATGAATAATTTATTTGTGTTGCTGCAGTGTGGCTTTATCAATGTGATTATGTACAGTATGTTCACATAACTTCATTGATCAGAGTCCTTTAGAGAGGAGTTTACAGTTTATCTCATCTTACCTAGTACATGATTTTGGATAAAGCTGGTTACTAGAAATTGAATTTTTAAAATTATTTCAAAATACTTTGTACAACTTCTCCTGTGGTGTTGGAAGAATCTCAAAAGAAATGTTTTACATGCAGGCTTGCTACTCAAAGACACATAATTCTAGTAAACTGACTGACTTTTGATTTCAATAAGCCAGGTTGTCCTGAATACCATATAGCGGGTTTTCTTGGCGTGTGTAAAATTTCGTGTTTTGCCTGCTCAAAGGTATGCCAATAATTTTGGCGTAAATTATTTTAGCGGGCACAGGATTTTGTTTCTTTGCAGATAAACATTGGACACTAAGAAGAGTATTAACTATTTTAGCAATTACCAGTAAATTTTTAGCGGACTATCATCAAAACACCAAAATAAGCCAAAATTAGTACCCTGCTAAAATAACCTGCTATACAGTACTTTGAAAAAGTAGAAATTTTCATGCAACCTTTCAAAATTCTAATCTTCTTAGAGTGTTTTTCTGATTTCAATGTAAAAAATAACTCTTAAGAAAGAGAAACCTGATAATCATTAGCAATGTATCAAAGTAAAATACTGATTGAGCAAGATGATTACCCTGTCATAAAAACTGGAAAGCATGTATAAAAATAAGTGTCTAATAATGAAACAATACAGTCACTTAGCAAAACATGTCACGATAAAGTGATTAAAGTAATCAAATGTATAAATCATGACTACTTTTAAAGAAAAAGTAAAAGCAACTCAGTCAGCAACTATCCAAATATGAAGTATTTTATTTTTAATCATAATTCATGACATGATATTTCAAAGTACATGTTACTGTGAATCTGTGATTTATCAAGTTACTTAATTCTTTTAAAATTAATTGCATGAGCTCATATCTGTGTGGTGTTCGTTTTATTTTTTTAAAAAATTTCTTCTGGATGAGGTCAGTTTGAACATTTTGAAATATTTTATTTCAACACTATAAAATTAAACTTAGATTTTTGTATCTCCAGAAATTGTATTTACCAAGAATCTTGTAATTCATAATGGTTATATTTAAACAGAGAGTTGGTGCCTTTCAAGAAAAAGTAAAGAAGCATAGAGGAGATGGCCAGGACCCACTGCCATGGAATACAGCGGTCAAGTTCCTTATGGCACGCAAGTTTGATTGTCAAAGGGCACTAGAGTTATACATCAATCATGAGGTCAGTTAAACAGATCAGCAACAAGTTAACTCTTACATTGTACACTGAAATAAGTCTGTAATACATAACAAATATTGTTAATTTCTAAAACAAGTACAGGTAGGAATGCCATGGAAAATCAGCTCTTCCAGAATTTTTCTGTTAGATGTCAGAGAAAACGAAGAAGAAAAGGGGGGATTAATAGAATAAGGGGAAAAGTGTATAAAATGGAGTCAAAATTAAAAGTGGAAAAATTGAAGTGTAGACGAGGTGGAATCATAGTAACAGGGAAAATAAGTTTTGAAAAGTGAATCAGTCTTAACAAGGGTATTAAATGGGAAAAAAAGGGGGGGATCAGTAGAAGCAGGGGTAAAATGAGTGTACAGTAATCTTTTGCTTCATCGGTGACATGAAGACATGAAAAAATCAGCATTGGATAAAAAAAATAGTCAAAGTTATTGTCCTTACTAATTAAAATATGTATTGGCATTGTTTGGAATCTTTCGTAACTGCAGAGTTCTTGACCATTGAAGTTTTGTAAAATGTTATAAACATTCAAGTGTTAAGTCTTATTGAGGAGTATACATTTTTTCTGGTGTTGACTCTGCATTTACAGGCGGTAATATTTTTTTCTTTTTATTTTGCATTAAATATTTCAGATATTATAAATTCTTATGAAGCAAAATTTGATGTACTCAGTAAGATTAGACCCACCGTAGAAAGTTACACTTTGATAATAGCATATGAAAATTTGTGTCAGATTTAATGAGTGATACATATTTAAGTGCTTTGTGAATGTATTTTTTCCTTCCTTGTAGACAATGAGTCTTTTATTTACTTCCTTTAAGTTCGTACAGCCATATCATATTTAAGTTATCCTCCAGAGCACTCCTTCTTCCTCTGATCTTTGAATTTCATGGAATTCTACCATACATATGGCTTTGTTTTGTGATACAGTGATCGTACATTTTTATTTCTGTTGAAGACACTGAGAAGGATCTTATGTAAACTGTACTGCCTCTGAGCACATTTGTCATTGTGTACATATATTATGTCTAGATTGCAGATAGAGGATTTTCATATTTATAATTTATTTGTACGGAATTTTTCTAATGATACCATAAAACAAGATTGAACTAACTCTAAAAGAAATCATGGATGACAAATCTTGGGTTGTTTCTCGTGTGGATTATTTAAAACAGGAAAATATAAATGAAGTGAATTTATTTGGACTACAAAATGTTATTGTATGGTGTGTCAGTCATCAAATTATTAGACAAGAGGTGGGTATAATGTAATTGGCCACATATATAACAGCAATTATACAAGCTTTAACACTGTAGGAAACTTTGCTATAAATGCAATTGAAGTAAATTTCTGAAAATTTGTAGGGGACACAAATCATTTAAACATGTTAAAGAAATTCATTTAAATACATTTATAATTTTAAATTTGTGTTCATATATAGATCATCTCCTTTTTTAAGTGAAACATTACCGATAATCGAAGAAATGCATACCGGTATTAGTGTTGAAACTTTGAAGTACCAGAACACTTTTTTTTTCACTTTTCATTTGTTACTCTAGTCTGAGGTGACAGCCACCCAGCAGTGAGCATTATCTTCCTGTTAAAATAAAGGAGTAAGGAATTAAGTGATGCATAAAATTCAATTTATACAGGAATTTGAGTTTTTTTTTTGATTGGACTTACTTCAGACTGCCTTCACTGAATCTTGTCTATTTTTTTTCCTTATACACATGTAAGTGGGTCCCCAAAGATCTACTTTACAAACAGCAACAGAAAATGATACAGTGTGACTGACCTTTCCTTTGTTTGCATTGAAGTACAGTGTTTGGACATGGACATAAATTATATTTGATTACATACTACATCCTGTACTTACCCTTATTTATACTGTGTGTAGGTATACATGCAGAAAGAATGCTTATTAGATGTCGCTGTACTTTACAATAAGATTGTTCTTCTGCATATGTAATATTTGACTGATCCAATTATTAGTAAGATATGTCTCTTTTATAAATTTTCCATGCATTGACCAAATGCAAATTAAATGTTGTGAAGTGTTTGCGTTGATCTTCATACAAAGTCAAGAGTCTGTTTAGATGTCTTAATGTATTTTATGTCTTGTATTTTTTTTGATGCCTGCCTGCAAAATAGTTCCAGTATATCGATCCTTTCCCAATTTAAAAATTTCTGTGCTACACAGGGAAAATTTTTTAATTATATGAAAAATTATTTCCTAACTTATTTCCTGATTTTACCTGTGAGAGTCATGAAATATAAGATGTTGAATATTTTTGCCGTATATGAGTGGGTAGTGATATGTCCCTGTACTGTGACTTAATGATTTTCAAGCACATGCTCAGCTATATTTAAAATAAATCTGTATGCCTTGCTGAATCTGGCCCAGGTGTATTTGGTTTTTTAAGCTGACATTATTACTGAAATGGGCTTATTTATTATTAGTTTCATCATATTTCTGATATCAGTATTTGGGTTTGCCCTTCTCATTCCATCAACTGATTTCTTTTTTTGGCCAGTTCGTGCTACAGATGTGTCAAACCATTTATTTGAGGCAATCAGGAAGGGGAAGGGATGTGGAGAAAAATTTAACTCCTGGCTGGTTTAATATTGCTTGTCCATATAGGAACTCATACAGAGCTCTTGAAAAAAATCATTGCAAATATTGCTTACACATTTTGGATAAATTTCTTGAGCCACTTGCACATGCTTGCATAGTGGACTATAAGGCCTGCTACAAGTAGGAGAAAGATGGTGTTGTTTCCACTAAATGTATCTGCTGATCAAAATTTATAGCAGAAACTTCTATCCAAATAAAAAATGCAGGTGAATATTGGAAAGTACCAACCATTTATCTAAGTATTTAATACCTGCCATATCTCGAATCCACAGATACATGTACATGTATCTTAAAGTTTTTTCAGTTCCATCAGTAAGATATGATAAATTATAACAAGGTTTGACTGGATGCAAAATCACTTGTTTTCAGAAATTCAAGTTTTATCGATATCCATTTCCTAAAAGTTTTCACAAAATGAAAAGCACTTGTTCAACATACAGAAAAGCAAAGTAACTCTGATTTCAATTGTTGTGCTCCAACGGACTTGTAAAAAATATGCAGGCTCTCTTACTTAGTCTAATGTGTTTTCATCTTTTTGAGAAAAAATAATACTGTAACACTGTGTAATGCAATCTATATGAAATCAGAAGAAAAAGATTGTGTGAAATTTTTTTTATGTGTGTGTGATATTTCCTAAGGTTGTCAAACTTTCATAAGGTTAATTTGCAATCAACAGATGAATTATGTATATCATGTACATTGTATATGATTTATTTTTTTATTGAATAGGAAACAAGAAATCGAGAAGATCTAAGTATCATCCAGGCAGATGATGAACAGCTGAAAAAAGAACTCTTCACAGAGAAATTTACTATTCTGGTAAAGGTTTTTTTTTATGAACTGCAAATTTAAGTCAAGCGCAACCTTAATCAAACAAGGCACTTGTAATTAGACCAGGATAAAAGCAGTTATGAGAGATCATTTTAAGGATATTTGAGCTGTCTTTAAAATAAAAAAAAAAATTATTTGGCTTCCTCATTATCTTGGACTTGATGGGTCAGATATAAAATGTCGAGATATCCAAGAGGTTGAGATAATGAGGTTAAAACACAAAAAAAGTTAGTTTGAACTGATAAGTCAGTTAGACATATCTTTGGTTTCCAAGATACTGAAGTTAATAATTAATAATTGGAGAACAGTATAAAAAACAACCTTTTCTGAAGCTGAAAACAATTTTAAGGTTGCAGACTAATCCTCTACACTGTCCAAAACACTATTTGATACGTCGAAAAATAGGAAAGTTATTGTAAAAAGCTATTGATCTTCAAACATGTTAGAATTATTGTATTGTCATTTGATTGTCCTGACTAAATCTTTTGCCAGAGTGGCCGAGACAGGAATGGTGCTGCCATTGCTTTGTTTACAGCCCGGGTCCATCAGCCTAGCCTTACCACCCACCAGTTGGTCCTGAAGGCCCTGGTCTATCAGCTCGATGCTGCTTTAGAAAGGTAACAGACTTTGTTTCCTGAAAGTATACACTTAAGTAAAGTGGTTTGTGTCAATTGGTGTGAAGTCCTCAACTCACTTTGACTAGGTTTTGTAGATTGGACAGAAATAAACCTAAAAAGTCAATATATATGTACATTTGATGAAGGAAGAATTCAAGCATTTTTTTTAATTCCTGTTTTTAGTCTCTTGAGTTTTCAAAAGCATGGATGCTTTAGTGAAATCTTACTTGCCTGTCAGCCTGTATGTCACAGAAACTTGGTCTAAACTTTTTAATGAGGCACATATGGCTCTTTATATATCATAACCTTGATTTTTAAAGTTTTAGCTATTCCAAAATTTTATTTTCTCATAACTTATGTACTAGAAGAGACAAACCTTTCTTTAACATATGTATTGCTTGTGACAAGACCTCTCACACCTCAACTAGTAAGACTTAGATAGCAAGGGGTCAACTCTGGTTGTTCACTGTTAGTATCTTTAATGTACCATTGATCTAATCTTTCAGCATCGAAACTCAGAGAAATGGATTGGTATTTATATATGACATGACAGATTCCAAGTACTCCAATTTTGATTATGAACTCAGCAAAAAAATCCTAAACATGCTAAAGGTGAGCTGAAATGCCAAAATTTCTGAGCTTCAAGCTAATACTAGTACTGTAAAACTGATTATTTTCACAGGAGAATTAGTATAAATTTATAATATACCTAAAGAGCTGCTGTTAGGCATAAACCATTGCTCTAAAATCATTTACTTTGCTAAAATTAGTTGTATTTGTGACAAAAATATTCCTCCAAAAGGGGGATGTTTTAGTAATAAGAAATGTGTTGTTTAGACAGAATATGACTGAAATTAATACAAAAATTAGTCTCCAAGATCATACTATCTTTACCTTCTTGAGCTTTTATTTTATTTGCTTTTTTTCATAAATTTAGTATTTATTCTTGAAACACCAGATCTTGCATTACAGTAAGCTTTAAATGCATGCATGGGGGTTAAAAAAACATAATTTAAAATTTTATTTTCAGTACATTATTTACAGAATGTCTTCTAGAATTTTAATATTAGTGCCTTGTTTACAGGGTGGCTATCCAGCTAGACTCAAGAAAGTCCTCATTGTAACAGCTCCATTGTGGTTTAAGGCACCTTTTAAAATTCTCCGACTTTTTGTGCGGGAAAAATTACGAGACAGGGTTAGTATTCACTTTTATCATTTTGTCTTAACTCAAGTTAAGACATAAATTGCATGATACAAGGCTATCCTTAGCATTACAGTTTAATCTGAATATTGATCAAGAATAGGAATGCAAGGATATTGTTGTCTAATTTAAACTAGAGAAGGACAGGTGCTTACATTGTACAATTACTCTAACCACTGCGCCACACGGGCAACCCGGGGTAACTGAAACAAGCATTTTGATCAGTCCAATATTAAAATTATTGGACCACTTCCTTCAGCATCTGATTTATTGGACTCATTTTACTGATTTATTGGACTCATTTTATTGTGAAGTATTAATAAGGGCAGACCATAGATTATTAATGTATTTTCTTTTAAGAATGATAAGGAAGTGAGTTATTGACACTGAGATAGGTTCTGTATTGTGTATATTGAGCAAATTGCTTTAAATAAAAATTAAAAATTATGCCCATCTATACAAAATATACTGTTTGAATGAATTGCCATAAAGATAAACAACCATGCTCATTAATACACTGTCAAAATAAACTTTCTAAAGTATGCAGTGTTTATTTAGAACTGCGCTTAAAGTGTGCCATTCTCAATACTTGATATCGCGATTACTTAACTTAGTGGAACTCTTTCGCTTAGGAGGTAAGAATCGTCTGTTGGGTGGGGGCAATGTGCTATTCAATACAATGCAAGATCGATCATTGTAGCATTTATAAGGACAGATAAGTAAAAAATCCTGGTGGAATACCTCACTAAACAATCGCTGAACCAGCCTTATATATTTTTGAGAGGAGCCAATCCTAAATTGTCACATTTTTAACGATATTTTTAATTAAGCGGACTCATTTTATTGTAAAGTTTCATTGAAAATCATCACATTTTTAAGCAGATAAAATATTCTAAACTTTCCTTATCAGACAATCTACCATTTGGAGTTCAATATCTGGCAAAACATCGTGATTTCGGCATTAAATTGCTCGAATCATTCGATTATCACTACTGTAAACAATGTCATTTGCCCCCAGAAATTTAGACTTTTCTCGACTCCCCCGCAAAAGAGCGGTAGTAAGTTAGATAACTGCGAGGTACTCATTGGTAGTCGCGATATAACGTATTAACAGTTGTTACCTAAGCAGGGAAAAACTTACATGTATTTACCATACATTGTGTACATGTTTGAAGGTCACCCATCCCTGTGGAATTTAAATTTTATTAATGACTAAGAGGATAAAAACACCAATTGGAAAAACAACAAGAAGAAAAGTGTGATAAAATCAAATTGATGTACTATAGTTTTAATTAAAATGATAGCAGAATTTAGTAAAAACCCACCTAATTAGGCATCCTTGACATTGTTTTTTCTTGCTCTACCTATATATATATGTAAGATTTTTGATTTATACAGTCATCATTTATTTAAACTTCTTGAAAGCTGTTGGTCTAATTGGTTACTATGTTTTAGGTCTATACCATAAACTTGTCCCAGCTTACACAGCATATACCTCAAGAAGCCCTGCCCCGGCAGTTGGGGGGCATGTCTACCAGCCAGCACAAAACATGGCTAAAGCTGTGCTCCCAGTTAGCCCTTAAAGAGGAGCCCGATATGAACTCTTATTTTGTGTCATTCAAAAGAAACACAGTGGAAGACGGACAGGATTGTAGTTATCGCAGTGTGTCGAGTGACATGTCAGATCATAACTTACACCACAGTGACATCGATTCCGAGGAGTCTAAAGAAACTGTGAATGAGAAACAGAACAATGAAGACCTAGAGAAAGAGGATTCCAGTGATGAAAAAGAGGTCAATGAGGAGAAAGACGATTGGTTGAATTCTGCCCCATCCAAACGGAGGCTTGATTCTGTGAGTGAAAATGACTCAGTAAAGAGAGCAGCTCAGGAGAACAATGCGGAGATTGAGTTTGAGGAGAAATCCATCGACAGTCCTAGTAAGAAGCGGCCCTCCTCCTCCACCTCCTCAATGTCCAACAGTACGGCGGAGGACAGCATACACATGCCAGAGGAAGACGGCATGGACCTGGACCAATTAGTAGAATACACTCGTACCATGAGGAGGCATGGCCTTATGGAAGAGTATGCCAGTATTAAAATGGAGCCTCCAGCAGGAACATTCACTTTATCAAAGTAAATGATACTTTCTTAAATATTTTTACCTAGAACTTTTACCTTGTATTTTGATCTTAAAAAGTCAGTTACATGGACTATGAAAATGAATATTAAATAAAATTTTTCATAATAATGAAAGTGCACATGACGCTGAAGTAGCTCCTGTTATATTGTGAGTTTAATTTAGCTTTATCCATCTTTAAATGGTGTAATTTAGATCAGCTAACTTAAGTCAAGATCTAAAGGTCATGAAAAGTCATTCAATACTTTCATATGATGTACTTATACAAGTGTATTTAGGTCTATTGTAGGGATGTCAATTTTACTCGGACAGCTTAGTCGAATAGTTGGATGCTTTAGTCGAACGATAGTCGAATATTTGTTTAATTTTAATAATTTTTCATATCATTTTCACAGATTGACTTTTACAGACTAGTTTACAATATTTAACCTACGCTATCACCAATATACAACGAATTTCTGAATTGTAAACAAGTACACATGTACGTAGTACAATAAAAACTGTACATCAATATGTATCCAATGTATTTAATTTCAAAATTAATATATTATAGCTGCACATTTTATCTAAATGCAGGATATGAAACACTCGTATTTGTTCTTTCTTTACTTAACGGTAGTACCCCATAATTGAAGCCAATTTCTACGTGTCCGTCAATGATCTTTAAAGGTAAACAATTAAAGCGCGTCTCTTATAAAAAGAAAGAGAGGGCGAGAGCTTGGGATAAATTTTAATTCTGAAATTTTGTGCAAACAATCAATGATTGTATGAAATTAATATTAGAAAAAGAAAACACGGTTTAATTACTCTCATAACGGGCCCCAATTTACATGTACATGTATTTATAATTTTGTAGTAGCTGTTTAATTCATATTCTTTCTGAATAGTTGTACATGTATCACGTCAGATTTTAGTTTGAATCTACAAAGACTAAACAATTGCCCTCTTCATTTAAAACAGTAAGGGGTAGACAATCATTAATAAACATGTTTGATTTTCTTTCCCAATCTGCTTTTTTTCGTCATTATTGTGGAGAACTTACTTTAGGTAAGTTTCATTTGAAGACTGTGTATATGTTTTACTGATTCGGCATATAATACATCATGTTTAATGTTACACTGCAGAATACAAGTTCTGTTTCACATAAACTTGATAACACTGTTTACTTTTTTTAAGCTATACCAAAACTGTAGATTTTGAAGATTTGTTTGCCGAACACAAATCAACGTACAAATAATTTCCTTTGAACAATTATAGCATACCCTCAATTTTACATATGAAAATATTGATCTGTAAATAAATGAAATGGGCAAACAAGTTTATTGCCTTTAATTCAAAATTACTTTGATGAAACACATTTTTAACAAATAACCGACTAAAGAAATTTTAGTCGATAGTCGATATGATCGAACGATAGTCGAGTACTCGAATATTCGTTGACATCCCTAGTCTATTGTGACTATTTATTCACTACTGTAACACTTGAGTGCAACACCTAGGATTTTAAAATCAAAATTACACAAAAGATTAAAAATATCCTTTGCCTTTTAAAAGTCAATGTTTTTTTTTATTTAGAGCAAAGCACAATCTTCCAAAAAACCGCTACTCTGATGTTTTATGTTTGGACCACTCTCGAGTAGTACTCAGGGTACTGAATAATGATCCCACCTCGGACTACATTAATGCTAACTTTGTGGATGGTTATATGCACAAAAATGCCTACATATCAACTCAAGGTGAGTGATCAAATTATACAACCTCTCATAGATAGATAGAATGATGTAAAATTAAATGGCAAATTAATTTCCAACTTTGTTTTTTCTAGGTCCATTACCAAAGACCTTTGGAGATTTTTGGAGGATGGTATGGGAAAATCAGGTCATGGTCATTGTTATGACTACAAGGTATGTTTGGTAAATTTATTCCATAGCAGGTTAACTTAAGAAAAGTACATGTTATTAATCTTTTTGTATTGTAATAGATCAATTTGCATTAATCGATTTTTGATGCTATAATGAATGAAATTTAAAATTTAAAATGATGCAAAAGTGTCCCTCCCTGGCACTTTCTTGTAAGCATGCTTTAATGCACCAGGTATCTTTTTTTTTTGGAGGGAGTGGGGTAAAAGACATTAACACATTAACATGATTGATATGATCATCTTTAATTAGTGGAGCAATGACAACAAAATGTATTGAGCCATAGATGAGGAACATACTGTATTTTTCTGTAGGGCTGTGGAGCGAGGGCGGGCTAAGTGTGGACAGTACTGGCCGCCAGACGAAGACGGGGAGGAACAGTTTGATGATTACCTCGTAATTAACACACGTATGGAGGTGTACCAGGACTACAATATCTCCTGGCTTTTCCTGCTTAATACAAAGGTAAGGAAATCAGAATGCTGTATATCAACACAAATGTTTGACCATCTGGATCTGGATGGACTAATGAAGAATCAGGAGCCTAATAATATTTTCTTATTTTCTTGTAAAAAATCTGGATGGATAACATATTTCTTTCATGTAAAAAATCTGACATTTGAAATATCTATTTATGTCTATTCACACACAAACTGGCAATGAATACTTTTTTTTTTTGGCAGACAAATGAATTTTGCCAGATTGTGGATTTGCAGACCATTGAATCTTTGAAGAGTTATGAATTATTTTGTGGGCAATTGAATCTGTTTTATAGATAAACCAATCCCATACTTATTGTTTTCTATACAATTGAATCTCATCAGACTTACTACCAGTAATTGTTTTGTAGACACACCAATCTCATCAGATTTACTAATTATATGTAGACAAATGAGTCTCGGCAGATTTACTACTTGTTTTGTAGACAAATGAGTCTCGGCAGATTTACCACCTACAGTTCACGTCTTGGCCTGACTACGGGACCCCCAGCTCAGCTGCAGCGTTCCTGGATTTTCTGTTCAAAGTGCGAGCCTGCCAGGAGGAGGCGGTCAGCTCTCTGGGGTCCAGCTGGCAGGGCCACCCCCTGGGTCCCCCAATCGTAGTCCACTGTAGTGCTGGCATTGGGAGAACAGGTAAACATGTCCTCAGATTGAAGTTGTCAGGTCCTTATACCGAGGTGAGCAGCCTGCAGATTGTTGGTGTGAGGCCCTTTATACTGTAGTACCTCAATCACAAACTTGCCATCATAAAGATTTGCCATCTCCTTAGGCATTGTGATTTGTATAGCTGATCAATGTGATATTGCCTGCTTTTTCATTATTAGGTAAATTGTGTTCAACAGTGAAATGTTCTCTGCCTATCCCTTATTGTAATGATTTCAAAAGTGCATTGGTGGTATTGTATTATAAAAGATGGCTGATAAGGAAGGAACAATAAGTTCATTGTTTATGAATAAGTTAATTGTTACTTTTTCGTTATAGGCACATTCATCACAACTGATGTCAGTCTCCGCAGACTTGAACATATACAAACAGTGAACATAAGAGACACGGTCCGTCGCATCCGGTCACAGCGAGCCTTTAGTATACAAATGCCTGACCAGTATGTGTTTTGTCACTTCGCCATCATTGAACATGGCATGCGGGAGGGCGTTGTGGGAGACGTGGATTGGACTGGATTTGATGATAGTGATAGTGACCTGAGTGATTGAGGGCATTTCCAATCATGTGACACTTCAGATGGCATGTCATGTGATATCTCATGTGATTTGACATTTCATTTGGTTTATCATGTGATGCCATATGGTGTAGATTTGTTAATATTTTCTCAGTTTTAAGTGATTAATGTACAGTGTATTTATGTTATTTTTTATTAATTTACTTGGTATTTTTTTGTAGTACATGTACTTTTGTTACTTTTGTATAGCAGTGGAAAAAAAGATTGTTATTTTTGTATGAAATCTTTTTTTGGGTAGCTCATTGTTGTTTTCAAAAATCAATTGCTAGTCCTTCAGTGGAAACAACCATTGGATATAATCATTTACGTATATGTGTCTTTAATTTATATAATGATGAAATTAATTTATAAGTACATCATCATTTTGTCCACATTTTAAAGGTGCCAATTTTCTTTCATAAATCAATGTTTGTCAACTAAGTTGACATTTTCCTAGATCTGAGGGTTCAGCTTTATAGTGTTAATACCGCTACATGGTATGTAACACTTTAAATACACTGTATTACAGTGTATAATTTTGGATATCTCGGCTACATCTTAAGCTTTTCATCAGTAAATGTTAATTTTGTATGATAGAAGTGTGAAAAAATTAACAAAGAAAAAAACTTTAAAATCAAACACTCATTTTGTTGAATTTTTCTTGTTGGGGGTGGGGGGTTGAATAAATAGACTAATTCACAATGTCTGGTATTGTGAATTTACTATTGTAAAAGTTATTTTTCTATGTTTGCAAAGGCTGTGATTTTTTTGCAATATTCAGCTGTTAAATAAAAGCTTTCCATTCTCCTTTAAAAGCCTCAATATTGGACAATTAGAAAAATATATTATCTATATTTACTAAAACATGATGTACATGTACATTTTATAAACCTTTATTTGTCATGCTAAAAGAATACTTTTATTAAATCTTAAATTTTCAAATCAATTTGATTTTCTCTGCATTGTAAGTTAAACATAATTTTCTCTAAAACAGTATTACCAAGCACTTTGCCAGCCAAAAACTATACCATGGTGGAAATGCCTAGTACAGTCAAACTTTGTTAATTTGAATGCTTGTGTTCCCAAGAAAATCATTTAGCCCAGGACATTGTATAATTGCTAGACATAAATGTTTAATTTTTTTTCTCCAAATGACGGGAAGGTTAAGCATCCAGATATTTAGTGACCCAGATGAACAAGGCTTCGCTGTAATTACTTTTTGTATTCAACATTTATGTCAGGTATATACATACAACTAGGTAAATAGATTGATTACAGTTTTCCATTAATTCTTGAATATCTCCTTGAGTTTCATGCATTTCTGTGCAAGACTGATTGTATTTCTTTAAGAGATAAAAAAAATTATGCAATCTTTTTGATTATACCAGGTACTAGCATGAATTGATTCATCAAAATATTAGGGGATAATCAGGTCTGGCATTTCATTTCCAAGCATCTGCTTGACTTTTATATCCCCCCCCCCTCCAAAAAAAAATGCATGTCATGCTCAGGCATGCTGGTTGATTGCTTTTTTGGTACTAAATTGTATATAGAGAATTTATTAACATAGAAGAACTGTTTTGAAATTATACCACCTTCACACCGATGCTCATATCAGTTTGAAGTAAAATATATAGCAGAATTTAATAATGTAATTACACCTATTTTATTAAAATATATATTAGTGTATATATCAATTTAATAACACTTTCCTGTGAAATCCACTTACTGTAATAACATATTAATAACATATTACATATTAATTTTTTCATTTAATAAACACTCGAGAAATAAATGTCATGTACAGGACACCAGGAGGATATAGTTTGGCTTCAGAAGAAGGGTTTATTAGTAGTCAAGATAAAACTGTTCAGAAAATCTGAAAATAAAGAATTTACTTAAAGACAATCAGGTATGATGTGTACTAACTAAGGAAAAATAATTTTTATGAAAGTTTCTTTTAATGTACAGAAAAATCATTTTGTTCACTAAGAATATGAGATGTTATTAAATTATAATATTTTTATGTTTTTTAAAGAAACTGATGATTTTTTTTCATTCTGTACTTTTTAGATTAATGCATTTAAACAAAGAATCAAATATCAAATTTATAATCTCCCTTTCATATATTATTGTGATATTCAAATACAAAAATGCTGATTTTTTTTATGTAATAAAAGATCAATAATTAAATGTATGCACACTGTATAAAATGTTTACATTTAAGTTATTTGGGGTTTTTTCTCCATATGCATGTCAAGCCTCTAGACTTAAAAACAATGGAAAACAGTAATTGCAATAGGGTACCAACAAAACTAGTAAACTAGTTCATCTTAACCTCTCTTTTCTCTATATGCTATTTTATCAAGATTTCAATTTCTCTGTCCAGTTTTAATGATAATTAAAATATTTCATCATTGATTCTCAAACATGGATTTTTATAATTGTACTAAAGGATGATATACTTCTTCAGAAATGTTCAATGAATATTTTGATATACCTGCATGTATATGAATATTTTCTTTTAAGTGTGTATTGGTTTCATTAAGAAAGCAAGACTTGGCATTAACATTGTAACCCAGTTGGGTGCTGAATGTAACTGTGCATGAACCTAGAGGAAATTGAATTTACATTCCAGCTGTTTTCAATTAATCTGTATAAATTATGGTTTAATGATTTTGGTTAAATAATATGAAACACATTCAAAAGTAAAACACAGCTTTTCAATTTTTTCAAGTATGTTTTCCCCAAAGCTTTTTTTAAAAATTACTATTGAAAAAATATACTTCCAAAATTTGGTCAGGAATGTCTTTTTAAGTATGATGCAAAAACTGTAATAATACATTTTCTTTATATTAATGAAAAAATGAAGCCATGCATTTTTAACTCATTGACAGTGATCTAAATTAACACTTTACAAATTTAATTTTTTTAAATTAATTTTCAGAAGTGAAGTTAGAAATGGGCCAGTAGATCATGTTGTGTTGTTATTGTTGTGGTGTCTTAATTCCTATGACTGTGCGTTATTATTAATCACCATGTCTATCAATATTGTCATTTCATGATACATGTAAAAGAATAAAGTTATAAAATACACAGTTCCATTGCTTTTGTTGAAGATTATTTTATGTGCAAGTGTATGACTCTTTAAAAGTCTCTATGGGGTTTTATCACTGAGTAGAGGGTAGGGCATTTGCTCTCTTTGTGACACTGCAATTGACACATATTTCCCGATGTCCACATTTTGAGATGGTTTTGTCCAGTGATATTCTTTCACCTACAAATTAAGGATCAACCAGAAATCTGATAAGACTGTAGTTCTACTGATATATGCTTACTTCATTGCAAAAAGCTTATAGGTGTTCTGATAAATTGCTTGGAAACTAAAATGTTCACAGACAGAATGGCATAGGATAGACCCAAATTAATATCCTTCACTTTCAGTAAAAGCATTGGATGGTTTTATACACTGCAGTCCCCAAATATGACTATTGTAAATAATACATGTTTAACCTAGTGTATATTGCCATTTTTTATGCCCCCGTAAACGAAGTTTTGGGGGTATATAGTTTTTGCCTTGTCCATCTGTCTGTATAGCTGTCCGCAAAAACTTTAACCTTGCCCATTACTTTTGATTGGGTGGGACTATGGCTCTCTATTTCACAGGTGTATTCTTTGTGACAAGATCTTTCTTTGGGTACCTCCAAAGTTGACATCTTGACGTTGACACACTTTTATACCAATATTCCAAAATTTTACTTTAGCCATAACTTTTGAATGGTTGGTGATAGGACTTTCACATTTCATATAAGTATTCTTTGTGACAAGATCTTACAAAGGATATCATCAACTTTGACCTTAAATTTGAAGACTAGCCTACTTTTAAAAAAACTTTACCTTGGCCATAATTTTGAACAATAAGGGTTAGGGCTTTCATACTTCACATATGTAAACAGTAATATTAGACTTATCATTGGATACCAACAACCTTAAAATAGAAGATTGACCTACTTTTAAAAAACTCTAATCTTGGCCTTAATTTTGAATGATAAGGGTTAGGGCTTTCATACTTCACATATGTAAACAGTAAGACTAGACCTATCATTGGATATCAACAACTTTGACCTTTTGACATTGACCTTGGAGATTTATTTACTTTTAAAAACTTTAACCTTGGCATAGCTTTTGAAAGGGCTAGGGCTTTCATACTTCTCATGTCTATTCTTTGTGATAAGGTCTTGCATTGGATACCAACCCATTTGACCTTTTGACCTTGCCTTGGAGATTGACCTAGTTTCAAAAACTTAACCTTGGCCATGTTTTGAACGGTAAGGGCTAGGGCTTTTATACTTCTGGTATGTATTCTTTGTGATAAGACCTTCCATTGGATACCAACATCTTTGATCTACTGACCTTGATGATTGACCTCCTTTAAAAAAAACATTAACCTTGGCCATAACTTCTGAATGGTAAGGGATAGGGCTTTCATACTTCAAATATGTAATCCTTGTGACAAGACTTCATAGGATACCAATAACTCTGACCGTTTCACCTTGACCGTAGAGATTAACCTACTTTTTCAAAACTTTAACCTTGGCAATAACTTTTGAATGGTTGGTGCTAGGACTTTCATATTTCCCATATGCATTCTTTGTGACAAAAACCTTCCATTAGATACCAACAACCTTGACCCTTTGACCTTAACCCTGTAGTTTTGCCTACCTTTAAAAAATGTTAACCTTGGCCAAAACTTTTGAACAGATTGTGCTTGGGTTTAATATTTCATGTTTGTATTTCTTGTGAGAAGGCCTTACTTTGGGTATCAACATGTTTGATTTGCATTCGTGAAAATTTAACCTTCACTATGTTGCCATACAGACTGGAGAGGCATCAGTGTTTCACAAACACATCTTGTTTCTATAAGTGATCACCTTGCTTATTGGTGAAACAATTAAGTCTTACAGAGAAGCCTAAAATCCAGTTCACTGCTTTCATTTAATAACTTGAAATGTACAATGTATAACAATGTGCAATATCTTAACAAAAGTATCAAATTTACAACATTCCTTATCATATATATATAGATTTGATTTCATTCATGATGGTAATTAGGTCAATTCCCTTCTATTACATTTTCAACATAACATATAAACCAAAGTTTCTGATGAGACTGTAACTCTACTGGTTTGTACTTAAAACAAGTAGCACTAGTAATGGCCTTGAAACAATGCATAGGTGATAAATATGATCCTCACTTTATTTGTTGCAAGATTCATTGTAATCAGTCTTCTTGTGTGCCAAATTATATTGAAATCATATAAAATATGTAGGAGTAGCATTTGAAAAATTGTCAACTGGCAATCTTACATGTATGGATGGACAACAGACACCTTATTATTACAAAATCTCTTATGGACTCTGACCAGTAAAATATACATTCTAATATACATGTAGTATATTTCTATGTGATTGGATATTGAAAGGTACTTTCATCTTTAATTACTTGTTGTCGTCGCTCTGTATTTCTTTTTGAAATTGCACTCTTCCAAACATTTTATTTACTTCTTTTAAAGTAACTTAGAAGACTATTTGATTGAGCAGTCTTCACATTTTTGGTTTGTTGATTCTTATTTTTGACTTGTTTTACACGAGCCCATTCAGCTTTGCTTTCTTCCTCTTTAACCAATTCCTCCTGAATGTCTGTTGGTAAGCTTAAGAAGACATCTCTGTCATACCCTGTCGGGACAAATGAAGTTTCAGCAGTCTGAGGCACTGAAGCATTAGACTTAAAATCTGGGTCGTTACTTCCACCTAGCTGAACTGTGCATGACTTTAAATGTAAACTCTTTGTCTTTGTCTCACAGGGGTTGTCATGCCTATGATCACTTTCAATTGATACACTTTCCATTTCACCATTAACAGAAATATTAGTACTGGGTGGAAATTTAGACCTGGCTTCCATTATTTCTTTTTGGATGTCTGGAGGAAGAAGCGAAAACACTTCCCCATCAATAGAATCCATGTGTTCTGGACTTACACACTGAGAAGACTTAGAATCCAGTTGATTCGGATCTGTAGACTGAGAAGACTTAGAATCCAACTGATTTGGACTTAAACACTGAGAAGACTCAGAGGGAGTTCTTTTAAGCCTCTTGCTGAAAAAGCCCGACTCAGCCAAGGAGGATTTCCGTTTGGTGAATGATTGACATATGATGTCATTTTTGTTCCTCTGACTTTCTAGAGAAATTGTGTTGAGTACGGCTGGTGTTTTTACAGGGGACATGTTACTGACATCTAACTTCCTTGAATTATTTAAGTTATAATCAGCACTTGTCTCAGATCTAGAGGAAGAGCACTCCTTGTCCATCTGACTTGAAGTACAAGTCAGTTCCTCACCACACACAGTTTTCTTACTGCTGTTTGTTTCAGTAATACAGGACTCCTTGTTAATGTACAAAGCCTTCTGGCTGCTCTTGTCTTTTTTTGGAGAAAAGAAATGACTGATTGAGTTTTTGTTTCTTTCTATAAGATTGCAGAAGGCCACATTGATAAGGGTCAAATGAAATGGCATCCTGACATCCACCAGCTTGTTAAATAGATTCATAACAATGACTTCTAATTTACCACAGGTTTGCTGTTGGTTCTCTGAAAAAATGTTTATAATAAATTAAAATGAATGATTCTTTTTTCAAAATTTGTTAGGTAATGTACAGTACTTGTATAGCCCTTGCCCTCTATCATAGTAAATGACCAGTCCTAATATATATTTTAAAAATGTCAGAAAAACATGCTAAGTTGCACATGTATAACAATTAAGTACATAGTTATAACATAACATGTTAAGTTTTGATCATTTCATTACAGTGTAAATGCCCATTGATCTTTAATTGATATATCATACAAGTTATAACCAAAACATGATTTATGAGATGAAATCTTATAGCAATTTTAGATCAGAGAGAGGAACTATAATGGAACACAAATATTCTTTATATGTGTGTACCTTTTGTTAGCTTTGAAAGGACATGGCTTGGAATGTTACATTGTTTCGATTCCCTGTTAAGGTATTTGTTTTCAGCACTCAGTCTACGAATGGTCAATCTCACTGTTCCTGCAATTCTCCCATCTTCTACTAGCCTACAAAAAGTGGACTAATATTTATAAATAATAAAAGCCTTCTAATAAAAGTATGGCCTTTTTTTTTTAATGCTGAAAAAATAAATTGGGTTTAAATAGACTTGTGGAATTAAGTCCATGGGGCATAACTCTGTCATAAATTGCTTGATTAGACCCAAAACAGAACTTGACCTAGTAGATATTCTTAAGATAAATTTGTATATTAAATTTCACAACAGTATGTGCAACCTCTGCAAAGAAAATAAACGTAAACTGCAAATAATTGGAATTTTTCTATGTCCAGGGGGCATAACTCTATCAAATATTGCTAGATTATACCCATAACAGAAGTTGGCCTATATTTTTATGATAAATCTGTATACCAAATTTCATTTCCATATGTGCAAATTCTGCAAAGAAAATGAATGGAAACTGTTTGAGGACTAACAAACAGACACACAATAACCAAGAACAGCAAAATCAATATGCCCTCCCTTCTTTGAAGGTGGGCAAAAACGGTATTTCGGCCATTAAAACTTGAATGCAAAGGAATGTTCATGAGAAATTGATTTTAAAACCAGTGAAAAAAGTGAATTTCTCTTATTGAAACCCTTTCATAAAGAAGGTGGAACATTTTATCCATTGAAATTGGGCTTTAATCATCAACAGATTTTCAAATACTCAATGAATGGTCATATGACCTTTAATCTTTCTGTATGTCTAACTTATGTAAAAAATAATTACCTATACACCTCAGTAGACATACCTTATTACTAAACTTTTGAGCAATTGTTTAATTTTCTCATTTGCCTCTTTCACAGTGCAGCAGCTTTTGAAGGAATCCTCATCACTCAATGTCTGTCAAAGATTTAAACAGATGAAAAAATTAATCTACATGTTACTTTCTTCATGCCAAACATAATCATGTGACCATAAGCTGTACACCCATTCAAAATAATGTCCTGTACCCGCATGTACCTGGGGTTTGCTGTAAGGAGTTACAGGATTGTTATCAATCCCATGACTGAGCTCTTTTATGGTAGCAGCCATATTGTCTCCCAGCTCCCTCCTCAGATCCTCTAGAGGGCACTGCTGTAGGTCTGTCATGGTAACCACACCAAACTCAGCAAGCTTCTTAGCTGTGGCTGAACCAATACCTTATACAAAAGTATAGTGACGATTTGTCATACGAGCATATATATATATACATCATTTTATGTCCATTTCATATTTTTTTTTTAGTGAATCAGAACTTAAGACTGTACATTAAATTTACACAAATCAAATGTTCATTATTTTACTGACATAATGTAAACATAATTCATGATTGTTTAAATCTGACAGAATTATGTAAATATCAAGCATTTGTATGAATATATGAAAATATTTAGTTAACATGCCAGAATCCCCCTTCTCCTACCCCATTACACAATCACTACTTGTCTAAAATATAATCATAAACATACCACATCTGTAAGTTTCTTTGAATACCCTTTGTCATTACATGTACCTGGAAAGTTATCCAATCACTGAACATAAACTTGTGAAATTGTATAAATTGTGTTACATGTAAATAAATGAACACACAGAGAGGTGGACACAGTGATTCCAGTTCAATCCCCCACTTCATGACAGAGGGTATCATTACAGATGATAATCTATGTAAATGCATTATTGCATAAGATAATGATTGTGTGTTAAAGACCAGATAAACAGTCTGAAGCAGATACCTGGTATATTCCTTGCCTTTGGAAGACTGGCCATAAAAGCTTCAACTTGATGGGAAAACAATGCGGTCTGTTGATTGGGTTTGTGCTGTTCTCCTACAAGTTTAGCCAACAGTTTGTTGTGTGAGATGCCAGCACAGCAGGTCAACCCAATCTCTTTGTGGAGAGCTGCACGAATCTCCTCAGCAATGTGGGAACCAGTCAAAATCCGCTCATAGCAACCACAGGTACAAATGTCCTCTTCTGTGAAAGTGAGATACAAATGTACAAGATATTTTGTCAAGTTTTGATATAAAATTGTCAATGGCCTTGCATTGAATTAAAAAGTAACTGGTTACCTTTATCTTCATGTTTGTCTCCAAACACATGTCCAGCAACTTTCAAGTTGTTTTCTCTTTTTCTCTGGTCTACCAAGTCTGTCACATCTAGATAATTCTCATCCATTCCTAGTCTCTCTACATAGGATGTGTACTTGTTCAAAAACTCTGTTAGAAAATATTAGCACATGAAAAAATGTTCAGCCACAAAATTTTAATTTCTGTAAAATTCTGATGTAAAGGATACTAATACTTGTACATCTACTACACTTAATACCCTTGTTAAGACTGATTCCCTTTTCAAAACTTATTTTCCCTGTTACTATGATTCCACCACTTCTACACTTTAAATTTTCCACTTTTAATTTTGATTCCATTTTCTACACTTTTCCCCTTATTCTATTCTCCATCCCCCCATTTTTCTTCGTCTTTGATGTACATGAGCTTTTCTACTTTCTGACATCTAACAGAAAAATGTTCTTCTGCTGAATTCCTGTCAAAGTATACACATACATGTATTAAATTTGAACATTATTACAGGTTTTGCAGTATTTTATCATAGCTGTACAAACCCAGTGGCTTATCTCTGAGTGATGGATTCCTGATCATTTCCACTTGGGCATAAAAGCAGTCCACATCAATATGAATAATGGTTCTCTCGTGAGTAGGTTGAGCAAGTGCTGTTTGAAATAAGAATATAATGACATTTTTTCATTACATTGTATTAAGATTTGGTCCTTATTTTAAATTCAATTTAAAGGTAGTTTGATTTTCTTTGACCATTAAGATTCCTAGTTTAAGAATCACTTTAACGACGCCTGATCTACTTGATCTGCGCAAACGTTTTAGCGCAGCGTTGACTCAGGCATATCACAGTACCTCTGACTGCCGTCACAATTGAATACAATAACGTCACAATTAAAATGACGTCAAATTGGATTGCGCTAAAATGCTTTGCTGATCTTGGATACCTGGTAGCTCTATAGACTGTGCATGGTAAAAGCTGGTATTTATTTTGAGATATCAATTTCTTGGAACATATTCATTAATTTTTTCTTGTTTTATTTCAGCTTGTCAGTTAAAAAACACACACTGCAACCAAATGTAAACAATTTTAGTCTTTCTCCTTGAACATGTTGAAGAGTTTATACACACCCTCTTTTATTGAGGACTTAAATATGCATGGATAAGTCTATGAATCATTTAAATGCAACCCCTGAAATATCTTATTTTTCTATGTATTACATGATATTCGTAAATATTCGTAATTTTGTCGTGTTTAACCCCCCCTTTTTTTCAGGTAAAACAACATAGCGTGTTAAGAAATATAAAGAATGGAGAGGAAATTATTTCATAATGTAAGAATTATTTATTTTTCAGAAACTAACACAGTATTGCAATAGTGTGTTGATGTTATGTAAACCCATTGCGACTTATAAAATATCTAGTTGGATAAAATAAATCCTAGTTTTGTGTTTTGATATGCCCCCTTCTCACTGCAATAAAGGCTACCTTAAATTTTCTTTTCATTTTTTATTAGAACAATGAAAATTGCATGATATTTGTCAATTTCTTTGTTTATTGGAGAGTTTTAGTATGTAATTGTATATAAAAATGCGAAAAATGGTCCATATCTTGACAGTGCCCCCAGTTGACTACAATAAAGGCAAGGTAACAAAATTTCATTCTAATTTTTGTTAGCATAATACATACAAATATATTTCTAAAAATTAAAAAATTTTATCATTCCGTTTTCGTAATTTTCAACTAGATCGGGCCTCGTTAATAGTAATTTAGTTTTCTTTACCATGCAGTTTCTTACATAATTTAGATATCTTTCTTCAATCCTTGAGAGAGAGAGAGAAAAGAGAGAGAGAGAGATGAACTAGTTGATCTAACAAATACAGAGAGAGAGTGGAATGACTCCCGAATATCTTCGTAAGAGAATTTCAGTCTTCAACTTCTTATAACCAAGTGCGCTTATCTCTGACCAAAATTTCGTACAAACTTATTCAAGACCTCTTTTCAGTATTCAGGTGTACATTGGGCATAAACTTCCCCAACACATTAGATTCTCTCATTCTCTACGAACATTCAAGCGTAATGTGGAAAATTACATTAAGCTGGTTCTCTCATTTGAGCATAATAAGAGTTCAATATCGTATATTGTACTGTTATTGTTAAGATGTGTTGAATTCATAATTCAGTGATAATTCTCAAACCTATATAACATGTACTTAATTGTATGTGATTATGATGATTTGTATCTTGATGAAGTGTATATATTTTGTATTTGATATATGTACATATATAGAGAGGGCCCTGGGGAAGAATAGTGAATGCACTAACCAGGTTACCTTCTTTAAATAAAGTTTTATTATTATTATTATTATTATAATCATTTTGAATGTCATCTTAACTAACTAGTCTGAAAACACCGCATCAAAAGACATGGTAACCGACAATTACGTGGATTCCTTGTTTATCAATACAGGTGGTCCAATGTACAAGTAGAAACATGTAATATTCCATGTATACCTTTCTCCAGTGATCTGTTTTGCAGCTTCAGTCTATTTGTGGGACTCTGTTTGTCACTTATAATGTCCATAATAGGTTTGCTCCATGATTCCTCTTCTTCGTCCATTTTACAATGCATCTTTAATGTTTAAACCTATACATAGTGACTTAGGTTAGAAAATATAAACCTTTTCCTTCAGGACTGTTCTTACATAAACCTATTATACAACGTATGTACAATCAAAGTCCTTTGTTACTAGGATTCAATTATTAAATCAAATTCTGTTAGTTTTCTAAGTGCTTTTAGTACCAGTACATTAAGATTATTACATCGTTTCCTCACTTCAATACCTGGTAGTTTTTTGCTTTGACACAAACGTTAGCCTCTGTAGAGTAAGCATGGCGTGAACTCCAAAAAAGCTTTGGCTCCGTCATGCATTGCGGCAAAATGGCTTCCGATTATCAATGGATTGTCGTTCGCTTTCTCCACAAATAAGACTGAATAATGGCTGTATTTAGTAAACTGTGACTGGATTTCAATTTTTGTTGAATAAATAATTGTACCCATTAAATTATTTAGTGGTTATTGACTTAATCACTCTGTACTCTTGCAAAATAGTGATTTGGGATATACGTAGAAATAATAAAGTCGGTAAATAAATTTTCTAACTTGTCCCCTTGATTTAAATTTTATGCCATAATTCCTACTGTAAAGATGCTTAAATTTTACTTCTAAGACACTTATATATATCGTTTTTTTTTTTATGAAAAACCGCACAATTTTGGTGGCACAGTATTAACAGGTTCAAGACACCGTGTTTTAAAAGAATGATTTTTTTTAAGTTCTTAAACCCATTATAATTCTAAAAATGTTTTCATGATTATATCTATTCATATGTGAAAACATTAGGTATATATATAGCGATGGTGATAACTAACGCTCTCAATTTTGTGTCATTTATATGACCCCTAATATTACAAATAGGTAAAAATTGGTCAATGTTTAACAGTTACAACATATATATTACATGTTCAATTTTCATATTTTTTTTTATTATATATTTAATTCCCAAAATTTTTCTTTGTATTTGATAACTTGAAACGTGTTTCTTCAAAAAAGCCTCGGAAAACATTTCATCATGTAACTGTCACCTTTTCTTATTTATGATTAAAACCATCAATTCAGTACTTTTTTAATTATTGGAAGATGTATTTACAATGCAGTTGCTCATTGCTGATCTATTGTATATAAAAATAGACATGAAAGACAGAGGAAATTCGAACTGAAAATTCGCTAGCGTTCCTTACTTACAAAAAAAACTTCTAAAATCAGTAAAAGTAGTTCTAAAATGACTAACTTAGTCACTACAAACAAATTATCAACAAAATTTTTCATAAGATTACTGTTTAATTTGTATTTTGTATCCTACTTGTACGATGTCTGGCTAATCAAGTTGGTCAACTTTGACTTGAAATTAAAAACTATTTGCACAAAATCAAAATTCTAACAAATACGTTCTCTAAAACCATTTATTATTAATCATTTCTGAGTACTTACATTATTGTAAGGTAATCCAATTTTTTGCAAAAACACTTTTTATAAGAGCCCACTTTTCACGATTTTTCACCGTTTTTTATATAACTGCGCATGCGTTGGACTCGTTTTTTGGAGTCTTTTCTGGACTGAAATTCTCACTTCCGTTAACGCCGTTTTTGGAGTTCTTCTAGACTGCTGTAGCATACCATGCTTACACCAAATTCTACAATGTCAAGTCAGAAGTGTCCAATCCACGTACTACAGATATGGAAATTCATACATACTGGAAATTTAACCTAGAAACAATATAGCCCCAATATTGACAGGAGCATATATTCCCTCTTGACATACCAAATATTAATAATAATAATGGCAAAATATCATTTTTCTTTTTTTTCCCTCGAATTTTGTTTGCAATAAGAACTTCGATCCCGAGCGAATATGTCTTCTTTTTTAATTGTTCATCTGAGACCAAAGATTCAAAACTTAATAACATATAACAGCTATATTTCATAAATATCTATTAAAAATCAATATGCTCAAAAGGATCACTCTCAATTTTTTATCAATTAAGAATGAATTTTACATCGAATATTTTATGTATGACTACAGTATTCTAATCACGAATAACTAAAGGTATGAATTAATCAAATAAAAACCGTCAGCATTGCCTCAGCATCAATGGATTGCCAGACTTTGAACAGGAACATGATTTGATCAGCATGATGGGGGAAATGAGTGATAGATTTTATTATGTGTATAGTTGTGACCTAGATGTTAACCTTCAGATTAAAATGTAAGTCAACGAAGAATGATACTGACTTGTTTGAAAGGAGAGAACTCAGAGGCTGGGGTGTTTAAATATCTTTGACTTCATAACAGGAAATATATTTCCTCAACATCTGTCATTTTAATATAATGAATATTCGGTAACAGAGATTTAAAAGTAGATATTTTATTTTACTTTCCTTTTTATACAACTGTGGAAAATGAGAACAATAACTTGAAATTAGAAATTCATAGTTATCAGGTCCAGTACAGGTCCAGTACAATCAGTACATTTAGCTACGTAGGTAGAATTACCTACGTAGCTTTATTTACCTACCTTAGGTAGCTTTATTTAGCTATTTCAATGTAACTTTTCTTTTTATGGAAAAGAGACAAAAAATCGCAGTTAAATGACTATTGATATTTATACTAGGGAGACTTTAAAAAAACATTCCAAAGCAGAGATAGTTTAAACATCGCTGTGTTTGGTCAATTTAGAGCTAAACATGTAATTCCATTGTTTGGTTAGCTGTCCGTGCGGTGAGGCATGACTGAGTATGATTACTTTACATTGTGCTGAATAATTACTGACCTATTATCGTGTTAACCAGAACTGGATTTCTTTGTCATTTCATTCAAGGAGAAACTGCTCTAACTGTCATACATAGCCCCAAAACTTTCAAAACTTTGATTGCAATTGCTCAGAAAAAGACATTTCTTCAAGAGGGAATTTTTCATGAATTGTTTTCAGATGAGTTCAAAGTTGAAAATGATCACTGCATCAAAATGATAGTTTTTGCACATCCTGAGAAAAATGCTTTTTTATAGAAATAAATTCATTTGGTTGCTAAATCAAGCTACCTGAGGTAGGTAAATAAAGCTACGTAGGTAATTCTACCTACGTAGCTAAATGTACTGATTGTACTGGACCTGCAGTACATTCAGTACATTTAGCTACGTAGGTAGAATTACCTACGTAGCTTTATTTATATTTAGGTAGCTTTATTTAGCTATTTCAATGTAACTTTTCTTTTTATGGAAAAGAGACAAAAAATCGCAGTTAAATGACTATTAATATTTATACTAGGGAGACTTTAAAAAAACATTCCAAAGCAGAGATAGTTTAAACATCGCTGTGTTTGGTCAATTTAGAGCTAAACATGTAATTCCATTGTTTGGTTAGCTGTCCGTGCGGTGAGGCATGACTGAGTATGATTACTTTACATTGTGCTGAATAATTACTGACCTATTATCGTGTTAACCAGAACTGGATTTCTTTGTCATTTCATTCAAGGAGAAACTGCTCTAACTGTCATACATAGCCCCAAAACTTTCAAAACTTTGATTGCAATTGCGCAGAAAAAGACATTTCTTCAAGAGGGAATTTTTCATGAATTGTTTTCAGATGAGTTCAAAGTTGAAAATGATCACTGCATCAAAATGATAGTTTTTGCACATCCTGAGAAAAATGCTTTTTTATAGAAATAAATTCATTTGGTTGCTAAATCAAGCTACCTGAGGTAGGTAAATAAAGGTACGTAGGTAATTCTACCTAATAAAAATGTACTGATTGTACTGGACCTGCAGTACATTCAGTACATTTAGCTACGTAGGTAGAATTACCTACGTAGCTTTATTTACCTACCTTAGGTAGCTTTATTTAGCTATTTCAATGTAACTTTTCTTTTTATGGAAAAGAGACAAAAAATCGCAGTTAAATGACTATTAATATTTATACTAGGGAGACTTTAAAAAAACATTCCAAAGCAGAGATAGTTTAAACATCGCTGTGTTTGGTCAATTTAGAGCTAAACATGTAATTCCATTGTTTGGTTAGCTGTCCGTGCGGTGAGGCATGACTGAGTATGATTACTTTACATTGTGCTGAATAATTACCGACCTATTATCGTGTTAACCAGAACTGGATTTCTTTGTCATTTCATTCAAGGAGAAACTGCTCTAACTGTCATACATAGCCCCAAAACTTTCAAAACTTTGATTGCAATTGCGCAGAAAAAGACATTTCTTCAAGAGGGAATTTTTCATGAATTGTTTTCAGATGAGTTCAAAGTTGAAAATGATCACTGCATCAAAATGATAGTTTTTGCACATCCTGAGAAAAATGCTTTTTTATAGAAATAAATTCATTTGGTAGCTAAATCAAGCTACCTGAGGTAGGTAAATAAAGCTACGTAGGTAATTCTACCTACGTAGCTAAATGTACTGATTGTACTGGACCTGGTTATTAATATTTATCAGAAATTGCTTCAAGTGTTTCTCTAAAAACATTGAAGACATTTGAAGTATGTTTTAGTTCTTTAAACCAATTTTAAAAATATGTCAGACTCTAAAATATGAAATCTGATATCAAAATTGATAGTTTAATTAATATGTTGTTTTTTTCAGTAAGTCATTATCAGGTTTTTATTTTGAGTATGTTCCTACTTGGTGTTTTCATACAGTGGGAGTCCCAGGACATATTCCCCTTGACATTTTCATATAAATGTAGCAAAAATCTGCATACTGAAAGCTGGGTAACCAGTCCATTTATCCCAATAAAACTGACTTGTAACATTATTGTAATTATTGCTTGACAGTTTAGCCCTAAGTCAGACTGATATTCCCAAGTCTACTGTCTTAATGAGCGGTTTTCTTGAATTGCATGACACAGCAGATTACCGTTATTTATATATTTGATATATAATAATGTATACAGTAATTTAGGCTTAACTCTTTTATGCATACCCTGGTTTTACTTTAAAGTGCTCCGACAGAGCACATGTAGGACAAGTGTCATTAATATGTAACAGAACAGACTCTTTTATTCACATAAATATTCAATGTCGTTTCAGTGTTATTGCCAAATCAAACGGTATATTAGTAGAGATTAACTGTTGAAATGTATAATTTAAGACTGTGATGACACATTTCAATAACAGAGGGACTCTGGAGGGAGAGAGACAGAGGCCGGACTATAAGGACCTATTGGAGGACCCCATGCTGAAGTTCTCGGGGGCCTACGGAGAGGGATGTTCCGATCTGTATGTCACCTGCCAGGTGTTCGCTGATGAACACCCCCTGTCTCTGTGTATGAGTACATCTTACAAAGCCTTCAGCACTCGATGGAAGTAAGTCAGGACTTATATTTAATGAGTGAACACTGAACAGTTAACTCATTTCGTGCAGACTTGGTTATAGCTGATTTCAGATAACATATATAATGAAGTTTTTCAAGAGTTCCTGACTTCCAGCAAAATTCAGAATAATTCCTTGAAAAACTTTACCATAAGCTTGGAATGAAATTATGAAATTGAAAATTGATTCTGTGTCCTTTAAGGTTAAAAGTAATAAATTTCACCAAGGATACATCTACTTAGGTATGAATTTATTAAGATTTCAAAATTTTATATCTAAATATGTTCTAGAATTTTTATTCTACCTTTATAAAACAGTTCTGGCAAATCTCCATTTCATATGGAATCTTAGGCAAATCAATGAAAAGACAGATTTGAAAAGTGACCACACTTTGGATTCAAACAGTAGAGTGTTGACATCATGCCTGACAATTCCTGTTTCTGCTCAACCTATTAATCCAGTACAATTCCTGACTTAACTTACCCTATTATTGGAGTGACTTATTTTTCAGTTGGAATGAGTGGCTAACACTGCCAGTTAAGTACAGTGACCTTCCTAGGAATGCTGTCCTGTGTCTGACAGTGTGGGACATATATGGAACAAATAAATCTATTCCTGTGGGCAGCACAACAATTCCTTTGTTTGGAAAAAGGGGGTGAGTAGACATGATATATAGAACATATAAATCCATTCCTGAAGGTAGCACAACTTTTCCTTTGATAGATAAAAGAGGGTTATAATACCCGTAATTTAGCACAAATGATTATTAAAATGTGCTGAAATAAACTTTGTAAACATTGCAGGCTTTGACATCATTAAAAACTGATAAATTTTTACTAGTAATTGATATTTTGTGCATTCATTATCTTTAATGTAAGTAAGGGAGGGAGACTTACCCGTATTTGGCCGAGTATAATACGCATTGATGTAAAATACGCACCCCCCTTTTTGAGTCTGAAACTGGGGAAAAAACGTAGTTCGGATGTATTATACGCAACAGAAAAATTTACCAAGCGATGTTCTGAACTATGAAAATCACGGTAATTTGTTACGAAAATCGGCGCGAGGATTAGGTGTCAAAAATTTACTGAACACACTTTTTTTAAAATACACACTTTATAACTTTCTCTTAATCCTGACATTCCGTATCGCTGCAATCTGGAGAAAATTATTTATTCATTTATTTCAACAAAGCACAAGATAATGTTGTGTAAAAGTATTAACAGATTTTTTTAAAGAATAGTTACGGTGATTTTGAAATTATGCGTCGCCATATTCTTAGATGAAATAATTTCATTTCAACAAAGCAAGAGATATTGTCGAAAGTTTTATCAGTTGTCATATTTAATTTTGGTTCTAGATAATAATGCTTAAAATTATCTTACAATATTTTAACAGGAAACGAAATTGAAACATCAAAGTATTTATTTCTTTAAGAAGACTACGATTTTCCTCTTTTGAATCTTCGCGGATATCTTATTTTCTAAATGATACCACTTTTATTAAAAGTTTTAGCATGTTTATATTTCATTTCTCAACTCTCAATTATTTAAACAAGAGGCCGATAAGTATAAGATAAGGTAAAATTACATTTAACAAGTGTTTAATTGTTTAAAGTGCCGTAATCAACACATGCTCACCATGCTCACACGGTACCGCTCACACATACGAAAGGTCATAAACCGACCCCAATTTTTAACAAAGAAAATAATCACAGCAATTAACATGGCAGTAAATAATCAGTGCTCTAACTGTAAAAACATTGCTTTGGAGTCGGTAGACAATTAATTGCCCCGAGGGGTGTTGATAGGTAATTATCATTTGACCAGCGCACGTGTGTCACAACATTGGCTTCCTTTCATTGGGACGTATGGAGGGGTGTTAATATTGTTGCAGATAATCACTGAGTTATTTTAAACCTAAAATTAAGATTTATTTTATTGTATTTCATTAAAAAATGATTTATTACTTTGTCTGCCAGATAAGGTGCATGTGCATATCATTCCGGATAGCATACATAGCTATGAGTGAACGTCTAAAAATAACATCGGTAATGGCGGCCTCCTCGGAGACAATCAACATGCAGCTCAAATTACTTTTAACTTACCTTTTCGTGTTATTTGGGCATAAAAAGATTATGAAAGTGACATTTTTAAGAAGCATACCTTCCAACAATAACTTTCCGAAGTTTAAAATATGGCAATTAACAAGAGAAATTGCATATGTCTCTAGGTAATACTACGGTATGTACGTATGATAGCCGTGTTTCACCTGAAAGAAAAACTTGTCAAAATCCCATTGTGATGTAAAATACGCATCCCTTTCTCACAGAAATTTATTTTAGGAAAAAAGTGCGTATTGTATTCCCCCAATTACGGTATGTATTAAATGCTGTAGTATCATTGTAGAACATACAGACAAGGTATGCATGACTTAAAGGTCTGGCCAAACACCCTCCCTGACCCTAATGTGAATTCCACCACCCCAGGGAAAACAAAAGACCACAAGGATCAGATGAGCAAATTAGCTAAGGTAAAGTTAATCAGCAAATACATAAACATTTTAGATTGTTAAAACTTAAAATCAAGTGTGCCTTTAATATTCATGTGATTTGTAAATTATTACAATTTTTAAAATTGTCTGTCAGAATTGATCGGAGGAAAAAATTTCTTGTGAGTGTGTTTTTTTTTTTAATTCAATGAAAAAATAAGCTAAGTAAAAGGTAAATATTAAAAAAGTATGTGTCAAAATGATATTTGTATTTTATGATCTGCAGTTAAGCAAAAAGCACAGAGATGGGCATATGCTGAAAGTGGACTGGTTAGATCGCCTGACATTCCGCGAGATTGAAATGATCAATGAAAAACAGAAGCGGGACTCCAAATTTATGTATTTGATGATAGAATTCCCCTTCATACATTATGATGAAACAGAATACACTGTTGTCTATTTTGAAAAGGTCAGAAAAATTAGAAAATTTCAGTAATAACAGAATACAGATGTATATTGTTATTTTCTTATTTTATATAGTAGATTTATATATACCATATATACTAGCCTATAAGTCGGTCTGCCTATAAGTCGATTGTACTTTTTGAGGTTATTTGGCAAAGATTTGCCATTGACCCGCTTATAAGTCGGTACAATGTTTTGCCAGAATCAGATGACAATTCTAAATAATAATTGACATTTTTAGAAATGAAGTGGATATTTAGGTTTAAATCATTAAAAAAATAACTAATGCCCTCTAAAGATCAAAAAAAAAAAATTATTAAATACATGTATATAAATACATGTAATTTATGTATAATCTTATAAAGCATAAATGATATAATATATCCATACTAAATGTTCAACGATAGCTGTTGAAAATGTTTATAGAATACTTTGATTCGCCATCCAGAAAAATACCAGTCTTTTTATGACTCGCCTATAAGTCGGACATAGACTTTTGGACTAAAATTGAACTCCCAAAATACTGACTTATAGGCAAGTATGTATGGTAGTTTTTATCTCATTATATTTTTTTTTTTTTGAGTTCGTGTGTGTGTGTAATGTAGTGAAATCGTTGTCTATATAATAAAGTTTAGAAGAAATTAGAGCTCAGACCAGTTGACTTCAATAGAATGAGTTTTGTATTTTAAAAAAATTAAGTAAAAATACATGTTCATGTATATATACTGTATATTTCCCTTTTCAATGAAATGAAAACTAAGGAACAGAAGAGGATAATTTACAGGGAAAGTCATAAACTGTTTAGGGGACTTAAGTATGAAACCAGTACAATTTTTCAGGGTGTAAATTGATATGTAGGGGAAGTTCCTGATAACCTTAGCGATTATAAATGGATGAAATGTGATAATTTGATTAGTGCTATATAAGCTTTTGTAATTGTTTATGATTCTTTTGGTACATATCACAATGAACATATTGAAGGCTATATTTTGAGTTTGTTTAAGAGTATCCAGGGACAGATGTTGTACATATATGTATTCCTATCTCTTCTGTATTTTTAGGATGGGGATGAACCCTTTGTTTTCAAAACAGTAGCAGACCTAGTTCAAGTTCCAGACCCAGAAATTGACATGGTAATTAAGATTTATTTCTTATATGTCTGTAAATATGTACTTAGACAATAAACAACACATTGTATGTTGGTAGTTTTGGAGTAGCATACCCTGAAGATTTTTTTTTCTTTCAGGAAAATTTAGTTGAAAGCAAGCATCACAAATTAGCCAGAAGTCTAAGAAGTGGACCAACAGACAGAGATATGAAACCAGATGCTAAAACCAGGAACCTGCTTAACGTAATTCACTTAACCTAGTCAATGAATACAGGTGTTGAGACATTACTTGTATGAATTAAGGAGCAATGATGTAATAAGAATGTAATCCGTTGTAGGAGATTGTGCGATATCCACCCACAAAGACCCTTACTTCAGAGGAGGAAGATCTGGTGTGGAAATTTAGGTTTTATCTTTGTAACCAGAAAAAGGTAGGTAGTGGATTAATCAAGTTTTGGTGACTATAGATCACCCAAGTTTAATTACTGGGGTATTCGTATGTTGATCAAAACTCAAAATCGGCACTGAGCATTTGTTAATGAGATTTGTAGTTGATTCCAATGATGGTTAAAAATAAGATGGAAGGTGATGAAATGTAATAAAAATTACAAACCAAGCATATCATTTTGAAGGCTTTGACAAAGTTCCTGAAGTGTGTGAATTGGAAGCTGCCACAGGAGTCTCGTCAGGGCATTGAACTGCTGACCCGCTGGAGCCCCATGGATGTAGAAGATGCCCTTGAACTTCTTTCCCCTGCCTTCACTCACCCCTCTGTCAGGAAGTATGCCGTGTCTCGCCTCAGACAGGCTGATGACCAGGTATAGGAGGGTTAAAGGGGAAGACAAAATGTACACTGGAGGTGTTCATTTTCTTTTAACTCCAGTTATTTTGTAACACAATATAACTTAAAAAACTATATTCTTACCCAGTATAAAAAGTAAAATTACTGTTCTGTAACAGTGCTTCTTTACAAATTGCATGTTCATTAAGATTGGCAAATTTAATTGTAAAACTGGCCTAAGGGGAAAGATAAGAAAAAAATTCCTCAGTTATGATATATGCACAGATATGATTCATTATTTGAATGTTTAATACTGAATCCTGCACCATTGACCTTCCTGCAGTTGAATTCCTTTTCTACTTCCAGGATCTGTTGCTGTACTTGCTCCAGCTGGTACAGGCCCTGAAGTACGAGGACTCTGAGGAGATAATGAGACATAACGACATCGTATCAGAGAGGAGAGATTCTACTAATGACCCTGGTGCTACAGATAAAACCAGGTCAAATGTCTTATCTACTACATCTATACACTGCCATATTTAACTCAAGAAAAACTTTATATGCAAGATAATGGGTAGTAATTTGATGAACTATTTAAAAAGTATTTGATTTAAAAAAATATATATTTTATTTTAGTTAAATTTACATACTGTATCTTGAAAGGATTTAACCAAAGGCAAGGTTTACATACCCTTTTTTCTAATTATGTTTTAATCCAAAACTTTAAACATTTCATGTACGACAGATTAAATTAATTACATGTAATATATTCTAAAAAACAGGACTACCAGTGTCCTCTCTCGAGCCTCCTCTAACGAGTCCATCCTAGACGCCCTGAGTGGATCCTCTCCTTCTCAGTCCGAGAGTCCCGAGTCTAAACTGGAGAGTGAGGTCAGTTAACCACAGGCAATGTCCAGTGCTTAAATCAACACTGTATCTTCATTTAAGTAGCCTGATCTCTGAAATTTAAAAAAAAAATTTTCTTTGAATGTATAAAATCACTGCCATGCTTTTGTATTTTTTGTTTTGCAAGATGGATTTAGCCAGCTTTTTGATCTCACGAGCTTGTAACAACTCTTCTCTTGCCAATTACTTTTACTGGTAAGAATATTGTATATTCATACCTTCATAACTTCAGTACAGTATCTCTATATTCCTTATTGGGAAGATAAATACTTATATGACTGCATTTTTGTCAATTTTTGCTACATTAATTTGAAAAAAAATGATATTTTCTCTCACCAATATTTATAATTCTTCTTATATATCCTTGTTAATGTATCTGCACTTCCCTTTCTAATGGTTACCATAGATGTAAAAATTTTGCTCTTTGGGGTAGTTTTTGCTAATAAGCAATAGGAAAATCTTGGCATGCCCCCTCCTTCAAATTATCTATGCTTACAGGTATTTTTACTCTCATTCAGGTACTTATCTGTGGAATGTGTAGACCCAAATGGCCTAGATATCAAAGATTCCAAGGTGACAAAAATGTACCAGCATGTCTTAAAAAGATTTTCACAAGCACTCTTCAAGGTAAATATTTATTAATTTATAAACAGTGAGAAGAGAAAAGTATTTCATAAGATTGTTTTCCATAAGAAGAAATTTTTATTCTCTTTTATTATTAATACTAATATAGACATCTTTTACGATGAGTTTGAAGTTACTGAACCAATCATTTATGAGAGCTTATAACTCTAAAACTGATTCAATTATTTATTCAATTCTTTTATTACTTTTTTTTTTCTAACCAAATTAAATTTTCGAATGCTTCATATATACAGTACTGTACATCATAGTTATGTAAATTTTTTGAGGAGAAATAAAGCACATGAGTCTGGATTGTGAATTTGGAATGCCTGTTAGTGTAAAGATATGTTTCATTATGTTGTGCCTGTATAAAACCCTCTGAGTTTTACTGGTTACTTTTCCAGGAGAGTCCCGAGTCCCGACAGCGGAGATCAATGATTGCGCGGCAGCAGACGTTTATAGACAGACTGGTGGATCTAGTCAAAACTGTGATGAGGGAGAGTGGAAACCGCAAGAAAAAAGTAACATGTCAACTGGTTTACTTTTGTAATCCATCAAAACTAATTACTCAACGTAGAATATTGACCTTTTAAATTTTATTTACTTGTAGATAGAGAGGTTACAAGCACTTCTTCACGACCCTGAGGCCTGCAAGTTTGACTTTTCCAATTTCGAGCCATTATCACTTCCTCTGGACCCTGATGTCAAAGTATGTGGAATCGCACCAGAAAAGGCAACTCTTTTTAAGGTGAGGAAACACATTGGAAAAAAATCTGATCAACAGGACCATTTGGTATTTAATCTCCTGGAAATGGTAATTCTCTACTTGTGTTTTTTAACGTATGTAAAATTTCTTTGTAGAGCAATTTGATGCCGTGTAAATTTGTCTTCAAAATAGTGGATGGTGGAGAATATGTGACGATATTTAAACACGGAGACGACCTTAGACAGGATAACCTAATTCTACAGATCATTACACTAATGAACAGGGTAATTTGGCACTACAGCTCAATCGTTGTTGCAAACTTAATTTGTATATGTATAAAAGAACTGTCAATTGGTTGAAATAAACATTTTTTCCTATTCGCATTAGAGGATGAGCACAGTCAAGGCAAAGTTAATATACTATATTCTTAAAATTATAAATACAGGGAATGCATGTGTACATGTACATATAAAATGTATTTCTTATTTTCACATTTCAGTTATTAATGTTGATTGTCTCCGGACAACCGATGTTAGATTTGATATGTCACGTGACACATGCACCTTACAACAAAGTAATAAATCATTTTTTAATGAAATACAATAAAATAAATATTAATTTTAGGTTTAAACATGGTGATAATCTGTATGAACTGAAAGAAAATGTTGTGACACACGTGCGCTGGTCAACTTCAAAATAAACTAAAGCATTTTTACAGTTATGTGTTACATTTTGGTGATTGTTAAAAATTGGGGGTCTAGGTTTATGACCTTTCGTATGTGTGAGCATGGTGAGCATGTGTTTTATGGCACTTTAAACAATTAAACACTTGTTAAATGTAATTTTACATCAAAGTCTTTTTTAAATAATTGAGAGTGAAATATAAATTATGCTAAAACTTTTAATAGGATTTGCTCAGTTTGTGGAAAATCGTAGTCTGTGAATTTGATGTTTCAATTTCGTTTCCTTTTAAAATATTGTAAGATAATTTTAAGCATGATTCAGCACACTGGGATAAAAATTTCATCTAAGAATATGGCGACGATAATTTCCACGCTATTCTTTAAAAAAATCTGTGTACTTTTACGCAACATTATCTTGTGCTTTGTTGGAATTTTTTCAGCCGGAAGTCATGGTTATAATGTGTATATGTGTTCAAACTTTTTGAGCTGTGGTGATTTTCATAGGAAATTTTTCTGTTAATATTAACACCTCGGCCAAATACGGAGTTAGTTGTTATATAAAATATTGTTTTTCTGTACATCAAAGTCTATTTGCAGTTTGTGGAGTCTGTGAAATTAAAAATATTAAAAAAAAATTCTCATGCTTATATCAATAATTTTGTGACTTAAACATGTTATATATAAAATATTGTAAAAAATTAAAAATATTAAAAAAAAATTCTCATGCTTTAAGTAATTTTGTGACTTATACATGTTATATTGTAAAATACTGATAGATAAATTATACATAACAAATCAAGCAGTTATGAATTTGAAAGTTTGCTGTTGTCCACCTGATACAAACCATCAGTTTGTGAATATTTTTCAAACTACTACTGGTCTCTGTGATTTCAGCTGGCTATTGTGTCATTACCTACCTACTGGGAGTTGGAGATCGGCATTTCGATAATCTGCTGCTAACAAAGACAGGTACTTAATGTTGATTGTGAGATTGACATGCAGAATTGTTTCCCCAGTATTCTTACATTGTGATATTCATATAAATTCTGATAAAATTTCAGGAAAACTTTTCCATATTGACTTTGGGTATATACTTGGCCGAGATCCTAAGCTCCTCCCCCCTCTGATGAAACTGACAACAGAAATGATTGACGGCATGGGCGGTCCCAACTCAGAGCATTTTCATGACTTTAAGAAGCTCTGCTACACTGCATTCCTTGCAATAAGAAGGTAACTTAAAATATTGTTTTAGGGTAGAAAGAGATGTAAATTTTATAACAAAGTATAAATTTGTTATTAAATGTTTAGAAATTTTATACTTGCCAAGACTGCATATATTTAATTACTATATATATAAACCAGCTGATCAATATTATTGAGATATATGGAAAAAAGTGTATGAACTTTGAATGTAAAACAAAATGAATGAAAAAACCATACATTGGAATTATCCTTGTTCTTGGAGGGCCAATGTATGTGGATTTCATTGTTAAAAATATACTCAAATGATTCAGTATGTTATCAAAAATTGTTTGCAATGATGTTAATTCAAAGGTAGGTGAAACCAAAAAAATTTGTTTGCCCATAAACATTGACTCTCATAAAATAAAATGATCTTGCAGTATCTCTAAACATACTTGCAAGTCAGAATCATTGTATGACTTTTTTTTCAGGTCTTCCAATTTGATATTGAACTTGTTCACACTGATGATTAGTTCCAACATTCCAGATATTGCAATTGAACCAGATAAAACTGTCAAAAAGGTGAGATGTCACATCCCTAGAATGTTATTTCATTTGATGTACAGATGCATTTAGATTGTAGCTTGTTGAGATGTATAGTTCTATAACATAATTAGAATGATTAAGAACAAGATTTCTACCTAGACAAGGAATGTTAAAGTAGTTATGCAGCATGAAGAAAGGTCACAATACCGTATAAGCAGAATTTTTAGTGAGGATTTAATTTTGGCATTATTATTATTGTCCACTTATACGGTATCTCAGACCTGTTATTTAAAAGTGTGAGGGGCTAATGTGAGCCAACAAAGGAGAATTGAAGTCTTCTTCCACTTACACACCACTGGTCCTGATTTCTTCAAAATAAAAAATCATTTCATTTAAGTTATTTTAGGCTATCATAGAATACACACAATTTCTTTTATGCTTTAAAAATATATTTCATACCCAAAAGTTTTAAATGCATGGCACCTGCAAGATATAGGGGTTCTGTTCTGTGAATATATTAGTTAGTATATTATATTATCAATGCATAATATTTAAATAATTTTCTGCCTTAAAAAATGTGTTTTAAATCCAGCAAAATAACAAAATCATCAAATTGTGTCCATGCAGGTACAAGACAAGTTTGTGCTCCACCTAACCGACGAAGAGGCCGTTCAGTACATGCAGAATGTTATAGATGGCAGTGTGTCTGCTATGATGCCAGTGCTTGTAGAGAGATTCCACACCATAGCCCAGGTAAATAAGTGTATACAATTCCACACCATTGTCCAGGTATGAAATTCCACACCGTAGCCCAGGTGCATGTAAATAATTATGAACAGTTCCACACCATAGCCCAGGTTAAAAATTATGTACAAAAGCATAGGTAAATTATTTTTATTTCCTTTGTAGCTTGTAATGCAAGCTTTGATTGGTTACAAAGTTTGGTGTAAATTTCCATGCACCAGACTTGAGCCGGGGGTAAATAACATGACTTCACAATGCAGAGTTTTTTTTATGATAAATGACATGACGTCATGATGCATTGTACAACTAAGTTACTGTCAACCGACTTTTATTCATGTGCGAGAAATATCAGTGAGTTTCACAATGTTTTGACCTATGAATATTTATTCGCAACAAATCAAGTATTTTGCTTCGTATTTATTGAAAATATTACTTCTGTCGCAAAAAAATCTTTGAGGATCAATTTCAAACAGGCGAATCATAAATAAAAGATGACACGAGTAATAGTTGGTTTACAGTAATCTTATCGTAAATTGAGACGCAGTTGATTGGACGTATATTTACAAAGAATTTATTTGAGTACATAGGAAATAAATTCGAATTTTGCTTTTGCTTTTTTTTTTTGCATATTATCATACATATACATGTTATGCAGGAATTTTAGAATTCTGATAGGCTAAATGTTAATTCATTCAGAGTGGGATTATCTTGCCAAAGTTCATAAAATGTATAACTTTAAAAAAAAAACTTCTATAGATTTTTAAATTGCCTTATATTGATTCTTGTAACTTTTTATTGCAGAAATGGAGGAAATAGAGAGATGTTTCAAGTGTCATCAGATAAACACTAGTCTGTGATGAGAAAAGTGCAATATTATTTCTTTTAATTAAACATTTAACTGTTCTCAGAGAGAATTTAATAATTCTGAAACTTTATACCAGTATCTACATGTATACCACATGTGAACCTCCTGTTAAATTTTAAAATTTGAAACAGTTATATTTTGAATATTTAATAAATTTATGTGAAAAATCTAACATTTTTTTTCCATTAAACAAACATGTTATTCAAATATATAATGCAAAGAAACATAAAAAATGAATTTTTACTAATATTCACAATTATTTATTCATTTTCATTTATCCAAAGATCATTTGGATATTAAATAGAGAAATGTAAAAAGTTTGATTAAACAGAAATCAACATATATTGCCTGGACTAGCATATGCAATATCTGTAAAATTCATGGGATTCAGATTTTTTGCAAAACAACTGAATTGAAAAGAATTGTGTATCTAGATTTAAACAATGGCCTATCAACTGGCATCAGCCAAATAAGACATCTAAGAAAAGCTTGAATTTGAAAACAAAAAATTATAGAATTTTCCAAATGCTGACATCAAACGAGATTGTAGAAAGCCCTGTAACATCGACTTATTTTGTCAGTAGCCTTCCTTGGTTTAAAATTGATGATACTCAAAACGTACGCTTGTGTACAAAATCAGTTGGGAGACATAAACGCCGTATGCAGGTTTATAAGAAATCACTGTCTAGTTTGTTGGGTATGCCAGGGCATCAACATATTCATTAGTTGGACAATAGGTATACTTTGCATAAATCATAAATTATCCGTTTCCAACTGTCATGGATGTCCTTGGTATATTCAACAAACAAGACAGCAATTCCTTATATTTACATTTCATTATGAAATAAAAATTGTAAAAACAGATTTTAAAACCGTTGTCTAAAAGATTTAAATTACATGAGGCCTCCCATGTCAATTTCAATTGTCCCCATCCATAGAAGTCAGACACAAAGACAGCCACATAAGATTTATATATAGCAGACCTTTTGATTGTTGAATTTTACATTTCGGTTGAATTTTCAAGAAATATGGTCACTTAACTTTCAAAGAGTTATCATAGAGAAAACAAATAGATATGTAAAAATAGTAGAATGCCAGTACTGGGGTATTACAATAAATACAGGGGATGTTGACAATGGAAAAATTGAAATCGTCCAGTGTGTCACATAGTTTAAGTATTTGTTTGCCATTAAAAACACTTCCAAATATGAGATAGATGTGGGGTATACCAAGTATCATATAATCGAATTGAAAATAAATATTGTTTATAAGTTATGTTATGTTGTTTTTAAGAAAAAAAGATCGATATAACCTACGAGACGCATATTAAGGGAAATTATTGTGAATAAAAAAGATTTGGTCAATATATTTCTATGTCTAATTAAAAGCACTGTACCTTTTCAAAGAGAGTCTTCAATTCATCAGTTTGTGAAAATTATATAAAAAATCTTTTATTTATGATAGAGCAAGGCCCCATGCATTTAGGATTTTTTTTTTGGTTATATTTTGTGGAAATGACCGTTATTTTGGATTTTTAAAAAAAAATTTCAGATAAAAATTTATTGGAGAAGTTTCATTACTGGATACTCACTATCTTCCTGAATCAAACGTACAGGTAGACTGGATCTTAGAGTGTCTTTAATTTATGTTTTGATGCTGCGCCTTAAACGGTTTGTTTTGGATGAGCTTTTGAAGCTGGAAGTGGTCCATTCTTTTAGTTTAAACTAGAGGTACTGTGAGCAATGAGCTCACTAAATGATACCCCCGCCTCCCACATGAATATAATGGCAGTGTCCATGTTTCTCTATGGGAAACCCAAGATATGTGTCGGATCAAAATGTAAAATAGGAGGTGCACATTGGCAATATGTAATAAAGATTCTGTGAAAGTCTCGTCAACTTTCATTCTACTAGTCCCTGCTGACAAAGCAGGTAACAACATTGTCTTTGTTTTGTAAGGCACATTTTATATATATAAAAAAAATTGTATTTTAGAAGAATTTGGTTTTAATTCTACGAGTGGTAATCCAACTTACACTCATAGTTTCCTTTCTAAGGAAGAAATTCTTCAAAGTCATATGTCAGTTTTGAATATTTTTAATATCCCAAAAAACCAAAATGAATTTTATCTACCATACTGGAAACTCCATAAGAATCCTTACAAACAAAGATACATAGCGGGTTCAAGTAAAATGTTCAACCAAGCCTCTTTCTTTACTCCTCACTAAGATATTAACAGTAGTGAAGGAGAAACTTCAAGAGTACTGTGCAACAATATATTCAAGAAGTGATGTAAATCAGATGTGGATACTTAAAAAAAATTCCAAGGAACTTTTTGACAACGTGAAATCACAAGATTTTACAAAATCAATTTTACCAGCTTAAAAACTTAGGATTTTACAACTTTATACACAACCATTCCCCACAATAAATTAAAGTCCAGGCTTTTTTATATCACTGACAGCTGTTTTTTTCAATAAAAATGGAACACGAAAATTTACTTACCTTGTGAATGGTCATTTGTACAATTATTTTGTTAAAAAGCATTCTGATTGTAATACTTTTGGACATACTTTGAAGTCGACATCAAAAAGATGCTTGAGATTCTGATTGACAATATCTATGTTGTTTTTGGAGACCAGGTCTTCCAACAATATATTGGAATTCCCGTGGGTACCAATTGCGCCCCGTTATTAGCAGACCTATTTTTGTATTCATATGAAGCAGAATTTGTGCAAAATCTTATGCGTGAAAAGAAGAACACATTTGCTGTGGCCTTCAACTCGACATTTAGATATGTAGACGACGTACTGTTATTTAACAATGATAATTTCCATTCTAATGTCGATACAATATATCCTGGTGAGCTTGAGATAAAAGATACCACAGAGTCCGACACATCTGTTTCATATTGGATATTTTACTTTAAAAGGACGTTAATGATAATCTAACAACCAAGCTCTACATATGATAAACGTGATGACTTTAACTTTTCCGTCGTCAACTTCTATTGTACAGCAATTTACCTTCATCACCTGCATACAAAGTTTATATCTCTCAGTTGATTCGATTACACAAGAGCATGCTCTATGCCGAAATCTGTACAATTTCTAAAACGAGGTAAATTATTGACAAACAAGTTGGTGAAACAAGAATTTCAGCAGTCTCATGGTCGATACAATGACATCGTCAGCAAATACAATTTATCATTGAGTCAAATATGCTGACTGACGTTTTCATACTAATTGTTAGTCCATCTTTTACACATTGAATTGACGACAGATTTTTCCGTTATTTTCCGATCATAACCAGGAGCACACGGCAGGCATGACCGGTCGTCAGGGGATGTTCACTCCTCCATGGCATATGATCCCACCTCTGATGTTTTGGAGGTCCGTGTTTGCTCTGCTCCTATTTTGTATTGTTTTATGGACTTTTGATATGGAATACTGTTTGTTATCTCCATATGTTTCATTCGGTGGTATTAGAGGTGTTGCAGATAAGAGATGGGTACCCCAAAGCGTAACAGACGGACGGACATCACGATTACTATACCGATGTAACCTCCCGCTTTTCAAGCGGGGGTATCATAAGCCCCCTTCCAAGACAAACCTTGCAAAGGGTTGTAAGCTAACCTTTCTATATAAAACGTCAAGACAGTGTTTAATCCTTTGTCAGTGAAAATGTTAGAGAGATAGGAGAATGCCCATTTCTAAGTGTCTGTAAGCCCTACCTCGGCTAAACTTGCAGGGAGTTGCTTGAGTTTCTGATTGATCTTGATTGTTGTATTCATATGAAGCAGAATTTTTTTCAATAAAATTTCCATGAAAAGATGCAACTCTTACTGTGGCCTTCAATTTGGTCGTGACCTGTTAATTGGGGATGCTTATTCCTCCATGGCACTGGATCCCACGCTTGATGTTTTATAGGTTTGCTCTGTTCCCAATCTAAATTGTTTGTTGTTACTTTTTTAAACTCTTGAGAAGCAGCAGAATTTATTCAAAACGGTCTTCATGAGAAAAAAATCTCCTCTGGACTTCAACCCAACATTCAGATATCGACAACAATTTATTATCTAACAAAAGTTAATTTTATTTATATGTCGCGTCGATGTCCCCTTGAACTGGCAAACAAATTCATCATTTCATAAGTTCTATGGTAAGCACAATGACCTTGTCTGCAAATATATTTTATCATTGAGTCGAATGCTGACTTACGTTTTTCATACTAATTGTTAGTCCATTATTTATACACCGAATTGACTACGGATATTTTCCAGTCATGACAAGGAGCACATGGCGGATGTGACCTTCAAAACATCAAAGGTAGGATCAGGTGCCATGGAGAAGTAAGCATCCTTGCCGACCGGTCACACCCGCCCTGTGCTCATTGGCATGATCGGAAATTAACGACAAAATCCGTGGACAAAACAGTGTGTAAATAATGGCCTAACAATTGGAATGAAAAACATCAGTCTGCATTTCACTTTTTGATAGTTTGTATTTGCTGACACGGTCATTGTATCGACCATAGAACTTATGAATGATGACTTTAAACGAGACTGTTGATATTCTTGTTTCATCAACTTGTTTGTCAATAATTTACCTCGTTTAAGAAATTGTACAGATCTCGACATAGAGCATACTATTGTGTAATCGAATCAACTGAGAGATATAAATCTCGTATGCAGGTGATGAAGGTATATTGCTGTGTAAGAGAAGTCGACGGTGAAAAAGTAAAAGTCATCACGTTTATCATAAACCTTGGACGTTAATTAGATTAACATTAGGGTTTTTTTAAAAATAAAATATCCAAATATAAAACAAATGAATCAGACTCTGGTATCTTTTATCTCAAGCTCACCCGGATATATACACTGTATATGGTATCGACTGACATAAGAATAGAAATAACCATTGTTGATTGACGATACATCGCCGATTTATCTAAATGTTGAGTTGAAGGCCACAGCAAGTGTTTTCTTATTTTCATATATAAGATTTTGGACAAGTTCTGTTTCATGTGAATACAAAAATAGATCTGCTAATAACGGGGCGCAATTGGTACCCATCTAAATAAATTGTTGGAAGACCTGGTCTCCAAACACCACATAGATACTAGTATTGTCAATCAGAAATTAATATCAACTCCGCAGTACTTGTTTGTACAATCAGAATGATTTTTAACAAAATAATTTGATTTGTATAAGTCCAAAGACAAGGAAAGTAAATTTACGAGTTCCATTTTTTATTGAAAGCATGGACTTTAATTTATATTGAGGAATGGTTGTGTATAAAGTTGTGAGTCTTTAATTATATAAGCTGTTGATTTTGGTAAAATCCTGTGATTTAATTTTTCCAAAAGTTCCTTTGAATTTTTAAGTATCCACATCTGATTTACACCGCCTATCGAATATTGCTGCACAGATCTCCTGAAGTTTCTCCTTCACTAGATGATAATATTCTAGTGAGTACTTAAGAAAGAGGCTTGTCAGAACATTTACTGGAATTCGCAATTTATCTTTGTATGTACGAATTTTTATGAGATTTGGGACCCAGTATAAATATGGTAATTCAAATTCATGTGGGTTGTCTGGAATAATATAAATATTCAAAACTTACATGTGATTTTGAATGAAACATAGGGAGATAAGGAACAGTATTGAAGATAAAAAAAATCCATAAAACAATACAAAATAGGAGCAGAGCAAACACGGACCTCCAAAACATCAGAGGTGGGATTAGTTGCCATGAAGGAGTGAGCATCCCCTGCCGACCGGTCACATCCGCCATGTGGTCCTTGTTATGATCGGAAAATAACGGAAAAATCCGTCGTCAATTCAGTGTATAAATAATGGACCAACAATTAGTATGAAAAATGTCAGTCAGCATTTGACTCAATGATAAATTGTATTTGCTGACAAGGTCATGGTATCGACCGTAGAACTTAAGAAATGATGACTTTAAACGAGACTGTTGATATTCCTGTTTCATCAACTTGTCCGACTAATTTACCTCGTTTTAGAAATTTTTCATACGTAGAACATGCTCTTGCGTATCGTATCAATGATATATAAACTCTGTATAAAGGCGATGAAAGTATATTGCTGCATAAGTAAGGGAAGCTGACGATAGAAAAGTTAATGTCATCACGTAAATGATAGAGCTTGGTTGTTAGATTACTATTAACATCTTTTTCAAGTAAAATACACGTATCCAAATATGAAACAGATGTGTCAGACTCTGTGGTATCTTTTTTCTAAAGCTCACCAGGATATATCGTATAAGAATGGAAATTACCTTTGTTAATAGACAATACGTCGTCGATATATCTAAATGTCGAGTTGAAGGCCACAGCTTGTGTTTTCTTCTGTTCACACATAAGTTTTTGCACAAGTTCTGCTTCATAAAAATACAAAAATAGGTCTGCTTATAACGGGGCGCAATTGGTACCATAAAACAGTACAAAATAGGAGCAGAACAAACACGGACCTCCGAAACACCAGAGGTGGATTTGGCTCATAGAAAGAGTGAGCATCCCCTGTCGAGCTGTCAAACCCGCTGTGTGATCCTTGTCATGATCAGGAAATAGCAGAAGAATAAGTGGGCAATTTATTGTGTAAATAACAGCCATTATTAAAAATAAGTATGACAAACATCAGTCAGCATTTGACTTATTGGTAGTTTGCAATTGCAGACAAGGTCATTGTATCGTTTCTGAAGACATTTAATGAGACTGCTGATATTCCTATTTCATCAACTTGTTTGTCAATAACTGACCTTGTTTTATACATTTCTGGCATACTTAATTAAACTGTATTTTAAAATGAAAATTCCATTTTTATTATTTTTGTCAATACCCTTATCTGTTTGACCCTATAACAAGTTTCATTTATTTCAATTTTTTTTATTTTTGAATATTGTAACTTTGTGCATGCTATATAACAATAATTTTTATGAAAAAATTGTTATTGAATAACAACTTAAGTTATTTCTGCAATTCCTCTTTCTTTAATGCTATATAACAATAATTTTTATACAAAAATATGTTATTGAATAACAGTCAAAAAGTAGAAAATTGAAAATTGTTAAAGTAAACGATGATCTGTTAACATAATATCCAACTACTGTAATTAAGTTATTTCTAGTTGACAAGTATAGCATACTATGGAAACAATTCCTACAGGAATACTTTATTTAACTATTTAACTTTAGTTAATTGACTAGGGTTTTAAAAAAAAATGGACATTAAAAAGATGATTAAACATACAGAATTGTAATATATGTTCTTACAAGTAAACGATGATCTGTTAACATTAAATCATGCTCTGAGTTACACTTTTCTATTCAACATAACTACTATTTTTCTATATAGTACAATAAATCGTTTAATATATTTATAACAAATGAGTCATTTGAATAAATTACAATGCAAGAAAGAGTGTTATATATATTAGAAAGAAAGTTAAATAATCATTTGATTTTTGGTCACAAAACTGTATTGTAAGTATATATATTTTTGTTGATTGTTGACATAATAATAAAGTTATAAATAGTGACAAAGATTAACAAAATCCTTGTAGCCTTGATAAATAAAAACCGAGTATATTTTAGTCTTTGACCATAACGCTATGGTAAACTATATAAAACCATAATACTATTATATATACCTACAGGAATACTTTATATATAATTGTTAACTATTTAACTTTAAGTAATTGAAAACTTTATTTTAATGTATTCTAGTAACATTTTCAGTGTTTTAATCTTTAAGTTTGGAAACACTTTATATACAGGAAACATATAGCTTCAGGTAAAGTACAATTTAAAAAAAAAATGGACATTAACACTTGAATGATTAAAATATTTTTCTCTCATAAATTCCATTAACATGCGTTGCAATGAAATTTTAGTTAAAAATCACTTAAAATAATGTTACAAGCACTCTTATCGAGAGCAATAATGTGAAGTCTCTTCTAGAAATAAAAAGAAACTGGTTCAATTTGTATTTGTAAAAATCACTCAATTAAAATACAAATTAGAAATGCAATTTTTAAAACCATATTTAATGTGAAAAACTCGGACATTGGTACATGTAGTGATATATAACATAAAGTCATGACTTTTACCGTCTCGTTTAAACATAGCTGTGCTAGAAATTTTTGGTGCTCTTTTGGTCCATTTCTTTTTTTAACTGTGCATCATCATTTTTAAGAATTCTGAAAAGGGGATGAAAATAAAATTACATTGTATATCAGTCAAATTAAATGAAAAATTCGAATGTATAGAATTGTTTACTACCATTATAATTAATTTCGCCGTCACCATCTTGATCTGCGTCCCGAAACATCTTTTGAAGTTCCCTGTCAGTCAGACGCTCTCCTAGGTTACTCATGACCTGTCGTAGCTCAGAAACACTAATCACACCGTCCCCATTCTTGTCAAAAACTTTGAAAGCCTCCATCATGTCCGCCATCGGGTTAAAATCGGGACAGTATTCACCGAGGAGTTCTGTAAACTGTGTCAGGTTTACCATCTTTTTGTCTGCTCAAAGGAAGACAATTAGATTCAAGTCGATATAAGCCATTTAATTTGACATGAATTGTTAACTCCAATCAATCCAATACCTGATATGTTGGTATGATAAATTTGCATTTATCAAATAATTACTTTCAAGTTGGACGTTTATTATAGTTTTTTTAGCTCATCTGAAATGAAAGTTCAGTGCACTTCTCTGAGCGAATTTTGTTATTCGATCGTCTCTCTCTTTTCTTTGAAGATTTTCGACTTCTTCAAAACCACTGGGTCTGCAAAGCTATAATTACAGTGTACCTATTGGGGACCCCATAGATGGGCAATACTTTCGGATGGAAAGGTCCCAAACATCTGCCTTATACTGCTGACTAGCAACATGGTGAATAGTTAGATTCTGGACAGCTATCCCCCGACCCATTCACCATTCTCATTTGAATTGGTAGTGACATTTTTACTGAATTTCTCATGACATATACTTTAACTGTTCAATCCTTAACCCTTCCTTAAATGGCAATTATTGATATACCAAAAGGTTTATATCTCCCATTTCATTCAATTCACAGGTGCATGCTCTACTCTGACGTACTCGTGAGCATTTCCAAATCGAGGTAAGATATTGTCAACAAGATGATGAAACAAGAATACCAACAGTCTTTTTTTTAAGTCACCATTTCGTAAGTTCTATGATCAATACAAAGACTCTGTTAGCAAAAGCAATCGATCATTAAATTAAATGCTGATGGACGTTTTTTAAAATAAATTGTTCAGCCATTTTTTTACACATTAAATTCTCTACGGATTTTTTCCGTTTATGACAATGGGCACGCGAGTGAGATCGGTCGGCAGGGGGTTGCTTACTTTTCCATGGCAAGTGATCCCACGTTGGTGTTTTTAGAGGTCCGTGTTTGCCTTGCCCCTCATTTGTATTGTTTAAACGAACTTTTGAACTTGAGTGTTCATGCTGTTTGCTATCTCCATATATCATTCAAGATGTATTATAGTGTGTCTATGCATCAAGTAGTAAGCTGTGTGTGTATATTTAAAATACCCTTGTCAGTTATTGATTCCAAGAAGCAACATTTATATATTTGGATTCTTAAAGTACTTGTCATAAAATATTAATTTTTATACAGAAAGTGTTTTCTTTGGTACGGATCACATAAGAAAGGCAGAAATACCATCTGATAATTATATTGTAGAATTACACTGGTTTTATGGCAATGACGGGATTTGCTAAAACGTCTTCCAAAATAACCGCAGATGTTGGTCGATACTCCTTGTAAAATTTGAATCTTGTTAACCATAAATCTTCATTACGTAGGTGTAACGTGAACAAACTTTAATTACACTACTTGATGATAGGGGCTTCAAACTGCACTACTTGATGATATGGGTATATTTAAAAATTTACCAAATGCAGTATCGTTTTTTCTCAACTGAAATGGTCTGTAACTTTACTATAAAAGCTCTAGTAAATTTATATACATGAATTTAGTAAATTATTAGTTGAAGTGATAGTGATCGTGAATTTTCTACAGTAAAAAATCTTTAAAAAAATATATATGGCATGGAAATTTATAATTGGATAGGAAGACCAAGGAGCTTATTAGCGATAGTGGATTGGAGATACAATGTCTTAAACATAAGAAATAAATCCAGTTATCATTAAAAATCAATCTTCAGATTTGTCATTATAGCTAGTTTAGAAACCTAAAATTTAGAGAGAATTTACTTCTTCCCCAAAACAGTTTGTGTTTGTTTAAAGGGAGAGAATTCAATAATTAAGGGGACCTTTATATACTTTGAATTACTACAATTTTAAACCGCGTTTTGATTTGGTATACATACATTTGTAGTTGAAAAAACAGAGATCATTAAAAATGAATTGTAATGTTTTGTTTTCGACTTCATACCACATCTTCATTTTGTATTATGTATCTTTTTCTTTTTAGTATCCCTAGAGTATTTTCTTTTTTAGTTCCATCTCATTTCTTATAGATAATAATGGTAGCTAGATTTGTGGATTTTTTTTATGGGGCTGGAAATTTGTTTTCCTTGCCATCGTGACTACTAAATATTTTCTTATTAATATCCTTTTAAGATGTAAATTATATAGAGAATATCACATACTAAAATCCATATCATATGTCATATCAGCCCCAGGTGAATTTTATTAGGAAAAGCAAAATGGAAAAAATCCCTATTTGATATTGCTAATTTTTCGAGGGCTGATGTGTGATTTGTCATATTTGTTTTTTTATTGATTATTACTAATATATTCCAAGTCTATATATTCTATTTATCATATATTTAAAATACCTGATATGCAAGTTCACATATGGTCATTGAAGAATGTTTCGTGCTTGTTTATGATATTATAATAAATGCTTACATGTGTGATGAATAAAGTGTGTACAAATGAAAACCAATGAAATAATTTACACACAATTATTTTAGCTGTACATTTCCCCGTGAGTTGTTTACTTTCTTAAGAATCATAAATTTAAAAAAAACAGAACGTGATTTTGGCATAGATTTCTTTAAATAATTACAAGTCGCCCGCAAGGCGCAGTTAGAGCGTCTGCTCTAGAGTCGCGAAGTAAAGAGCCGATCCTTACGTCGCGGGTTCGAACCCCACTGTGGGACTTGCAGACCGGTCCTTCGGATGAGACCGTATAAACCGAGGTCCCATGTCGCAGTAGGTGCTGGCATGAAAAATATCCCTCCCAGTTCAATGGCTATAAGTGCCAAGCATAGGTTAAAATTTATAGCTCTCCACCGGTAATGATAGCGTCTCCATATGATTGAAAAATTCTCGAGAGGGACGTTAAACAACAGTTAATCAATCATATAATTACATAATTTTAAAAAATCTATTTTTCCTTGCGGGTTTACGGAATGAGGATATTAGTAGCATAAATCGCCAATTTATCAATTCCTCTGTGCACCAATAACGTAACAAAGATATTAATTTGAAAGTTCCACTTAGGCTTGAGCTCCTACAATATCAATACTACAAGTACAGAGTTCAACTATTGATTTCATTTCAAGAAATTCCCTTTGGACTCATTAACTTCTGGGTTACAATGAACAAGAGTAATATTAAATGGCTGCATCAGGGGAAAATCAAGCAATAAAGAGAATTACCGAATAAACTTGTAAAATCTTCCACGCATAAACGAATATCTTGGATATAATATACAATTATTTTTAAAAAGAATGCTCGTATAGGAATATATACCTAAATACGTTAAGACATTCAGCTGTTCTTGTAGCTATGAGATCAATTTTTACAATGTATACTCAATTAAATATCAAGATTTTTGTGTTTTAGTTATGTAATAAGGATGCTAACCTTTCTTCTCCACATCCCTCACTATTTTTTGTATTGCGTTATACGGAACTTTGGCACTGAGTTTTCCTGACTGCAGAAGCGCTGCAACTTCTTTGGAAGAAAGGAATCCATCTTTATTCTTGTCAAACGCAGAAAATAGCGTCCTTACCTCTGAAATTGAAATTTTGACACTTAAAAATTTCTTGAAATCTAAATGATCAGGAGATTGCATTTTACTACAAGTATTTTTTTACTCAACCTTAAGTATTTCAGTTGTGTTTTAACTTAATGTATTTTACTCGTTTGTACATACCCATTAATAAATCTAATTTTATTTCTATCTGCTAGTATATGCATATCATTTCCTCAACTCACCCGTTAACTGCGCAGAATTTCCTGTTGATGTCTGTGCAAAAGATTAAAAACCATTTAATTCAGAATATTTTTATAGCTTGTGTGCATATAACACTATTTAACCACTCTATTTAATAAGTCATTAATTTTTTGTTGGGCTCAAAATACAACAGGAAAGGAGAAAATGCGACGGACAAGACCGAGCCCCCCAATCTATAATCAGTTTATAACTACAGGTGCTCTACCAACTGAATTAACTGGTCATTGAGATCAAATCCGCCCAAGCTTCACGTAGCTACCTCCTTTAAGGTATTTGTCCTCGAAGACACCAACCCTGGCTTTATTCCCGGTCTGGTCCATCGTATTTTCCTATTCTCCCGTTACTTCGATACCGTGAACAGGATGTGACAGGTGAAAGATCTGCCGGGGACAAACCTGTGCTGTCTTAGAGGGCGAAGATCTTTAAGGAGGGAGGATCGAGGGGTCAGAGGTTCGATCATCGGTGGCCAGGCCCCAAGACCATTAACTGAGAACAGACTTGAGTCAAAATTTCAAATCAATATAACATTTGAAATAACTTTTTTATATCATAACGAAATTTGAACTCTTACTTTTTTATAGCATAACACATTTTTACCATTGGTTTAAACTGGAATATTATACAATCCTGCAATTTTGGATTGAGTATGTTTTATAATCGACAAGATATTCAAATTCGAAAACTGTTCGCAGTGTATGGTCTCCAGGACAGATACATGTAGCTCAATTATTAAAGTACTGTGAGTCTATGTTCAAGCTCTAAAACTTGAAATAAATTTTTTACTAATTTTTTTTTATGCCAGCGCCTACAGCGAAACGGACCTTATATGATGGACCAAAGGACCGATAGAAATCGTGATGGAACAATCAACTCCTTACTCCGCGACACTGGAACAAATACTAATACTCCATCACCACATTGCACACTGGAGCGAAGGTAGGACAGCGGTAGGGCACTTAATATGGTGGCTGCTAGGTGTTTCTTAGAAGTTGTTTATTTTAATACAAAACAAATCAAAAGTTGTTTAATTGGTTGAAAAAAAATTTGACAAGATAATTAAAAGTAAAATTTTCTTCATGGTTAAATGCATTTCACATTATATCACGGGACTGTTGCAGAAGTGCACCGTAAAACTGTGGCAACCAGAAGTGTGACATGGGCGGATACGGATGCCAAAGCACTGCCCACTGGCTAGGTGGCATGTTAGAGGTGTTGCTTGATATCATTTAAGACACAGATTTAAAATTGTTGTTTTGATCTCCCTGAACACCTTTGATACCTAAATATACCTTAACATTTCTAAAGATTTTGGTCAGATGCTCAAAGAAAAGAGAACAGTATTATTTCCGATGAATTCACAAAAGCAATCTATTCTCCGGAGAAAATACGATGGAACACGACTCTCTCTCTCTCTCTCTCTCCCTAAAATTTACACTAACATACTAGAAAGCTACAGCAGAAAAGTACATTAGATATTCATCTGTCTGTACTGTTTCAGATATTAGTGTAACATGATAAGAAAAGTACATATGCTACATCAAACATCGATAAAGCATAAAACAACGATTTGACATAAATATCAACTTGAATAATTCAGGACTTTTTGGCCATGCATAATGGTTCTCGTATTTTGCAGCATTTAGAGAACTGATTCTTGATATCTGGTAATAGAAAGAGGTAGTGCCTATTGCTACCAGAATCGTTCCTAACCAAAAAGGTTTATAAATTTTCTCCGGAGATTAACAAACACAAATGACTTGAAGAGGTTTCTTACATAGACACCTATATGGTCAGATAAAGGTAGCTTTCTATAGGATAGACTTTGAGATTATATAAACTAATAAAAAAAGAAGACTTGTTTTATTTATACAAGTCTCACACCAAACCCTATCATAGTATAGTGATTATTTCCTTTTTGCTGAACTTTCTTGAAGAAATGACAACTTTATACACATACACGCTAGGCTCATTCTTTAAATTTTGCAATGTATCAAACAAATACCAATTAGTAAAATAGTAATTACACCGAACAATTGAACTGTCAGACTACGAACTGGTTGTTGCCTTTTCGTACTTCCAGTGCATTACAGTAAATGACCATATAGGTGTCTATGTAAGAAGCCTCTTGAAGTCGTTTGTGTTTGTTGATCCCGATAAGAATGTCACACTGGGATATCTTTACACGTTTATAGCTGCAGCCCGTCTTAATGTGAGGAGCGTGGGACTACTCACCCTCCAATAGCTGCATCACCTATTATTACAAAACTCCTGAAGAGAACAGGCACGCTAGACGAAATCATTACAGATCGACTTTTGGATTCACTACTTGACAGATAAAAATATTTTAATTTAAATGTTTGACATGCTCGTGTATGAGGTGTTATGCTTTTGAGACAAAATTGCATGTTCACAGTACTTTGTATTAATTTGAAATAAAAGATACCATCTATTGTAAGTTTTGGTTGTGTTACATACATGTAGATATTGTTTTAGAAGTGTGAGGTACTATTTTGAAAAATTACCCAGATAACACTGGTCATGCTTGGATAAAAAAATGGCTTTCTTTTCAAGATGTTGTTTGTAATGCACATAAATATTTTAGTAAGAATTCTGTCACAATGACATACGCACATTTTAAACAATAGTTCAAACATTTTTATTCTGTCGACGTCTCCCAATTAAAAATTAAAATGACTAGATATTACCACCTGCTTTAATAATGAGAATACAAGTCTAGGACTTTGACCTTAATCAACAGTGCTTATACATTCCGTTAGATAATTTTGAAAAAGTCTTCTTGACAGTCAGTATTAAATATTTTCGTTATTTATATTAAATAAAAAAATAAATAAACTAAAGTATCATTTATATTGATCTGAATTTAACCAATGCATGTATTTTTATTAATATTTCATTTAATAGACAACCTTCTTTATCCTCCAGGTCGATTAGATCAGTTAGATATGAAGGATATTACACAAATCTGATTGCCTCTGAATCATGCATGGTCAGATTCCACAACAGCAGAAAAGATAAACAAATGAAGTATCAAAGTAACCAACCATAAAAAAGATTCGAACCAACCAACGACTAGACGACTATACACCAAAGTTTATCAAACAACCAACGACTAGACGACTATACACCCCAAACAACCAACGACTAGACGACTATATACCCAAGTTAATTAAACAACAAACGACTACATCCCAAACAAACAACGACAAGACTATACACCAAGTTAATCAACCAACCAACAATTATACTCAAGTTAATTTATAAGACACGAAAAATAATTTTATTCTTACTTTTTCAAACCTCCAAAATATAAGTAATGTATCAAAGAAATAACGATCATACCAACTTACATGACTTATTTATATCTAGTTAAACAAACATTAAATACTTTGGATTTTATATCTCATCTTTAAAAAAAAAACTTTGGATTTTCTAAAGATTAAAATACGATATTACAATAAGAAAAAGTTCAGTGAATCCATTTCTGATCTATATTAAAGATTCTATTATATATCACGATCAGAATTTGTAGTTGTCCGCGTGGCGCAGTGGTTAGTAGAGCGTTTGCTATATAGACTCGCAGAATAAGGAGGTGATCCTTACGTAGCAGGTTCGAAACCAACTGCGGGACGTGGACTCCGATCCTTCAGATTTAATAAACCGAAGTATGGTGTCGCAATAGGTGCAGACACGAAAAAAGATCCCTCACTTCTCTAAGGCATCTTGATATGTGTGAACATTTCTCAAAAGGGACATTTAGAAAAAAAAAGTAACAAACTAATTAATGAACAGAATCTTGATCTATTGATGATATATTGTTTTCTACTACATAAGTAAAATAAATAAGATAAATAGATTGCATCAGTTATTTATTTATACAGTTTTTTTTAAAATAACTGAATTCAAAGACTTAAAAATATGAAGTAATTTTAGAAATGTCGACCGAATTTTTTATTAAATACATATATTGATGAATTGTCTCATTGACCGTTGTATGAGTCGACGCTTTTGAGTTAATTTGCCTAAAGGTTTTTTGTTTTTATTTTGTTTGTTTGTTTATTTTTTGGTTATAATAATTGTACCATAGTTAGGTGTGATTTCTTTTCTGTACATAACCCACACTTTTCTATAACTCCGCCCATCGAGTTGTTTTCTACAAAAGTAATAAAAATGCAAGATAAATTGTTATACCAAATTTAGGAGAAAAAGGAGTTATACAACATTTTGTAATAAATAACAGTTAAAAACGGTCATTAATACTTTAACTTGTTATTTCAGAAATCGCTTGATTTTTTAAACATTTTTTTTAAAATAGTGTAATGACCAGGGTGACGTTAGCTTAGTAGATTTCAATATATCGTTCTTTTGATAACCAACAAAGGAAACACGGAACATACTTGACATAAAAACAAGTGTACACTACTGTACTTAAGTAACCTTTTCGATTGCGGATCTAGCCGATCAAAGATCTAATTTTCATTAAATTGAAATATACATAACCTCTAACAAACATTTCAATCAACGTACCACTGTAATTCAGGTTTACAAAAATTTGAGTTAAACCAAGTTCATAATAAATTCAAATTACTAGTATGTAATTTTGACGATTGAAATTTACGAGAGAAAAAAATCACATCAATTTAACATTTATCATTGAAAACAAACTTTTTTTTTCATTATAATACATATATTTTCATTTTTATGATGAATTGTATAAACAGAGGTCATTGACCGTTGTATGCCAGTATAGGGCAAAATTTGACAAAATTTGAAAAGTATTGTATACTCACTTTATATTCAATGAAGGAGCGTTCATATAAAATCCAAATGCAATTTGCCTAAAGGTTTTTTGTTTTTATTTTTTTTGTTTGTTTATTTTTTGGTTATAATAAATAAACAATGGTAATGTCGTTGATGTTCTCGGTAGTTGACTATTGTTCATTTCAAATTGAAAATATTTCGATAAATTGTTAGGGCTTTGTAAATTATCATAAATATAAAGTGTTTAGAGCTGATAGAACATGTTTTCTAAACCGAAAAACGTCAGTCAGCGGCATCAAATTTTAAAGCTTATAATTTTACTTTTATATTTTCAAGTAAAATATACTTACCATTATGTCTGAAATGCTCCCAATAATTTTTGACAAATAGCGAGCCGCTGATGGTTTGGAAGTTGGCAATCTAAATGGATCCTTAATAATTGATGTCGTGTAGTTGCTTAATTATATTTTGCTTCAAAAGAACTGGCATTGGCTGCGTGTTTCAAACCAGAAAGTCAAATGGTATTCACTTGAGTGGCACTGTAATTGACTTACAACATATCCGTTTTAAATAAAAGCATGTCAGCTTTCTTCGGTTCAAGAATGTTTAAAGTTTAAAAATTCATATTTCGAACTTTTGTTTTTTCTGCAGAATAGGAGAGAAATCAATGATGAAAATGTATTCTTTCACCACACCCCGTCAGATAAATGAACAATATAATAACAGGAGCATCCTTTTTCGAGACCGATAGAAGAGTAAGTCTACCGAGATTTGATCAACAATGCAAAGCAATGATAGCTCAATATTTCTGACATAAGAAATGGACGTTTTATTTAATAATTCAGGTCTTCTATTCATTTGAAGTCTTCGACATCACTTTCGACACTTTATCAAGTTTTATGATCAATTTATGTTCCGAAGTTGATTTATCAGTTAGGAATATCGGTTGTAGGCAAACAGGAAAAAAAAAGATTTAAAAAAAAATCATGTATGAGGTTTTAATCTTAGCTTCATTGTTAATATAGATAATATGCCGTGTCCCGTGAGAGGCAACCCTATGGATCTATCACTAGTTTAAGTTATCTTAAGGTGCCTTTCTGTATATTTCATTATTGTTTATTAGTTCACCTCAGCCGAATGCTCTAGTGAGTTTTTCTAGTAAAATTTTGTCGGGCTTCTGTCTGCCTGTCCTTCTGTAACCTTTAACATTTTCGACTTCTTCTCATGAACCACTGAGCCAATTACAAACTTGCAACAATGAATCATTCGATAAAGTGCATTCATTTATTTGTTCAAATGAAGTGTCAAGTCCTCTTCACAAAAGAAGATAACAAATTGGTGAACATTTTTTTAAAAATCAAATAATGACCCGGGGGTTAGGGTGGGCTCACCTTTGGCGATCACAGTTTTACATAGGAATGCACAAGGAAAATCTCAGAAAAGATATATTAAATCCTTAGGTAGTGTAGAAACAACATTGTTTAAATCATTGTCACAGCGTTGGTTAGCGTCACAATACATAGTGAAGGCAATCAAATTTATCATAGGGATACAAAAATAAAATATTTTAAAACCTTCCTCTCTAGAACAGAAAAACCAGGATTGGTCAAATTTTATGAACACATCCTCAGGTAGTGTTTAATATTTTTTTCATCATGACCCACATCATTTTTTTAGTCACTTTTCTATTGTCAACTTCCCTTACTTATGATGCAAATATACCTTCTCACCCGCATACAGGGTTTATATATCTCAGTTGATCCGATATGCAAGAGCATGCTATACGTATGAACAATTTCTAAAACGAGGTAAATTACTGACAAACAAGCTGATGAAACAGGAATTTCAACAGTCTAGTTTGAAGTCAACATTTTGTAAGTTCTATTGCCGATACAATGATCTTGTCAGCAAATACAATTTGTCATTGAGTCAAATGCTGACTGACGTTTTTCATACTAATTATTTGTCCATTATTTATACACTAAATTGACGACGGATTTTCCCGTTATTTTCCGATCATGACAAGGAGCACACAGTAGGTGTGACCGGTCGGCAGGGGATGCTCACCCCTAGATGGCACATGATCCTACCTCTGATGTTTTGGTGTCCTTGTTTGATCTGCTCTTATTTTGTATTGTTTTATGGATTTTTGATCCTGAATACTGTTCTTTATCTCCATATGTTTCATTCAGCTTTATTTCACACTAAGAATCAAAAGAAGTTTATGAATAGGAATAATAAGGGATGAACATCAAGTACACATTGTATAATGCAGAGAAATTACAGAGAAAAAAGTTCATAAACAAGGACAATTCGAGTGAAAGAGGAAAACATATATAAGCATGAATAAAATAGGATCAATCATCATTTTTGTGTTATTTCTCTCAGTGGAATTTAGAACAATCTGCTCAAAACAAAAGATCTTTTACTTTCAAGTCATTTCTCAAATAAGTAAAGAAATCAGAATTGATAGAGTTTACTCCCTTAGCTGACCAATATCTATGTCATAAAGCACTTGCCGTGTTTAAAAACACAACTAAAAAAAGAGTTTATGTTTAAGATGTTTATTAAAAAATCTCCGAGAGTATTATATTCTCAGAACGATATTCATTGTACAATGTATAATACATAAACCGATTTTAATACAAATATATTGCTAGTAGAATGTTATTTCTGCAAAATATTCTGCATAACAATTCAAAGAAATAAACAAAATATGATGATAGAGGACAGATAACTTGACTGCGTAACAAATGTCTAATTCTTTCCCTGTGCCTCTACAAAGCACCTTAGGAGAAATAAGAACTTGTAAGGAGCATATATTCTGTATCTATGTTTTTATCGCTTGGAATGAAGAAGGGTTCATCTCATTTTCTGTTTAAATTGTTTGTAATTGTTGGCACTTCTATCTGGAACTCATCATTTTAACGAATTCTACAATGAAAATTAATTGCAAAAGATATATTTCAAAGCAACAAAGTGTTATCAATATACATTTATAAATAGTTTAAAATATAGTAAAAAGATACACTGTAGTAAATAAGATAAATGTCAATGGAAAATGAAGTCAAACTAAATGATCCGTTTTGAGCATATGTTGTTTAAAATTTAAAATAAAACCGCTTCTCAGTAAAATATACATGTATTGAATATATTTGTATAAGTTTCATTGATGTATTAAATTTTTTACATTTATAAGATTAAAATAAATAAGGCATAAAAATTTCCTTTCTCTGAATTTTTGGTTTAAAAATTTTGTAAATATTTCTATCCTAAACATTTGGTTTATTTCTATAAATCATTAGAAAATGTGGACTACATTTGCGGAAGTGATATGAAACTTTGAACTGAATCACGCAAAATTGATACCAAATAAATATTGATCAATATTGTCTCCAGACAATTTGATTACGTAGCTGAAGCCTGATGCATAACAATTGAATTATGAATATAACCCAGTTACTAATCGCTCTCGTCTGCTTACCTTCGTAATTGACTTGACCGTCACCATCAATGTCGGCCTCCCTTATCATTTCTTCCACCTCTTCGTCCGTCAACTTCTCCCCAAGATTTGTCATTACATGGCGAAGTTCAGTCCCACTAATAAACCCATTACCATCTCGGTCAAACACTTTAAATGCCTCCATCATCTCTTCTTCTGTGTCCGATTCCTTCATTTTCTTTGCCATCATTGTCAGAAATTCAGGAAAATCTATAGTTCCATTCCCTAAAAAATACCTGCTTAATTACATACGTGAAAAAATCTCAAATTGGTATAGGACCAGTAGAATCCTCCATTAAGAAGTGTCATGTATATGAATTCTTGTTTATCTAATTCCCGAACTTGTGTTATTTGACATAAAGTGTAAAGGTATGCTTTTATTATTATGAAGTTTTTATTCAACCCACAACACTCTCTCTAAGGAAAACATTCAATGGACAATGAATTGGCTTCTTGTAGTTTCTCTCTCTCTCTCTCTCTCTTCTTTTTTTTTTTTTTTTTTTTTTGAGGTTGAGCTTAAAAACATTTGACAGAGGCTCTCGTACAATAAAGAGTTCCTTCTCTAATAATTAGATTTATCTTATAAATAGCAATGCCATACATGCAGTTTATACATCCATATTGCTGCAATGCATGGCATACATATGTATGTAGTTATCGAATTTTGAATGAAATACATGGAGATAAGCTTAATTTATATTTTAAAAAAATCTCTATATTAATTAAAGATATCAATTATTCATTTTATGCACACAAAATTCAGGGAAGGATTTCTTCTGATGTCTACTTTAATTCTGATTTATATCTTAATAATAAAACTTTTTATGTGATTTATTAAGTGCTGACTTGATTCACAATTGAATTGTTTCTAACAAAGATAGATTAGTATCACCAATTTTATTGACGCAGTAATTCAGCTGGAGAGAGCAAGAATAAAAATGCGTAAAATATGTTTTTATGATATTTAAAAAGAACATTTGATACCTTATGATTAAAAAATATTTTTAATTACTTGAATTCATGATCATTTAAAGCTTTCTGATGTACTTCGGAATCAAAAAAATTTGTGTGGGCCCAATTTCGTGTGCTAATTTGTGCTACTTTTACAAGTTCGTGGGGATGTAATTTTATATTCTCTTTTATCCCTACAAAAGGGTGTATGACTTTTTAACCGTAGTTTATGAATTTGGGGAAAATATTAATTCATGGATGAGAGGTACACCCCACAAATACCTCGACAATTGAGCAAATCGAATGATACTACAATATCTACTCATGCAGTTGTGAAACAACTGAGAGATCAGTTTGAAATTACCATCAGCATCTACTTCGTTGATCATGTCTTGAAGTTCTGCCTCTGTGGGATTCTGACCCAGTGACCTCATCACTGTGCCCAGTTCTTTCGTTGTAATGGTTCCATCACCATCTTTATCAAAAAGACTGAATGCTTCTTTGAATTCTATTAGAAAAAGGTAGTAAAACAACTTTATTTGGGAGCTTTGACCTGATTTAGTGCATACATCAAATGTTAAATTTTCGCCAGTACCTGCTATTTGTTCTTCTGTGAGTTGATCAGCCTGTTACAAAAAAAAAAATAACGAAAAGAATGAGTCAGTCTGATAACGATTTATCAATGCAGAATTTCAAATTGCACATATTTACGTACTTCGCTGTATACACTAAGCGCGTTATTCTGATCCAGTCATCGTTATATCGATAAAGTACCTGGTAGATTTTTCAATATAACCCATCTAACCAAATAGCCCAGATCCTGTTTAAACGGTTAGTGTTTTCGTGATATCCAGCAACGATTATGTTTAATTTATTACGTTTACATCCGAAGATAAGAGACAACTATATTGAATTTATAATCATAAAAACTTTTCTTCTCTACGTCAAAGTCTTGTAGAGGAACACCTTTATGATCTTTTTGTTTGCACAATTTTCTTGCAAATAAAAATCGGGCAGGAATATGAAATATCATTACCACCCCACCCCCTACTATAAAAATATCACTACCACCCCCACCCCCTACTATAAAAAGGCAACCAAAGGCCACACATCTTAGTCAGAAAGTAGTTTATAACTAAATGATTGCATTTTATTGAAATAAACAACTATTGATTGACTTTGAATACATTTTTAATCCATATTTGGTTAACGTTACCAATTAAACCTGTGTAAACATGTGTTGATACACGTTTAACTATAAAAGTATATTTATGTTAAGGCCTACATATTGACCGATTTTTACAAAGACTCATCTGATGTAGAAATTTAAAACGTTTACTACTTTTAAACGAAAATATGTACTAGTAAGCGTGATAAAAATTTTCTTTATATACAGTAGCTGTTTTCATTTTAAAAATATATCTGGAAGATTAATATATTTCAACAATCTTGAGTCTGAAATAAATTTGCATTAGGCCTTTGTGAATAAAAAATTGCTTCTTTGCAAAAAGAAAAAAAAATGCTCTCAGCTTCCTTCAAATTTATAAAAGAGTAAGGAAATTACCAAAATGAATTTCGAACATTTTTTTTCTGACACACTTTAAAAGAATGATCGAAAAAGTGAGAAAATGTGATGCTTTTTTACTTTATATACATACAGAATTAAAGCTTTCTCTCTAATACAGATGCAGAATTAGAACTGATTTATTTGCAATAATAAACAAATACAAACTTTGCAGCATCCAGAATTTCACATAATTGTTTTAGAAAATCAAATTATGAACTCACCATTTTGCGACCAAATGCTCTGTGTCAGGTAGTTATGAACCCTGGTTAAGTTTAAATTTTTCTGGGGCGGTCGATCAATATTTTAAAGTCCAATTTACTTTCACTTGTAAAAATAAATCTTGCTTTGTACTTCAATCTAAAAACAATTAACTTTTCATTTTGTGAAAGAACTAAGGTCAAAAAGACCTTGAATAGTTTTAAAGAATTTAATTCCTTCTAAATATCCATACATAAGATATATCACATATCCAAAATAGTTAAACGGTTATGCATCATGGTTATCTCTCTTAAAAAACGTAATGGTCAATAATTTGTGGCTTTTCGGAAAAGATTGTCATACAGTACCTAATTTCTGCTTATAATTTGTGTACTGTTACAATGGACTTCTGAGCTTGATTAATGTTCGTTATCTTCGTATTTCAGTTTTCATCCTTGACCTCACTAGGTGGACAATCAATATCCCTTATTTCTCTAGCTAAGAGATCTGAAAATAATAGTATATGGAGTAAGATACAGTATAACTAAGTACACACATTTTCTTCCATATACAAAAATAGTCTTCGTTTGGCAGCACAGTCTGGTAGGAAATAATTCTAAAAATTAAAATTCTATTAATTCAAAGAATTATCCATGACAGAGATTCAGCATGAATACTTTGTGTAGCAAAATAGAACATTTCCATTACCAAATGAATGTGGACTTGGTTTATAAAATAGGAAGATGATAATTAGTAATCTGGCTCCTTTGAAACAATACAAATTGGGAGCAGAGCAAACAGACATCTACAGATATCAGTGGTGAGATTATAATTTAAGTATTACTATGAAGTACCATATATTGTTGCACATGTGAATACATTTAACAGCACTTTAGAGGGAGAAGTCCATTTTCTTGGGTGTGATTGTACCGGATTCCTGAATTTATATTAAAATAAGCACAATTTTCATTTATTTTACTGTTGATCTTTCTCTAATTATACACAATGTATATATAAAAGCAAATTTTCTTAAGAAAAGTGAAAAAAAATTCAAATTTATTTTCAATATATAAGATGATCTTGGCTAAATATAAAAAAAAAAAAAAACGAGGATACACAATGAAGTGCATTAAAGTGGTAAACATTTCGTTTGCCCGCGTGTTTCAGTTTTATTCTTTCATAATGACGCACCCATTTCTTTAGAAACCAAACAAGAAATATTCACAAGCAATGAAGACTTTCAGGGGAGAGAGAGAGAGAGAGAGAGAGAGAGAGAGAGAGAGTTGACCTGATTCTGTAAAACTCACAAATTACAAGAAATATGTACATAATCATAAATTTATAGAGTTTATTGGAGTTATTAAAACCCCTGTAGCATTTCAACTCGTGTTTTACTCGGTGTTTATGTAAATTGCCATCCTGGATGACGTTTGCCTGTTTCACAGGTATTCGAATGAACAATTTACAGCTTTTTCTCTCTCTTTTGAAAATTGGGAGTGTCATTAGATGTTCAAAACCGTCCATTCGTGCAAATCGATTTTTTCCCCAATGCATATCATTGTGAGTTTGTCTTTTACGTATACAATTCTTAAAGAAGAAAACAATTTAAAGAAAATTTTCATCTGCAGTGAGGAGTTGTTTCTCTTTAGACCTCAATATAAATGAGTATGACACTAACAGAGCAACTTTTAAGCACAATCATATATGATAATGATTTGACAGAATATAATGATCTCACAAAATAACTACCTTGCTTTTATAAATAAAATATATATTACATATAGTATCTTTTAGATCAAAACATGCAAGCATTAAATCGAATCTATGAGAATAGTTGGAGTGTTTCAATATGAAAATTTATCTTATTGCATTTATTTAATAGGAAAGCATTTTTTTATTAAATACATAGTAACCCCCTTATTATGATTAATTGTCGGCTAAGCAAACATCTTAAATTTCTAGGTCTGTATTAAACATGAAATAGTTTATTTTAGGAAGAAACCAATGATATAATTACATATTTTGTAGATTCTGCATATAAAGTTTTGTAAAAGAAAAAGGTGTATGTTCAGAAACTTATGATTTCATCTTATTTGCTCGACATCATCTTCACAAATTCTGAAATAAAAAAAAAACAAAATACTATACATATTTATAATTGGCAGTATACATGTACTTTAGTCTTGAACTTTTACCTTTTACGTATATTACAGTTTTGCTTGACATATTCCGTAAGATTTTAAATACATCTTGTGTAGTAAAGATAAAGAAGAGGGAAAGTGACGTAAAATAGAATTCTTGTTCAAGTTTTGGAGAAGAGGGGTATGAAATGCATCATATACAAGTTGTGATTCAAAATATGACTGATATAATTTTTTTTTCAAAGTGGAAATTTTACTTACTTTTACATTTACAATAATTACCTTTCTATTTCAATATTAAAAAGATTTCTAAGAGATATACTACCTTCGTAGTTAACTTGACCATCTCCGTCAATGTCTGCCTCTCTGATCATCTCATCTACCTCTTCGTCTGTTAATTTTTCACCTAGGTTTGTCATCACGTGTCGTAACTCAGCAGCACTAATGAAACCATTACCGTCTTTATCAAACACACGAAAAGCTTCGCGGAGTTCCTCCTCGGAATCTGAGTCCTTCATTTTCTTCGCCATCATGGTGAGGAATTCTGGGAAATCGATGGTTCCGTTTCCTGTACAAGATCAAACCTATATGTTATTAAACGATTTCAAGCATTGATGATATAATTATAGGAGGATTATAAATATCAGCAGAGTTGATTACACAATTCCTAAAATTACCATCAGCATCTACTTCGTTGATCATGTCTTGAAGTTCTGCCTCTGTGGGATTCTGACCCAGTGACCTCATCACTGTGCCCAGTTCTTTCGTTGTAATGGTTCCATCACCATCTTTATCAAAAAGACTGAAAGCCTCCTTGAATTCTTAAAGAAATGAGAGGGAAAAGCACTAGAGGATTATTTTTAAATGTTTACTGTTTTATAAGGATGTGTTCATCTCTGGTTCTTTTTTTAGCATGGATAAACTTGGGTAATAAAAATCTTTTTTTTTCTTTTGCCAGCCGGGTATATAATGTACATATCAAGTAATTTTCTAATATCATGTATATCTATCATTATATGGAAATATATACAGTATCTGTGTTGCAAAAAAAGTATAAAGTCCTAACAACCCCCCATAACACCCTCCCAAAAAATACTGCGATTGAATCATCTTTCACAGTAATGTTTTTCCCTTCGTATTCTTTACTAGTATCTATAAAGTTTTCAAGATATTTAATACTGACTGTTTGATAAGGAGGGTTAAAATATTACTTATTACTTGAACTCGTATTAAGGGATACCACGGAGTCCTCCATAACTGTCCATAGACAACGAAGGGACGATAACTTATATTATCTTCGTGCTTTTATTACCACAATTTAGGGCCGACTTTTTATTACATTCTGCAATGTTTCGCAAACTTTTATGTTAATTTCAGTTTGCACTAAAATTCAAATAAGAAAGAAAATCAATATTAGAGGTAAGCTTAAAGAATGCATACCAGTTTTGGAACGATTCAAAACATATTTTAAAAAATAAAAGATGTAATAGCTGCTTGGTTGAAAAAAAAAATGTAATTTTTTTTCGTTTCTAAGTAAATTTAAGCGACAAAGATAATCAGTTAAATACAGGATATAAAAAATAGTTCAATGTATACATGAAGTCAGTTGAATAAAATGCTGTAATCTCAGTGATTTTTAAAACATCACGTGGAGACTCGGGGAGCCAAAAATTAACAATGACTACCACTTAGATATGTTAGGTACCCCATGAACATGTATCGTACCTGCAATTTGTTCTTCTGTGAGTTGATCCGCCTACAAATTATATAAACTTTGGTATAGTTCTCATGCAAATCTTTATATATAAATAAAGACTTTTTTTTTACACATTTCTCATTAAATTAGTTAAGGAACTCAGTGTAAATCGTTTATGAAGGCTTTAAGATAACTCACCATTTTGTCGATTAAGTCCCTCTGTCTGATGTGAATTCTTTCGAGAAAGTAAACCTGTAAATCACGTCTCTTTAAACCCTAATGTGTACATCTTCCCGCTTAACAACCTTACAATTTTAAAATTATGTCGCGCATTGATAAATTTAAAATACAAATTCTGTTGATAAAAATTGTTGGGTTTTTTTTTTTAATGTTTACATAATTATTGTGGTAACCGTATTACGAATACAGCAATAGGCATTTTTCCGACGTCTAATTAGATATGAAAATATGATCTAACTGTGCGAACTTCAAAAAGAATTGAAAGAGCATACAATTCTACATTGCAAAATAAGTACTTACTCTAATGGATATACAATATATGTATCATTATTGCCTGTCAAAATGTCAACTTGTATGGATCTTAACATCTAGGAAATAATCCAACTTTCTAGATATTTATTTTTCTATCTCTTTCTAACAATTAATAAATATTTTACTTATTTTTACGTGTAACGACACAAAGTTTGTAAACAATGTAAGTAGCTTAATTAATTTGATCACTAATTTTATCCATTCTGAAGAAGGAAATTAATTTGTTCGATATACGATTTTGAAGTCAGTATACTTGTTTTTACTACTATTCACTTTTAAAATAAATTAAAGCAAAATGTCAACTTTTAATATCGAAAAAATATTGAATGTCTTCCAAGTTTGGAGTAATTTGACTTAGTGGTCTGCTAGGAGCTCGTCATCAATTTCAAAAACTCTGAAAATGAAGGAGGAAAGTGGAGATGAGGGATGAGAATACACAATTTTAATTTAAAAAAAATAACAGTGAATCAAATCTTAAAGACGAATAGGCATACATTTATACAATTTATTATTAACAAACTTATATGTATATAATTTATATTTCATATCTTGCCTTCATAGCGAGGTCTCCGATTGTCTCAAAATAAATCACTGGATAAAATTAACATATTGAATGGTCCTTGAAAAGATTTTGTTATTAATTTAATAATAAGTAAAATACCAACCTTGGTAATTAATTTTCCCATCTCCGGTAATATCCGCCTCTTTGATCATGTCGTCAATATCTTTGTCTGTGACGACTTCCCCTAAGTCCGTCATCACCTGACGTAACTCTTCTCTAGTTATAAATCCGTTTCCGTCTTTGTCGAACACTCGGAAAGCTTGCCGGAGATCTGTCTCCATGTCCTTCGTCGTTTTCGCCATCATCGCCAGAAACTCAGGAAAACTCACAACTCCATTTCCTGTCAATAAATATGGCATGATAATTGTTCATTATCGTCAGACAATAAAGTATATTAAATACATGGATTTGTACAAAATTTTGGACTTATGGTGGTTATAGTTGATGTGTATGTTAAATTTCTACATATATTTAAAAATGATATCCTAAAATTTCCCCCTTTAATCCATCGCCCTTATAAATTTATAAAAGATTTTAATCATCTCTTTATATTATATTAAGAAACTTCAGAGGATAAATGAATGAAACTTAATTCATTTAAACTTTATGATTTACTTAGATAAACATAATTGTTGCAATTCTGTTTTTGAAAACGATTATTTGTTCGTATAAATCCTCTGTGTGATTCGAAGCTCATAAAGAATTATAGAAATTTAGTGACAATGCAGTACTTTTTAATGATATCTATAAAAGCAATCTAAATGCGATATACACTGTACATGTGCAATGCAAGTTTTTTTTCTATGTCGATGAAGAAAATACAATCTTTGTGTCTTGTACTTTTGTTAAATTGTATATCTCTTTTTACGTCGTGATTTTGAAAAAAAATTAAGAGACTGTAAAAAAAGAATAATGAAGTTACAATAAATTTTCCCAAAAATGAAACGTTTATATCTCTATTCATTATACTGCTTGAGTACCTAAAGCATATCGCACATGCTTTACGTTTACTGTTAAAAATGGAATCAACCTTGTATATCCATTTTATGCAGATTTTAAAGCGCCTTATTTATATAAAAAAAATGCTTATGTAAACGTTGACATTTAGGAGAAAAAAGTAGAATAAAAAAAATAATAATCTAGAATGTTCCTTATTACCATCAACATCCGCTTCATTGATCATATCCTTAAGTTCTGCCTCTGTAGGATTCTGACCCAGTGACCTCATCACTGTGCCAAGTTCTTTTGCTGAAATGGTCTCATCACCATTTTTGTCAAAAATGCTAAATGCCTCCTTGAAATCTAAAATACCGTTAAGCGTTTCTGATGAAACTTGAATGCTTTTAGTATCGCAAAAATTTTAATGACTTGTTATTTCTATAAACGGATCATATTCTTGTCATAAGATTGATCTGAAAAAATTGCAAGATTAGAAAAGACAAGATATACAAGATTAAAAAAGTACTTTAATTCAATTCAATCAAATATATAGAAATTATTGCAAAGATCAGCAAAAATAACAATAATTATATAATCATGATATTTACATACTAGTAGTGTACCTTGTTACCGACATTTTCTTTGTAATACTATAATTCCCTTTCTTTTAGACTTTAAATTAAGTAATGGAAGTCTAACACAATATATAATGCCATCATTTCTCCTTTCTGATCTCTTTGCCTACTCAAACGTTCCAAAATATTTTCTCAGGAAATATTTTATTTTTATGTTTTTAATACACCTTTTACTTGCAGAACTTTCGAAGTTTTCAGAGAACGTACCTAATATTTGTTCCGCGGTGAAGTTGTCTGTCTTAACTGAATAGTCCTAAAAAAATAAAAGTAAACTTCAATTTATGTAAATTGCTCTTTATTATTTTAAATATTCATGATCTTATAGGTTTTAACTTAATAATAATATAAAATATTAATGTAAAAGTATGTTGTGAACAATAAAAAATTATATTGATGCTCACCATGTCTTAATTCTCCTCTTCTTTTCCAATTTGAAATAGATATAGAGTTATTCTTTTAGAAGGTATCTTTAAATATTGTGCTTATTTCTTTGATGACATAATATTTCTTTCCTAATTATGTTATGTCCACGCCTCTTCTGAAAAACATCCGTATACTAATCCGTGCTGGTAGAAGTAATTCGACAAAGAAAACGAAGTAAAGAAACTATTATCTGAGGTCAGAGTTGTCGGCTTTTGTATCCAGAAACCCGTGCGAAAATGTGACTAAAACCGAAACTGAAGTTGTTTATGTAATTTAAAACTGAAACTAGTGTTTGTTTAAATAGGATGTAGGATAGTCACAAATACCAGTCTTGCAATGATCTGATATTGCAGAACACCATAAGGCTAGACAGACATGTACAGTTTTCACTAGTTTGCATTGGTTCGGCATGGAGGAACAACACAATATGGTATGTCCAGTTTTTAGAGTCTAGGTCACTGTAGGATTCATCAATATTTCAGAATTCATTAAATCTTTTTAGGTAGCATCTGAAGCAATACATGCAGCCTCGATCAGTTCACCATGCAAGACTTGCATCGCCTTAAAAATTCATCTGTTGTAACAATTTGACCATTCGTCTGATATATCCGTATAGGACATTCGCAATACAAGGAAATTGCAATATCCGATTCATGTTTAATAGTATGCATCCTAGAAATTTATATTGGAAAAAAAAATATGCAGCAGTCATTCAAAGCACGACTGGAAGAATGTATCCCAGCATACAACATCTATGCAGGTATTTTCGACATATTCAAAAAAGATCATAAAAATAGGTAAAATTAATATATTTTTTGCAATGTATTTGGAAAAAAAACATGTATATTTCAATGTATTTGAAATATAATTATATCTAAGATGTAGAAATTTGACTTGTACAACATATGATTAAAGGTTAACGTAATATGAGCAATGTGTCTGAGAGACTTTGAAACAGGTTGATCGCGCAGATGTGTGCTTGTTTATTTGTTTTAGACAATACTCACGAATTTCACCCATTTCAACCCGTTGGATACAGAAACTATAAAACGACATACTGAGTAACTGTGGATATTCTTTAAATGTTATACAATTTTTAAACCTTTATCCCATTTCAAACTATATTTATGAACTTTTGTCAAAATCAACGATGTCACCTTTTAAAAATTATTGAATGCTAAAGAAAATTAATTGTTGATACATGTACAAATTATGAAAACTTGAATTGATATCTGCTGCTTCTTTTGAAACGTTTGTAACAATCAGTCGAAGGTAACTTAAAAATTAAAAGCATGCTTTTTAGCTCACCTGAGCCGAAGGCTCAAGTCATATTTTCTGATCACATTTTGTCCAGCGTCCGTTTGTCTGTCTATCCGTCTGTTTGTAAACTTTTCACATTTTAGACTTCTTGTCAAGAATCACTGGGCCAATTTTATCCGTGGGTTAAGGGGATTCAAGTCTATTCAAATAAAGGGCCACACTTTCTTTCAAAGGGAGATAATTAGGAATGAGTGAGAAAAATAATGACGTCTTTTAAAAATCTTCTCAAGAACCATTGTGCAAGGAAAGATGAAACTTATGTGGAAGTATCCTCAGGCAGTGTAAATTCAAGTTTGTTCAAACCATGACCCCCAGGGGTAGGTTGGGGCCACAATGGGAGATCAAAGTTTTACATAGAAATATATAGGAAAAAAATATTGTTAAAAAAATCTCAAGAACAGCAAAGCCATGATTGGTCATATTTATATGAAAGCATCCTCATATAGTGTAAATTCAAGTTTGTTCAAATCCTGACCTCCGGGGTGGGATGCCGACGGGGTCACAATGTGTGGTAAAAGTTTTACATAGAAATTATATAGGAAAATATTGTTAAAAGTCTTCTTCTCAAGAGCAGCAAAGCCATGATTGGTAATAATTATATGAAATGATCCTCATTTGGTGTAGATTCAAGTTTTTTCAAGTCATGACTCCCTGGGAGAAGGGTGGGTCCCAATGCGATCAAAATTTTACATAGGGATATATAGAAAAAAATCTTTTTCTCAAGAACGGAATAGCCATGATTAGTCAAATTGATATGGAGGCTTCCTCGGGTAGTGTAGAATTAAATTGGTTCAAATGAGGGTCCCAGGGGTAGGGCTGGCCCACAATGAGGGATCAAAATTTTAAAAATGAATAAATAGGAAAAAATCCTCTGCCCAAGAACAGCAAAGCCATCTGTTATATCGATATATCATCAGGTAGTTTATTATTCAATTCCCCCTTACACTTTTCAATATTGAACTGACTTTAGCGTTTTTCCCCCTGGTCATTGTGCTCAGGTGAATGATGTGGCCCATAGGCCTCGTGCTAAGGAATATCATTTGTGGTTTCTGGGATAAGATGTATGTCCAAATTGATAAGAATTTTCAGGCTGTTTTTAGGAATACCCATCGTGGTTTCCGGGATAAAATTAATATCCAGATTGGTTTGGTCAGATAGGTTTACTGTCGTTTCAAGTAGAAATGCATTTGTAAATCAGACTGAAACTGGGTTATTGATTTATCCTTCAAACTAAATAATAAAATGTTTATTTAATCAATGTAATGAAATCATCAGAAAATACTACTGGTAAGATGAAAATGATTTCATTATGTGTCATTTTTTTTTGGAGAACTCCTGGAATAGCAAGAAGCTTGGCCTCAAGATTATAGTAATTCATAATGATATAAGTTGAAATCACAACTGAAACTGACTTGACTTTTTAAATAATTATTTTTTGTTTAGTATCAATCTCAATGTGTCTAAGCCCCAAAGATCAGCAATTCATATTCATAATTTTTGTTTTATTTTCAACAGTGTTTTTGTAAAATGTAAATAAAAAAAATATTAAAGGCAAAAATGCACTTATACACATCAACTTCTTTTTAAGGAGATGAAAATAATCATTCAATCAATGAAAAAGCATTTGCTCCTAAAATGAGACATATCACTAAAAATGTAAATGACTAAAATTGTTCTTTGGAGGGTTCACAGATGGATGGAGAATGGAGGACCTACTTGGCTGACATCATTCTGACGAACTCTGAAAATAAAACAATGTTACAGTAAGTCAAGAACAGGAGTGGTGCAGCAATTCATTTAATATTTTTATTGCTTTTGAAACACTTTTATCTATTTATTTAGTGGATAGATATCCAGCTATTGTTTCTGTATGTCACCGATGGCAACCGGTAATCATGTCCTTTAAGTTACGAAATTGCAAATAAAATAAAAAAAATTATAAATATTTTTGTTTGTTGATTAAATGAAAATAAATAAGTATGGTATAGCATTTTATCAAATTAAGGACTCATGATACAAACAAAAAAGGATGCCTGGATTGGTATACATTTTCGGACCTATTTTGATTGCAAATGATAAGAATACCGTATAAGTGGAAATTTTAGCGAGACGCAAATTTAGCGATTTGTTCTTAAAAATTGGTATTTTATTTTAAGCGTCATGTAATTTTAGCGATTTTAAAAAGCTCGCTAAAGAAGCTATTACAAATTAACTGCAATTGATTTTAGCGATATTCAATTTTAGCAATCTTGGCAACCTAGCTAATAATGCCAAAATTAGATCCTCGCTAAAAATTCTGCTTAGACAGTAATAAATTTCTTATCTTAAATATTATTTTTGTGTATGATGTTTCCAATTCTGTTTCTCTTCAACTATCCTTATAAATGTTTACAGAGATTATTCGTTACTTTAAATCCCATTTTGGATTAAAAAAAAAAAAAAGAAAATCACCTGATCATTGGACTTTAAAGAACATGACTTAAGTTGTTCTTTTCGAGATTTTTGTCAAGTTTGTTTGTGTCATCTGTCCTTTATTAAAGACGTTATATAGGAAATGTGATCATAAAGCAAACCTTCGTAGTTAACTTGACCATCTCCGTCAATGTCTGCCTCTCTGATCATCTCATCTACCTCTTCGTCTGTTAACTTTTCACCCAAGTTTGTCATCACGTGACGTAACTCGGCAGCACTAATGAAACCATTACCGTCTTTATCAAACACACGGAAAGCTTCCTTCAGTTCTTCTTCAGAATCTGTATCCTTCATCTTTCGGGCCATCATGGTGAGGAATTCTGGGAAGTCGATGGTTCCATTTCCTGTTCAAAATGTATTTGATAAATGATAATGATATTATAAAAACTTACATTCGCTAATCGTGAACATTTTTATTATTCCTTTTTTCTCAGTGAGATATATATTCACCATCAGCATCTACTTCGTTGATCATGTCCTGAAGTTCTGCCTCTGTTGGATTCTGACCCAGTGACCTCATCACTGTGCCCAGTTCTTTCGTTGTTATGGTTCCATCACCATCTTTGTCAAATAGACTGAAAGCCTCCTTGAATTCTAAAATATTTATACCTCTTCACATGTTTTAGATAAATCTTACTTCAGGAGGCTATAGCTATTGCATGTACTAAACAATACTTTAACAAATTAAATTTAGTAGATGGTGAAAAGTAAAATCTACAGAAACATTTGACTAAAAATCATCAATAGGATGGGCCATTTGATGATGTTTTCAAACTGAAGACTGGTATAAAGGAGACATTATTGTAAAGGGACTTTTAATCCCAAAAATAGTAGAGCATTGATTGGATCTTCGTGTTCTGAAAGACAACAGTCATTAAAACACTCTACAATGTATTTAACAAAATGTTTGACATTGTTTATGGTATGCTTTTCAAGGATGCCACATGGAAAGTAAAAAGAAATTCTTGGAGTATTTGGAGATGTAAAAAATTGTCCTCTACAATTTTTTTTTCATAAATGACATACCAGCTATTTGCTCTTCTGAGAGTTGATCTGCCTGAAAAAAAGTTTAAATGGATCAGTGTGAAGTAAACAAAAGCATTATTGATATTGATTCAAGGTTCATGGTTGCAAAAAGAGCACCATTGTTTTATATGTGCTTTCGTGAGAAAACGTGTTCTTAAAAAATACATTTCCCTGTATTTGTTTCTGTATTGTTCAAACATTGACATACTTTTTCAGAATCTTAAAAAAATATCTGTTAAAAAACAGTTTTATTTAGAAAAAAAATATTTTAAATTAAATTCTGACTCTATCAAATCATCTATAGTTAATATGCCTAAAATATTTAAGGATATTACTATATTTAAGATATTACTATTCTATTAACTAAAAACATAAATTTAAAAGTGCAAGCTTTAAAAAAAAAGTAGAAGAGAAGCAATGAGAAATGAAAGTACCTGAACAGGTAAAATAAACGATAAATATAAATATAAAGATATCTTATTCTTTTATCCTACTTGTAACTAGATACATGGATTCCAAATAACAAAATTAGAAAAAGAAAACTCCTGTACTGATGATTAAAAAAAAACAAGCTTACCATTTTCCTGTCTAAACCTCAGAGTGCAAACGTGAAATGCTGTTATCTTGTAAACTGAAACTTGGTGTATAACCGGTCCCGTCACGCTATCAACATGCAAAAGGACACCTCTTTCTTTCAAAATTTAACGACCTTAAAATTTAAAAATCCACCCCACTGTTGGCGGTGTAAATAGAATATAGAGTAAAGTAATATCCAGATGGTTCTGGAGGTGCACTTCGTTTATAGTTCTGTTTATTGTGAGACATTGTTGACTGTTCATCTCACCAAATCTATAGTGACATGCCGCAATGCGACATTTAAACATAGATATGGTTAAAGGTGAAACAGAATCAATGAGAAAAAGAGATCAATTACCAAGAATACATGTATAAATATCTCAAAGTTATTGTATTCCAACACTCTCGGGAATATACGTGTAATATTTTTTAAGTAAACGTCTTTTTGCTTCGATGAAAGAGTACTGTCTTTCCAAAATTTTTATGCTCCCGTAAACGAAGTTTCGGGGGTATATAGATTTTGCCCTGTCCATCCGTCTGTCTGTCTTTTTGTCCGCAAAACTTTAACCTTTCCCATAACTTTTCAGTGGCCTGGACTATGGCATTCAATTTCACAGGTATAATCCTTGTGACAAGACCTTTCTTTGGGTACCAACAAATTTGACCTCTTCATCTTGATCTTGGAGTTTGACTTACATTTACAAAAAATACCACACATTTATTTAGGCAAAACTTTGAAACGGTTGGCGCTGGAATTTCATTCTTCTCATATGTATTCTGTGCAACATGACCTTTTTTTGACTTTCGACAACTTTGACCTTTGATCTTGACTTTGTTAGATTGATCTATTTTTTTCAAAAACTATTACCTTGGCCATGACTTTTAACACTAAGGGTTAGGGCTTTCATACTTTAAATATGTAATCCCTGTGACACGACCATTCCTAAAATACCAACAACTTGTTGACTCTTTGACCTTGAACTAGGAGTTTGACCTACGTTTAAAAACTTTAACCTTGGCCATAACTTTTAAACGGCGAAAGCTAAGGCTTTCTTACTTCAAATATGTAATCCTTGTGCAAGACCTTTCTTTAGAAATTAACAACTTTGACTTGACCTAGGAGTTTTACCTACTTTGATAAAACTTTTTCCTTGACTACAACTTTTGAACAGTTGGTGGTAGGGCTTCCATATTTCACAATTGTATTTCTTGTGAGAATGCCTCACTTTAAGTACCAACATATTTGTTTTTCACTAAGACATTTTAACCTTCGCTATGTTGCCATACTGGGGTATCAATGTTTCACAAACACATCTTGTTCCTATGTTGAAAAAAATATAAATGTTCTAATTTACTCAGATGAGCTGTTGCTCCTTCACAGTTGCTTCCATCTAAAGATTTAGGGAATAATGTGTCGAGTGAAACCTTTCAAAGGGCTCTTTTTGTATATTTTCTTTTTATTATGAAATATGTTGGCTGTTTTTGATGCTGGAGTAATTACACGTATCCAGTTAGTTTAATGATAGATGATTTAGAGTTTGTAAGATGATGGGCATGATGGTGTTACTTGGCACTATTATACAGATTTAGTCAGTGGAGAATTTTACTGGATTCAAAGAAAGTCTCTTAGAACATCGAAGTCACTGGACCTAGATGATTGTTTTATGGACTTTTGATCTGGAATACTGTTCGTTATCTCCATTTCTTTCATTTAAAATTTTAATTTTCTGTGCGCCTCTCGTAGTTCGAATCTTATTTGCCTTCAACCATAAATTTACTTCTTCAAGTCCGTTTATACAAGAATAGCTTATTTTTTAAATGTAATATTGGTTACTAGGTCCTTTTTGTGCAAATTCAGTGCAGTTAAGACCATCAATCAATCACCTTTCACGTGTCGCATTCCTCTATTTACATGATACTACTAATCAATTATTGACTTTAAGCTAGTAATAGTGTGTTATCAGATAAAGTCATTGTTTTCAGTTTAATGTACTTCATGTTTCGCAATTGACAATCTGCATTTATTAAAAGACTGGTGTTATACACAGAATTTTAATAACAATATAAAAAGTTATTCAAGAGAACAAAAGCCACCTGAGAGTAGTTTATACAAGTGTTGATTTCTAACCTAAATCCTGGGGGACAAATACTTTCTTGTTATACATAAGTAAATAGTGCTATGGTGATTTGTCGCATTGCGGACAATCTTACTTGCGGCCGTAATCTATTGTAGGTCATGTAGGTCCGGCAATGAAAGAAAAATAAGGTTTAAAATGATAGCATTCTAGTGTAATTTTGTAACTTTAATTGTCATTTAAGAGTGTTTGGTACATTTAAACCCTTTCTGCCTTGGCTGACAATTACCCATCCTTTTCTCTGTTTTAATTCAGGGACAAACTCACGGCAAGAAGACACCACGTTTATTAATGCATCGTGTTTACATATTTTATGAGGTATTTGTAAACAGCAGGTGCCCGTACCCTGAAGTCGAATGTCGCTTAGGAATTGTTTTAATATTTACTTTGATATTTACTAAATCAATGGATAACATATCAATTTTGATGAAATATTTCAATAAAGTAGATGTATTTACAGCTTGTAAACACGGTATATATAAAAATCAAGTCTGGCTGCATGGGTAGCTATTTATCAATAATTGATCATTATGTTCTTCTAAACCTTTTTGATAGTCAAGCTGTATTTACATAATTTAACTAGAGCTTCTGGAATCATATCCATATCAATGTTATGTTAAAACATTTTATGAAGTTTAGTATGTAAATCTTCACATACACCTTTTAATGATTCTGAATAATGATAGGTTCAAATGCAACCAATATTTCTTTATTTGTCCTTTCTGTGAAAAGATCTTTCCTTTTTCGTATTTCAAATATAAGAAAAACAAAATACAAATAGTTGTCAACAGATTTTATTCAACAATACAAAAAAGTTTATATAAAATATACCAGTCTCAGATCACAAAACTTAAAAAAAATTGTTTTGTAAAGTGTCATTATATGCCTCTGTCCTGGAAGGGTATAAAAAAAATATCACACTTATGGATATGGATGATATGACTTTGAACGGACACACGGATGTGAACTTTCAGGCTAAAGACTCCATTGTCAATATATTTCTAATTGAAGAAAACATGGAAAAGTCCTTCTCTTTATTTACTTGTCATCATTCTTACGAATTCTGCAGAAAAATAGAAAGAAGAGTATAAATATAAATATATAATTATATAAAATATGTTTTAAGTTCACATTGAAGGAAAAAGCTATATATCATTTATCTCATAGTCTCCTACATGTACTTATGTCCGTCATTAATTTCGGATGTAAAAAAAAACAAACAAAAAGATAAATTGTTTAAGCCGTCTTCACCATTCAAAAGATGATAACATTTACTTATTAGTTTCTATGAATATCATAAATACAAAGAGTGTCCTAATAGGTTATCATCTTACGTACCCTCATAATTAACTTGTCCGTCACCGTCCAAATCAGCTTCCCTGATCATCTCATCAACCTCTTCGTCTGTTAATTTTTCACCCAAGTTTGTCATCACGTGACGTAACTCGGCAGCACTAATGAATCCATTGCCGTCTTTATCAAACACACGGAAAGCTTCGCGGAGTTCCTCCTCGGAATCTGAGTCCTTCATTTTCTTCGCCATCATGGTGAGGAATTCTGGGAAATCGATGGTTCCGTTTCCTGTACAAGATCAAACGCTATATGTTATTTAATGATTTTAAGCACTAATGATATTATAATTATAGGAGGATTATAGATATCAGCAGAATGAATTAAACAATTCCAAAAATTACCATCAGCATCTACTTCGTTGATCATGTCTTGTAGTTCTGCCTCTGTGGGATTCTGACCCAGTGACCTCATCACTGTACCCAGTTCTTTTGTTGTAATGGTTCCATCACCATCTTTATCAAAAAGACTGAAAGCCTCTTTGAATTCTGAAATTCAATGATAGTTAATCAGAATAATGTTGGTTCAATTAATCATTGTCATTATAACAAAAGAAGATTTAAGGGGATTTTCATTAAATCACAATTACTTCATATGGAAAAGTGCTTACCAGCAATTTGCTCTTCAGAAAGTTGATCGGCCTACAAAAGAAAATACATTAAAAGACTGTATTAAAATGGCAGTTTGAAAGAAATCATAGAATTAAGTTTTATATGGCACCTAGAATAATTAATGATCAAGTCGGCATTTGAAATTCTGAGGGAAAAGTTTTAAGTCTTGATTTCCAGTGCATTCGAACATTGTGGTACATGTATATAATTTCCTTCATAGATATAAGGCCTATTACCTAATGATCCTGTCACGAATATACGATTTCTAGCAAGTATTCGATTTAGTGCGTATTTCCGCTCAAAAATTCCTTTATTACTGACCATACACAGCTTATAGTTACATATGAAGATATTACTATGGACCACACTGTACTCCTCCACCCATAACAACAACAGTTTTATGTTTTCATCTAAGTATTATCAGGCTGATTTCTATTCATTTAATCATTCATGGCAATTTCATGACTCGAACAAATAAATAAAAATTTGATTCTTCTACATATATATAATCATATGGATTATATTCTAACTGCTATATTATTTTGTTTTTAAAATATGACAAGAAACATTGATTCGAGCTTAAAGGTTTGATCACATACATTTTTGCAAGTTCATTCATTCGAAGAAGCGTGGTGACTATGGTGATATCTTATTTTTTCATGTATAAAACAGGTTCTTTGAATAAGAAATTCAACACTATTCAAGTGTTTGACAGAGGTACATTATATAAATTGCATACATGTATTTTAAGAGATATTTATTTCTGTCGCATTTTAAATTTCTTTTTATGATGATCATGGTACATGTACATGTATGTCCATATAAAATAATATTGGCAACGGAGTTAACGACATATTTTTAATTCTTAATAAGACTATACATTATAAATAGCATAATGATCCTGTCAAAAAGAAGTACAAATAAAGTCATCTGGTAAAAAAAAAAGTACGTCAAAGTACGTCAGTCATTTAGTAACTTAAGATACCAATACGGAGAATTCGTGATATTGGATCTAATGGCATAACTGAGAATATTTTGTGCACATTTTTTTTTCTTTTAAAATGAATTTGAGAAATCCTTTTTGTACTTTCTTAGGTAAATCTAACATATTCAAACTGCATTAAAATGAATCAGTTCTTAAAATGTTAAAAACCACCTACCATGACTGCTCGCTTCTACTGCTGTCGTCTGAGTGGTAAGGACCAAGGCGTCCAGCCTTTAACAGTAAAACTGGTCAATGCAAGTCCCGGCCCGCCAAACAAAAGCAGATTTAAAATATTTTCTCAAAGGCTTAATCATACAAAGATAAGTATGTAAAGGGAGTAAAACAGACCAACTTTTCAATGGGTCTTTGTTACCAGTAGCAATAGCTCTAATCAATGACCTGTCGATAATTTGGCAGTTTTAAAAGGCGATTACGGCATCCTATCGTGATGTAATAATTACATATCAGGATGGGGGTAATTAAATTGTTTAATTTGTGCTTATTATTTCAAGATATACTTAATACGATGTTTATATTTATACAATGTATACTTTCTGTAAATAAAATGCATCATCGTGTGATAAGCATTGACATTTTTTTAAATGACCTTTTTAGATGTAATAAACATTTTGAATTATATAATAAAATTGATATCATTTTCAACAACTGTTTTTTCCCTTAAAAATGTATAAATATGCGTATATATGTACATGCAGGTCTTGCATTGTAGCAAAGAATGATGAAAAATGTTTGGATGTCAACAAATGCTAAATTATGCAAACTTTTCCTATATAGTCATTTTTAAGCAATCAAAGAACTATATAGTTACGGGAATAAAAGCTCCTAGCATCAGATTTATTCGGATTTTTTCGTTTTCAATAAATTAACTAGATTTGTTAAAATACGAATTTTTTCGGGATATATCCTTTACCCTTACACAAATCGTTTTGACCGGATATGTTATACCAATTGTTTTACAAAGTTTTGAATATGTACTCTTATCCTAAATTCAATTCTTAATTTTAGGGTACACGTGGACGTGAAAAAGGAAGGGAATATAGCGACATTCAATGAATAGAAATTAAAATACAACCCTCAGGTAAGAGCAGACGGATTGTGATAAGGCGCTATGGAGATTTGTCGCATTGCGGGTCTCACCGAAAGAAAATTTTGTCGCATTGCGGCGAAAGTTAAAGGTAAGGGTGGGTCACTGCACAGGTAAACAATGCTCGCCAGGGCACACGAACACTTTAAACGTGTCAAAGTCCTAGGTTTACATTTTAAATTGCAGGTGTTATCCATTATAAGATCGAACGAAATTTGCCTTCATTTTCCGAGCTTTAATCATTCTAAAAAGTTGTCTTTAAAAAATCATGATTTCAAGTGGTATTTGCTGTTTTACTGTCGATAATTCTCTGACAAAAGCCGCAATCTCGTTAGTCCTTATTCGTATACATGTATAATTTTGGAGAAAATTACTTCAAATACAAATAATTTAATTTTGCTTGTAATCTTGCCTCTCATTGGTTGATTTCCCAAAAGGAACGCATAACATTTTGTATAATCTGGTTTGGTATGGGGACACACCCTCTTGACAACCAACATAATCAACTGTATCCATCAATCCCCTCATTTCCAGTCCTTGGGATTCATGGAAAATTCCAGATTTAATGAATGTACCTTTAATTTCAAACAGTTACTCGATCTTACCTGATGTAAACAAGCATCATGGCTGCTAGATCTATGTATCAGTTTTTACCTCCCCTCGCTTCCCATCACTTCCGTTACTACGGTTGTATTATTGCGCGGTAAATTTGAACTCATAAAAACAACACAATTTTACATCCCCAGTTAAATAATTAATTTAAAATTAAATTATAAGGAATGGCTCTGACTGTATGTCCTCTCGACATCTCTGAAAGTTTTGAATGTGTTCTCCTGTTGTCTGATAATTCTTGGCCAAATTATCGAGTATAATTTGGTTTGGATCAGTTTACGCTTTTTTATAATCCGCTTCGCGGATTATAAAGCGTAAACTGACCCAAACCATATTATACTCGATAATTTGGCCAAAAATTAGAGTCATTCCTTAATAAATCAGGGTTCGCCGCCGTAAAATTTTGAGAAATTTTTGAAACAATATCAGGTGTGTTTTTGTGATTTTTTTTACTGAATTGAATTGAAATCTTATATTATTATAATTCGGTTTATAAGAAATTCTTTTCACCAAAAGTTCTATTTTATCAGAGAAATGTTAAGTATTTTAACATATTTTAAGGAAAAAAATCTCGTTCAGGGAAACAAAAAAATAAATAAAGCAAAATGTCCCTGCAACCGGGACTTCTTCAAAAACTTTTCCGATAATACTATGTAAAAGAAACGTTTATAAATCTTCATTCTTTTCATATATATATGAATATCAACTGATTTTTTTTCAACACAAAATTTCGACTTGAAAATTTCAGCTCATATTGCGTCCATGTAGAAACTGAGAGGCTGAGTCTATAAGAAGTCTGGAAACTGAGCGGATGAATTTAAGGGGACCGACTATAGTTTTATTGTGTGAAAACTACAATAGCGAAACTCTTCATTTTTATACCACATATAACTTATATTAACTTCAGTGTACATGCAAAGTTTGGGGGAAATCTACCGTCCAGGTATTTTTGAGGGACCGTCTCAAAATACAGGTACATTTACTATAGGATTATATAGGAAAATGCTAAATTTAGCACTTTAAAGCAAATTATACAAATACTACAATAGACATTTTGTTCAAACTATAATATTTGATGAGTAATACTATATTATACAATATATGTACGAAACACAAAATTCTACCGTCTTGTTACCAGAGGGGGCATCTCAAAATGCAATAAATTAGCAAATTTTACTATTTTTATAGAGTACTACAAAATATGACGTACAAAATGGATTCACATGAAAACATAACAAAAATATTGGAGATATTCTCAAATTCCTATGTTTTAAATTTCAAGAGCGTATATTTATTACTTTTTCTTTAATAGTATTTTTATTACCCCTTTCTTTAAGAGCTTCAGTTTATCATAACGTCAAAAAGACACTGCAGCGACGTCAACCTACCTATCAATTGCAAAATCGCTTAAAAAATCAGTTATATCAAATTGTAATTACATTTTTATACCTATAATTTCTTAATCTTGTTTAAATTTTAATAATTAAGCGAAAAAAATTGCATCAAAACAGTAAATACCTTCATTTTACTATGATGCGCGAAATATTGCGCAGTGGAAACTATAGTCGGCCCCCTTAAGAAGAATGGAAATCGAGGGATTTGAGTCTAAAAAACTGGGAACTGAGGAGTTGAGTCGATGAAGTCTAGGAATTGAAAGGCTGTGTCTGAGAACTGAGAAGATGAGTCTGGGAACTTAAAAAATAATACCGAAAATTGAAAAAATGAGGCTGAGAACTGAGGCATTGAGTCTGATATCTTATGAATTGAGAATGAGAATTGAGACTAAACATTGAGAAGCAGAGTCTACGAACTGGGGAATCTATAAAACTGATGAGCTGAGACTGACAATTGAGAAATAGAGTCTTAAAATTAAAAAAAAATCTTGATACATCAAATTGAGAAACATCAGGATTATATATTTTTAGTGGTATAAATTGCTAAAATATATAAAATTGGTATATTGCACATGGAACTTTGAAGATGTTGATTCCATTCAAAGTGAGAAAAAAAAATGCCACAGATACATGTAAAATATATAACAAAACAAAACAGTATCATTTGCTTGCAGAACTGGTTTTATATAATTTCTATTTCGTAAAAAGCATTTAGCAATCACATGAATTAAGGTGCAGTAAAATTTTATATGTAACAATTTCCTACAACAATATTAATTTTCTGACTGTGATCAAAAATCAAAAAAATAACTTATGGAGGTATTATTTAACTTTACCATTAATGGGAAAATCTATAGTTTTTATATTCCTTTTTTCTATTTGTTCTCTAGTAAAATGATACCGCTTTTGAATAATCATTTGTATGTTTTCACTAAGGATGTAATGAAATAAAACATATATTGTACCCTATTGCTTATCACTTTCTCGATAAAGATCGTTTATCAGCCCTATATATGAGGCTTAGGCCCTCAGGTTGATATACATGTAGGGATCTTGGGCTGATGCGGAGTGTGAAATGAAATAATTATATATTTCTCATGTAAAGAGATTTTTAAGGTATTTTAAAGTTTGATTAAATCCAGTAATGGTTCCTGATTGTTTTGTCAAACGTTGTTTTTCTTATTTCAAACAAAATCAAATTACAGATGTCAAAGAGAAGAAAAGAATAACATAATTATGTAACCGAACATAAATCGATTATGTATTACCCTGGTATGTTTATAAAACATATTGATTTTATGATATTTATTTATGTGCGTTTATTATGGAAGGATAAAGAGTCTTATTAAATTGTAATTAAAAAAAAAGACGTATAACAGTATGCAGAACTTAGATTGTTCCCACTGGTTGGCACTTCCAGGACACCGGTGAAGAGGAGTAACTCTTGTAGAGAGACAGAAGTCTGGATCCAGTTGTCGTTACTGAATGTAATCCTCACATCAAATCAAACCCTTGCTATTAATAATTTCACAAAATCTATGACAAAAAGAAAACATTTATTTTACAAAACACATAAATTTAACACCCTCACATTATGTCTACATGAAAGCATTAAATGGTTATAGAGGCTGAGGGTGGAAGCCATTTTCAGACTATCTGGATCTGCTTATAAAAGAGAAGAGCTCCAGATAAGGATTATACAAAAATCATCAAATTTTAAACCTAAAATGTATGAATTTTTTCTTTGCCAAATGATTGTTGACAGCTTAAGATACCGTATCTCCCTAAACTGCACCCATTTTCCGGGTACTGAAGTTAGAATGAACCAAGATTTGACATAAATATTGAATAAATTTTAAATTGCATTGTATAATATATTTAATAAAACTATATATTTGTTTACCTTCAAAACACAAATCACCATTGCCCTTTGTGTCAAACTGCTTAACAAGGTCAAAAGCGTGTTCCTCATCAAATGAAGGTTCAAATTCTGCCATAAACTCACACAGAGCCTGTGGGGTTATACTTCCTGTTCCGGTCTTATCGAGCACTCTAAACACCTCGTGAAATTCAAAATCTTTTTCGTCTTTTTTACTGAACGGACCTTTGTGGCTGTTCATTACAGACACGAATTTGTCCAGAGTTACCAAACCATTGCCTATATTTATAAAGAAATTAAAAATCAAATCATGGTCCTCCATCCCCCCCCCTGCAGAAACAGTTGTCTTTTTCAAAATATTGTTAAGTGCCCATCAATAGGCAATTCGTTTTTGACTTTGCATCCCCCATACAAACTCGAATGCTTTTGATGAAGAAATATGCATCAAATGGATGCATTTCTTCACCTTTTAACCTATTTCATATTTCGCACTGCATAAATTTCTTCACTAAAGTTGGACTTGCAACAATGTAACTCGTTTTCAAAGGAATGATATTAGGAGTTTTGGATTGGATTAAATGATTGTACGAGGGCTGTTCAATAAATAATGTCCTGAGCTCTATAACATACAGTATAGAAATCATATGACATAAAGCTTGACTTTCTCTCATGATTGAATCTTTAATGAATTGATTACAGTTTATGTGACCACTTTTCATCACATAGTTTCATTGTGAGAAGCTGGAAAACAAGGGCTATTCGAGACACTGCATTAAAAATGAATGGTGAAGAATCAGTAAACTAAAGTGAAATTAAACGCTTCATTTAAGCTGTTGCATAACTCGTTAAGAATCCCAAAGGAATGTTCACTGAAATATGACAAATTTACAGCAACCAATGTGTGTTTTATAGCCACTTGAGCACGTGGATTTCAATGAACAAAAAAGATTTAATTGGCATCAAAAATGGGTACCGTCCTTGACGACAAGGACTTACAACAACCAATGTACTGTTTGCCAAAATTCAACAATCATCACTGACGATGTTTTATTAACTTTACTACACATGGCATAATTAAAAGGCATCGTTTTGGTTGGAGTTAACACTGTTTTAAAGAAACATTTGACAGTAAAAATGCTTAGTACTCAATGGTCACCCTATGTTTTGAAAAATGAGTGAAAACGACAGCGTGTTAGAATATCTAAACAATTATTTAAAAAAAATCAAAAATTGTAGTTATCAACGTTTTTCTGAAATTCAAACAGATAATGAAACTTGAATCCATTGCTTTCAACCCTTAAAACAAATTTATGATTAGATGCACTTGATAAAAACAGCCAAGGTCTGAGAAAAGCAAAGAATTGCAAAAGCACAGAAACAGGCTTATATGCCATTTTCTTAAATATTAGTGGTTTTATTGTCCAAATTGTTATTCGGGGAGGCAGTTTATTCTCTGGAGAAGTGTAGAAAGCAAATTTTTGCAACAAATGAAAGGTTTATGAGAGGATGGAACCAGAATCAGGTATCCACTACATTCAAGTTCATGATAGCGTCCAAACCCATACGCCATGAAGAGAAAAGGAGTTTGGGGGATAAACAGATTGTTAGTGTTTTGTCACACCAACAAAATTGGCCAGATCTTTCACCCTTTGATTTGTATCATTTTCCAAACTTGAAAAAAACACATTTCAGAAAGAAGAAAAGTCCAGGAAATCATAGGATCTGCCATATTCCAGTGTACGATGGGTCCTGCTCAAAAATGTGTTCTAAAACAATCAGAAAGTAGGTAAAAATGTTACGGACCTGTGTTCATATTAAAAGAGAATATTTAAGTGAAATCATTAAGACTAAATCATTGAAAAGCGTTTATTATTTCTTTTCGAGCACCGAGGACATTATTTATTGAACAGCCCTAGTACATGCATTAATTAGCTCAAGAGGAGCTCCGAGTGATTTAGCACAACAACAACATATTCCCCCACAATATTTTGACTGATCTTTGCATGTTGACAAAGTTTTTTTTGGCTTTACTTTAAGTTGACATAATCTAAGATATGTAGGCATGTCTCCAAACAAAATAAGAAAAATACCTGTGCTACAGGTATACCTTTCTTGTCGAATTCCGCTAGCACCTCTTGTAACTCGCCCTCAGTTGAAACAATACCATAGGCATGCAGAACTTGTCTGATATCATTCGATGACAAGTAGCCATCTTTGTCTGCATCGAACTTGTTGAATATTTCCTTATAATCTTCAAAAGAAGTACAAGTAATCGATCTTTTGTTTTCATAAGCATAGATGCTTGTTTAAAGGTGTTATTTGTGTAGTATGTGTTTTTCTCGGTGCCTGAATACACTCATTAAAATAAAAATCAATATTTGAGACTCTTTTTAATACAGTTATATCATACTTTAAAAAACAATAATTTTAAAACGGGCTTATTTCAGCAATATTTAAAAGCATATCAAGATGGTTCTGATGAGCAGAAAATACATGTACGTAAATATTATAAAGAGAAGAGAAAATAGATTGAAAAAAAATCAAATCTGCTATATAAACATAGAAAATAACCTATAAGAACCAAATTATTTAATAAATGGTTGATAATTATCTTATCCTTATTTTAAATAACAATAAATGATAAGTTCTTATACCTTCCCAGTTTGGTGTTGACTCTTTCAAGTTTTCATCTTCAGATATAGAGGTAATGACAGCGTGTGATGGAGCGCGTTGCCTTACTTCCGGAACCTCTTCGTCTAGACTTCCGCCGTCTTCAGTTGTGCTACATTCATCAGTATCTAGTGAGTCGAATTCATTTTTATCAAGAGGAAGTGTACAATCTTCCATTTTAAGATTTTATACAACAAACATTCTAACGTTATGAAAAGTATTTAATTCCAGTAAATGCGTTCCTAAAGAAAGATTTGACACGCACTCGCTTCATTGAAAACGAAAGAAGATCTTTAAAACTTTGACAGTTGAATTGACATACTGTTTATATCATTTTAAATCTTTACATAACACACTTTAGTACTATCGATCGTTTTCTAAAATCATTACAGATTTGACGAATTTTAAATCAAAGGCCTAACATTTGGTGTGAAACCAGACAGTAAAAATACGACCAAATAATAGCTATAGATAAAAGTTGCTAAAAAGGTCATTTTTATAATAAAATTTTTAAAATGTCGACTTTGAAATTCCTGTAACATAAATTTATCAGTGAGTAGCATACCTTGCTTTAAAGATTGATACTCAGAGCAAGCTCTTGATCAGCGAAAAAGTTGGGAGATATAAGCAGGTGATACTGGAATATTACTACATAGATAAGGAAAGTTGAAGATAGAAAAGCTGAAATCATCTTGCTTGTCATACAATCAAGTTGCTACTTGGTTGTCTTTAGTCTGTAAAACAGCTCTTAAACTTAACTTTTCGATTGTAAAAAAAAAGAAAAAAGAAATCTAGAAGATTGCTTTTACAGATATTAAGAACTTTAAAACTCAAGCGTTCAGCTAGCAGATTTTAATTCATTTTCTACTATCACTTTCTTTTCTTGTTTTGATTGTAATAGAACTGATCAATCGTAATTCAAATTTAAAAAATATTTTTGCACTTCTTGTAAAAAAAATATATACATCATCAAGCATGCACAAAAAAGTATGCGTGATTAACTTCTGTGGTTATTTTTATTCCTTTCACGTGTACAGTATGTCTTCAACAGAAATCTGTAAGAAATAAAAAGGTGAAAATTTTCTGAGTTTTAAGTCAACATACAATTTTTTTTCTTTGATACATATGATTGCAAAAAAGATAAAGAAATAAATGAGTACTAAGTAAATAATGCATAAATAATGCATAAAACTCGAACATTTTAGATGCAATACTGTTTGAATTGAGACTGCTTTATCATCAGTTTATACTCATTCAATAAATTACCGATTAAAGTTTTGAGACATTAATGACTCTATCATCCTCGACACCAAAATTCGGTTATGGTATTTTAATTATAACCAAGAAATGTAGCTTTGAAGTAAAAAAAAATTCATGTTCAATTTGTTTACTCATCTGTCTTTTGTGAAGAGTGAAGAAAAACGTTATCTTTCAATCATGTTTAAACAGAGGAATCGTTACAGAGTTTCAATTATCCCGGAGCATGTCTTGGATGCAGAAGTTCACCAAGAAGACTACATTTCGGACACAAAATGTCGAGCAACTCCTCTGATAGTGTTCTGTTTAGGGAGGTTTCAGAATATAAAATTCAGAAGGCTTTGTGGACATTCCTTTCTCCTTTTCTCATTGTTGTCGGAAATGTGGGCAGTCTTCTGTCTGTAATCGTTCTCAATCAGCACAAACTATGTCGATTTAGATCCTCTTCCTTTACATATCTCAAATATCTAGCCCTTGGAGATATTTTATTGTTGAACGGATGTCTGTTTCCAGATTGGATTAACTATGCTTTCAAAGTCAATATTCGAAATTATTCCATTGGTTGTAAGATCCATACCTTTCTTGTCTACTTGTCTACAGACTTTACTAACTGGATTCTGGTTGCAGTCACAGTGGATCGTTGTATTGCCGTTTGCTTACCACTGAAAGCTAGAACATACGATCACTTTAAAATTTGCAAAGCCACTATTACTGCCATCTTTATTGGGATGATTGCTCTAAATGTACACTTATTCTGGAATATGAAAACATCTGACGAAGAGGAACCTTGCGTTGAAGCTAACTACTTCACCTCTGATGTCTGGCCGTGGATAGATTTCTGTGTGTTTTGTGTGCTCCCTTTCCTGATAATGTTCTCCTGTAATATTTTACTTGTCAGAGCCATTACAAAATCCAGGAAAAAAGCTTTTTCGTACAGAGATTCAAAATTTTCTATTACCAATGAGATAAGAAAGGAGAGTCTCACTGCCAGACGATCGTCACACTTGACAAAGTTGCTGCTAACAGTGAGTTCTGTGTTCCTTGTCCTGACGTGTCCAATCATCATCGTAGAACTGCCCAAGTCCCTTTTCGTTGACACTGACTACCAAGGGAAGCAGTTTGCCCAGTATAAATTGGCTTGGACGATTGGAAATATGCTGCAGTATGTGAACAGTGCTGGTCATTTCTTCATGTATTTTTTGACTTGTCCATCCTTTAGAGATGAACTGAGGAGTCTTGTTTGTAAATGTAAAAGAAATTCCACTTTACCAAGAGGGAGGGTCAGTACGGTATCTCTGTCTCACCTCTCTTAAATAAAGAGAGTAATTCGATGGTATATGTAAGTGTTGTGTCAATTTTTATTGGATTCATATTTTCTTTTGTGCAGTTCAAAGGCTGCTAATTTATATGAACTCTCCAAATGTCGCATTTTACCGAAAGAAAAAATAAGCACAATGTTTTGTGATGCCTTATGTTTGATTATGTCATCATTATTACTTATTCTATCTATCATAAACACAAAACACAAGTTTCTTTTTAAGATATTTATTACGTTCAACATTTATTTTTGAAAATTGCTACGTGTTTCATAAAATGATAAAATTAATGAATCCAATGGTTGAAGTTATAGCTGTTCAAGATATATATTTCGATCTCTGGACATTCCAAAGCCATGATTATGACTTAACGAAGAAGCAGGTCTGGTCGACTAATCACTAACGTGATAAATTCTGGCAAAATAAAACAAAATCATTTCAAATTAAATATAGATATTTCAAGTATTGTGTTGTATTTCAACATTTTTTTTTTGCGTAAAAAAATTGCCCAAACCGTACGTAAAGATTATTTTGTATATTTTAAGAAAACGAATGGCTGACAACAGAATCGATACAGAGACAGGGAATTTATATCACAAGTCAAAAAAGCTAGATAGTTTGTGTGACTGTCCTTTAAAGCGTCAAAATGACAGCGTTGTTAGATCTAACTTTTTTTAAATTTAGTATGACATATTTTCTCTCAAAAGAAAAAAATATCAAGACATTGAAATCTTTTTTTATTTACTTATCTTATCTTATGAATATAGATGCAAATGCAGAATTTATTTTTTTCTGTTGACTCATTGAATATTGAAAGAAATAATATTACGAATGAAAGAAGGTCGAAATGGCAATATTATACATACAAAGTACTCACCTTCAAAGTTAATTTTACCGTCTCTATTGCTGTCAATTTCGCTGATCATTCCATCAATTTGTTCTTCGGTCATTTTTTCTCCCATATTTGTCATGACAGTTCTGAGTTCCCCAGCACTGATATAACCACTTTTATTTGTATCAAAGGCTCTGAAGGCCTCCATCAGCTCTGCTTCTTTATCACTGTTTCTAATCTGTTTGGACATTACCTTAATGAAGTCCTCGAATGAGATCTCGCCTTTATCTATATTGAAAATTTGATATATGTAACTTGTAAATAATTGATAAAGAAAATGTAGTCATAATGCATTTAAGGCATTTAAACAAACCTGTAGGATCCACCACTCTAATCATATCTTTGAGTTCTCTGGAAGACGGTTGCTTTCCAATTGTTTTCAGAACATGTTCCAAATTTTTAATACTAATAACACCATTCTCAGATCCATCAAATAAATCAAACACGGCTCTGAACTCTGTGTGTAAAAAAGAGAAGAAAAATTCAGTAGTACATGGTATTTGTAGATGGAGAAAGTTCAATCTATGGACGGCAAAGGTTCAAGAGAAGTATTTTGTAATCTGTTGGTATCATGAAAAAAAATTTCAATGTCTGCCTTTACATTTTCTGACTGCAGTAGATTTGTGATTTTTGACCTTCTAAAACCATTTATATGTGAAAATCGATAAAAAATTATCTTTTCTTAACAAAAAAACGAAAATAATGTAGCTTTGTGCGTGTAATTTTAAGCATCAATACTTCATACCTTCAATTTGTTCTTCACTTAAATTGTCCATTGCAGTTAGAATGTCAAAATCTATGCATTGTCTAGGTTCATCTGTCAATATAAAAAATGCATTTTGCTTTGATTTATCATTTATTGAATTGTATCACATCGAATATTAGCAGAAATGAGATAACATGAGCAAGATTTAATAATTAATCATTTTTAATTGTTTTCTTAATGTACATATGTAAATTGCAATAGTTTCGATGTTTATTACGTTTTGATACTTACGTAAATGAAAAATCCCATTTTTAAGTTCTGGTTTCTGCAAAAACATTGCTTACGATGTTAATTTTTTTTTTGGCTTTAAAATGTAAAGAATGTTTTAATCAACCATAACATGTCTTGATCCAGAAATAATTGTTCCATAATGAAAATAGGAGATAGGGTGTTTTATTTCCCTTAAAGCTTTTTCATTTCATGGAGGTGATCTCTAGTAAAAACACATTATTAAGTTCTTTCTATTTAAATGAACTTACGATCTGAATTTTTAAAAAGCGTGGTTTCATTGTTTGGAATTCGGTATCCATTTATATTCAAAAGTCAAAAAGTTTTCATATTTACGCACTTGATTTATTCAAATAAATTGTCATTTATAGTTAGATTAATTGACCAAACCCTCCTTAATTTTTTTGCCTTTAAAAAGGATACATTTCAAGATAGCAAAATTTTCTGAATGATCAATTCAACTTGGAAATATCGATGTACATATGTACGTATACAATTTTTATATATTTACTCAGAACTTCTAGACATATTACTGCAAATGCAATTTCCAATTCTTTCAAACCTCGGATAATGCCATGGAATACATGTATATAGTTAGTTTACCTGTATGAGAAATGAGAGTTTTCCATAAAGGTAAATAATATCTTCCCAGTTTATATTTGGACTGTACTACTTCACAGACCATTAAGATCATTATCATATATATATTGCCAACTTTTTAACGATACTGGTAGATAATAAAATCTTTAAACATCGATGTATTGACAAAGTAAAGCCTGTTGACACATCTGAAGTAACAAAAGATCCCCTCTGATAAAAAAGACAAAATTTAAAAAGACATTGCAGAGGTGTAAACAAAGGTAAGATCTATGGTGTATCAGAGCTAATAGAATAATGAATATTGAAATTATAGCCAAACCATAGCCCAGCATGAAATATGCATTTTGTAATTGTTATGGAGTTAACTTAAGTGGAAGTCCTATCAAAACTACTTTGATTTATTTTGAAAAAAAAGTAATAAAGGAAGGAAATGTGAGATTAAAAAATATTATTTAAATTAAGATTTAAAATGAAATGAAAGGAGAAGGGTTTTCTGTGGAATTGAATCTCTTGACCCTGTTACTGATATAGATATTTTGATTTCAGGAAGAAAAGATATGAGAATGGTGACGAATGATCCAGTTTCACGATTCAGAATACACAAAAGCAATCACAAGAACCTGTCTGTCCTTGTATATGTCAATCAGTCCTTTGTTAATTGCTGACAGAGTATTTAATTTCACTAACAAATAAACCGTCCATTACATTTCAATTAACCACTTCAAAATACACATTATTCAAAGTTTACTAATTGATTTTACTTTTTTTGTGTTCGATTTTTTAAATATATTTCGTATCACTCAAACATGTTTTAATAGAAATTTCAATTTCTAAATATCATTGTGATAACATAATGCTTATTATATCTATTTCTTAGTTTCCTCTATTTAAAAAATAAAGCAAGATTATGCGCCTCGGGAATAATTTTTACTTTCTTACTGAGAAAATAGAACATACAAGTATGGATCATTGGCAGGCAATTGCGAGGGTAGGCAATGGTGATGAAGTACTTTCAGAAGAATAATGGTGACATGTGTGAGAATGATGTTTATTTGTTTGTATGCTGTTTAACGTCCCTCTCGAGATTTTTTCAATCATAAGGAGAAGCCACCACTTGTCGGTGGAGATCTGCAAATTTCGGGGCCATTGAACAGGGAGAGTTTTTCGTGCCAACACCTACTGCGACACAGGACAGGGTCAAAAAGTCAAAACAAACCCGTATTTAAATTTTTTTCGATCCCTCACGCGATCTTATATATACTGAAGTCGCCTTCGGCAACACTGGGGACCGGTACAGTAAAGTCGTTCCTCATTATGAATTAGAGAAGTTGAAGTGACAATATAACTAGTATAAATAATATTAGTAAAAAAAGTGGAGCAAAAACAATTAATAATAGTACTAGCAGTGACAACAAAGTTTGACGTAATATTGGTTAGAACTAATTGATTGTAGAATTTCCTTAACACCTTTTGTCATGGTAGAAAAACAAGATTTTTATAACTGAAACTAATTTTTAGTTAGCAAAATTAAAAAATGTCTTTTTAAGAAAAGAAAAACAAACATGATACAAAGAAGGAAAAAACCATGCATGTCCATTTATGACGATCAAATATTTTTATTTATATTTCGTACATTATATACAACATGTTACATAATTATCAATGTACAATTATATCAAATGAATATATTTATAATTACCAAGGGTACTGCAAGACGGTACATATCCTCGCAGAGAGCATTTCTAAAATCAAGGCGACATTTGACATTGATTCGGATGTAAATCTCGTAACTTTTGTTTCACACAGAATATAGTATACAAACACACACGCTATTGCGTTACATTATCCCTCCAACTCTGTTGCAAAGTTATACTTATTATGCAGTATATGAAATAAATACATCAACGATGAAACGATTTACGAAATCAGCGTTATAGGTAAATCGATCCGTCAAAAGTTAAAAATTCCAAAACAACCAAATATCTTATCTTTGTAGTCAATTAAGTCTACGGTTATCTCTTCGACTTCATAAGAACTTTAAAATCTAAAACAAAAAATCAAAAAAAAATATCTACATGTATACAGAAAGTTTGTGTTTGATCCAGTTAAATATGGTAGTCATAATATCTTCTTTTTCATAAAATATATTGGCTATAATATACCTATGTAAATCTTTTTTCATCTTGACCACTTTAACAGTAAAAAAAAACATTACAACAACAATAAGACAGTGAATAGCAATGATTTCAGAAAAATAAAATTCTACCTCTTAATACTGTCTTAGCCTACCTTCAAATGTGATTCTACCATCCCCGTCTCTGTCCGCTTCCTTCATCATTTCGTCCACCTCTTCGTCAGTCAGCCTCTCCCCCATGTAGAACATCCCGTACTTTAACTCCTGAGCGTTGATGTAACCGTTTCCACTGCGATCAAAAATACGAAAAGCCTCTCTCATTTCTTCCTCCGTGTCAGTTTTCTTCATTTCTTTGACGATCATTTCGAGAAATTCTTCAAAATCTATAACTCCGTTACCTTCAAAAGAATGTGTTTTGAAATGATGAGGACCAATTCCATTCTTTTTAAAGATTTAATTGAGAGAAAAATATCGCAACAGATGTGCATGCTTAAAAGTGTATATATGTGTCATTGGCAGTTTTGATTAAAAAAAAATATTGTTTAAACATGAAATTATTGTTTAAATATATATATTGCTTTATTTGAAGACTGCATTTGTCATAACCTTAAACAAGAGGCCCAGGGGCCACAGCGCTCACCTGAGCACATCAGGCTTTAATTTAACATCATTTGAACAAACTAGAATCTACACTACCTTAGGATGATTCCATATAAATATCACTAATCATAGCTTTGAAGTACTTGAAAAGAAGATTTAAAAGGTTTCCCTATATATCCCTATGTAAAACTTGGGTATTTTGGCCCCACCCTAGCCCCGGGGGTCATGATTTGAACAAACTTGAATCTACACTACCTGAGGATGATTCCACATGAGTTTCATCTTTCCTGGCCCAGTGGTTCTGGAGAAGAAGATTTTTAAAGATTTTTCCTATATATTCCTATGTAAAATTTTGGTGGCCATTTTGGCCGCACCCTTGCCCCGGGGGTCATGATTTGAACAAACTTGAATCTACACTAGCTGAGGATGATTCCACATGAGTTTCATCTTTCCTGGCCCAGTGGTTCTGGAGAAGAAGATTTTTAAAGATTTTTCCTATATATTCCTATGTAAAACTTTGGTCGGCCATTTTGGCCCCACCCTTGCCCCGGGGGTCATGATTTGAACAAACTTGAATCTACACTACCTGAGGTTGATTTCACATGAGTTTCATCTTTCCTGGGCCAGTGGTTCTGGAGAAGAAGATTTTTAAAGATTTTTCCTATATATTCCTATGTAAAACTTGGGTCGGCCATTTTGGCCCCACCCTTGCCCCGGGGGTCATGATTTGAACAAACTTGAATCTACACTACCTGAGGATGCTTACACATGAGTTTCATCTTTCCTGGCCCAGCGGTTCTGGAGAAGAAGATTTTTTAAAAATGCCATTAATTTTTAACAAATTCATGATTATCTCCCCTTGGAAAAGGGTGTGGCCCTTCATTTGTACAAACCTGAATCCCCTTCACATAAGGATACTTTATGGCAAGTTTGGTTGAAATTGGCCCAGTGGTTCTTGAGAAGAAGACGAAAATGTGAAAAGTTTACAACGACAACGCCGACAACGACGACAACGACGACGACAACAACGACAACGACGACAACGACAGACAACGGACAAATTGTGATCAGAAAAGCTCACTTGAGCCTTTGGCTCAGGTGAGCTAAAAATACGGTTTATGTAACCATGAAAAATCTTTTTTTTTAAATTTTCAATTTCTTACATATTAAATTTAGCATTTTAACAGTCACTGGCAATTTCTGCAACAATTTAAAATTGTGACAGTAAAGTGGTGGAATTTTAACAAGTACCGTCCAGATCTACTTCGTCCACCATTGCTCTGAGCTCTGTGACTGACGGATTCTGACCCAGTGACCTCATTACTATACCTAGCTCCTTCGTATTAATACTGCCATCGTTATCTTTGTCGAAGAGACTGAAAGCCACTCGAAATTCTAAAAAAAAAAAATCAATTATAGTTTTTAAAACAATTTATTTGAGTGGAACTTAACTCAGTATGAAAATAAATTTAAAATTTTGCTTTAATTTCTTGAGTCATTGAAAAAAAAAAACAACGATCTTTTTAATGGAACTTTGCTTATAGCAATTCCGGTTTAGGTTTCATTTTTGAAAGTGCTTTAAGAAGTGTAGACATTATTGACATTTTTACTTACCTTTAATCTGCTCTTCTGATAGCTCGCTGGCCTTAAAATCGACAATAATCAGTGAGTTAAGACATTTATTTATTAATGTATAACAGTTTCAGTAAAATATTTTTAATTTTAGACATCTTTTTTATCTTTTGCGCAAACTGCTCTTACAAGAAATAGAAAACACTCCAAACTTTACTTGATACATAGACATGTTCCACATACGAAATAAAGAAAAGAAATATAAAATAAAATATATTAACAAGACATATATACTTAACATGGAACCCTAAAAATTTCAGAGCGGGTGTCAGGTACCCTCGGAGAAGAAGGTATCATCTAACGAACCTTCACACTTATATGAGCCCATGTACTGATCAGGTATATCTAAAGTATACCAATTCTTAATTTATCCCGAGAATTTGGCTTCTAGTCTCTTAACGTCTGACTCATCATTTCATTGTTATTCTGATTATCTTTTTTATTCTTCTTCATCAATTAATTTTAAAAACTTTTCTTCACTTTACCCTGACGATAGGATGAATGCTAAGTGAAATGTGTGTTGAAAAAGTGTATTGACATTAACAAGGTATACACGTTGCGATCAAAATTTCCAGTACACTTGCCGTAAAGACAACCAGTTTCACAAAGAAGTTAACAAGATTCATGGCCAGAAACAACCTTAGAAATAATCTCTTCTTTGCAACATTTTGGTAAGACAATATGTGCTTTTCAGAGAATGGATAATTTATCTTTTAATAAAACTGCAGAAAATGCTTTCATCATCTATATTTGAATTTTGCACTCAGATTCAGTTTCAGAAGTAACTTACCAATAATTTGAAAAAGGAATAAATTTAACAATTTTTTATGTTTTTTTCTCTAGGTAGAAATTGAAGCAACAAAATAAAAAATATCAACGAGGGAAGGTAAATAAAATTTAACTTACCATTATGAGTAGGACCCTCGTCTCTAGATTCCAGGACCTAGTGGTGTTTACAGAAATGCATTATGAAGAGCGGAGATACCTGTTAAGCAGACACTTGTCACGTGCTTAATATGGTAATAACACTTACTGAAATATAATTCATATTATTATAACAGATCGTCTCTCTTCAACTTCTCTTTAAATATACGAGACCTACACTAGATTCCTCCTCTGTTTATTGACATAAAGATCTCTAATTCTTCTTTCATTCTCACGATTCTTTCACGTCCTTTCATTATAACGCGGATGTCTACTTCTCATTGATTTTCCGATATAGATTTCCCCTGTATGTAAGGCCAGAGCAATTTTTAATAAAGCAGGTAAAATTGGATAATCTGGGAGAGGAATTAAAGGACTTTCATTTACGGAAACGGTTGTTCTTTTCAAATTAATTCAGTTTTGTGTGAATGGAAGTAAAGTGTCATAGACAATAATTATTTCAAAATGACGGAAGTTTCATAATAGAGTGCTTTAATTAATCTTTTAGAATTACATTTGACATGACATTAATGTTGATTCAAAGTCATAAAAAATAAGCAACTTTGATAACCTCCCATGCACCGTTTCAACTGAAATTGGGTTTTAAATATTTTCAATATCGCATTAAAAAGGTTTGAAATGTGTGTAAAATAACTCGTTGTGAGAGTCTGACATGACTGATGAACCCGGTTACACGGTCGAAATATTTCAAAAAGTGATTGAAAGTCTTTATGTATCTTTATATAAATGCATGTAAAACAGATGGTAACAAACATGTCAGTCAACATGTGAAAAAGAATAAAATGATTCTCAAAATCATATTTTTATTTTTTTTTTTAATTCAGATTGTATCGACAACAGAAAACTTCATAGACACTATATCAGCAATTCCACATTCTATTGATTGACCTGCATACACAGGTCCAGATCCTGCCGGAGTACCTGTTAATATGACGTCACCAGACTCCAGTGTGAAGTACTCACTGACGTAAGATATTATTTTCGGGATGGAAAAAATCATATCCGAGGTACTGCTATCTTGCTTCATAACACCGTCAACTTTCAGCCACAGGCCTACATCACTGTAATCTGGAATCTGGTCCTTGGAAACGAAATTGCTTACAGGACAGGAAGTGTCAAATCCTTTGCAAAGAAACCATGGTCTGGATTTTTCTTTGGCCTCGATGTGAAAATCTTTTGCAGTCATGTCAAGGGCCAGTAGGAACCCGCCAATGAAATCATCAGCTTCAGATGGTGAAATCTTTTTACACCTTTTCCTGATGACAATCCCCAACTCCACTTCATGATACAACAATTTACATCCAACAGGTATCTGGAAAAAAAGAGTTGAAAAGTTAAAGTTTTTAATGGAGTCCTCGAATTTTTTTTTATCAACATGTATTTATAAAGATTATGGCAATGAGAAAATGTCGCGTGTCAATAAAAATGTTAGAAGAACATCACATTCCTAATTGCTTCCTCATCATCAGCTTACCAATTGTTTGAAGATATCGAGGTTTGAGACCGTATATTGACTTAATCCATCGTTGCAGCCTTATTCTTGACAAATGCAAATACAGATAACATCTGACATGTGCACTGTATAAACAGGAATATACAATATGTTTCAATAATTTTCAGAATGAAGGCTGTAGAATGGAAATCAAAATTTAAAGACGTGGAAGAAAACATACGAGGTAAGTTGCTGTTTGTTGTGTCTTTGTGTAAAATAGTATTTGGAGAGAGAGAGAGAGAGAGAGATTGTAAAAAAAAAATGGAGATTTTTTTTTTGAAAATTACATAGTGATTGATATTATTTTATGTATTGGATAAAGGAGCTAGGTTAACATGTCCAAGTTGCATCGTATAGGCAAGGTCTATAAAGTCATTGTATTCAATCGAAATTTCACAAACATGAAGCCAAAAAGCGTTTCTATCATCTGACATTGAAATGTTTATTAAGTTTACAGCTGACCCGACTACCTTAATATTCTGACCCTCGGATATGTAGGCGCTTGTTGGTTTCATAAACAGGATTGGTTTTTCTGGGTTGGGTATTCCCTGTGCCGCAGTCAAGCCTCTAAAATAAAGAAACTTTAAAAATAAAGAATAAATTTAAAAAATAGTCTTCGGATACCTAAAGTGACATAATTACAGACACAGGTATATGATCAAAAGGAAGACCTGACAAAAATGTTTCTTAATTTTTTTAAAATTCTGTTTGAGAATAAGATAAAATTCAATGTAAATACAAATAATATCAAGATTCATACTTATTTTACACTCGGGAATCATCATATTGTTATCAAATTGACAATCAGAAATTTTATTTATAAGAACTACAATGCCTCGAATTCTGATGACTTACCTATAGTTTCTGCACACGGCAATGATCTTTTTGCCGTTTTCTTTAAAGTTTGTGTACGTTTCCGACATGATGTATCATTGAAATTATCTTTTTTTTAATATAGGTCAAATTGTTGTCAACAGACAATCAGCTAAATTGAGAGAGATAAGATACACTATTAGATTTGCAAGTTCTAGTTCTTGTCAGAATAAAATAAATTCAATAACGTGTGTTTCCCTTAAGGAGTGATATTTGGTACGTTTCTCAGTAAAATATAAAAAAAAATTGCATAAATTCCCTGTCCATTAAGATGTTAGGGATTTTAGTTTCAAGTCATAGAAATGGTAATCTAAAAGAATACAGGTTTGCCGGAACAGTCCCTTAGGGGATAATAGAATATTTTGCTTTCCTAATTGAACGGAATAGTGAAATTGGTTCACACTTTGAAACACATTCTTAACAGATTTTCTTAAATAATTCAATTTTTACTAAGGGGTTAACGTTTTAGAATATGTTAACTATATAAAAAAAACGCCCATTGATAGTAAAATTGATTAAATAGAAATAGGATTCCCTAACTTTTAGCTAAAAAGAGTTATGAAATTGAAGCTTTTAGAATATAATTATTCAACATGTTACAATAAAAATATTACAAAAATCATTTTCACATTTCAACCATTCCCTTCGATAAATTAAAGTCCATGCTATCAGCTTCTTTTTCAATTAAAAAAATGGAACTCGTTAATTTACACTGCTCGTCATTGGTCATTTGCAAAATTACATGGTTAAAAAATCTGATTCTACACATAAGTACTCTGAAGTTAATATTAAAAAGATGTTTAAAAAGAGATACTTAAGTTTCTGATTGAAAATATCTTTGTAGTTTTGGAAACCAGGTCTAAATTCTAAAAACCTGTCAACCAAATTCCATAAGTACCAATTGCGTCCCTTTATTAGCAGACTAACTTTTCTATTCAAATGAAATATAGAGTTCATTCAAAATTTTAAACAAGGGAAGAAATACTCAGTAAACACTCGCTGTTGCCTTTAACTCGACATACAGATGTATCGTCAACATATTATCAATTAATGATTATTAACATCCATTCACATTCATATGTTCACACAATATATTCCAGTGAACTTGTTAACACAGAGTCTGGCATATCTGTTCATATTTGGATTTGTTACTAGAAAAGACTTATATGGTATCTTGAAAACAAAACTTTCTGATAAACGTGTTGACTTCAGCTTTTCAACCCTCAATTTCCTTAAAATGTGTAATAACATACCCTTACCATATATATGTGAGGTTTAAGTCCCCTAATTCGATAAGCAATAGCATGCTCTATGTACGACAAATTTCTTCAATGAGGCAAGAGAACATTTTGACAAAACAAAGATGTCAACTTTCTCTTTTAAAGCCATCACTTTGCAGGCTCTAGTAAGTAAGAAAGTAAATTTTATTTATAGTCAGACTACATGTATATACATATGTAAGACTCCAAAGTCCGATGGTGACAGTCTTATGGTATTGCCAAACCCCGATGGTCTGCGCCAAACTCCGATGGTTTGTTATCGGTACGGACAAAGTGCGATGGCCACGCCAAAGTCGATGGCTCGTTTCCTGTGAGACGAGCTGCGCTAAATTGCAATGATCTGACACTCCAAGGTCCGATGGTGCGGAGAAACAATCACGATTATGACGTCACAATAATCCGACATCAATCTTTGACGCCGTTGACCTGCATTCAAAAGCCATCATTTCTGAATTCGTCCTCGCAAACAGTTTTATTGATTTTGCTTATTGCTTGCCCCTTTCAGAGGTATTAGGATTAGTCCTCGCCCACCACTCGATTGTTTTGGGTTAGTTATTGCTTTGCACCAACTTGAGTTGTTTAGGATTAGTCCCCGTGCACTGGTCGAGTTTATTAGGGTTGATCTCGCACCCACTCAAGATATCTAAGTTATAGTTGTTACACGCTTTTCGAGTGAATTTAGGATTAGTTATTATTAGGATTACATACCCGATAGATTAGGGTCAGTTTTTGCAAAATATTTATTTATTCTAAAAGACCTTTGTCTGGCGCTCCATTGCAGTTTGCACAGTAGTACTATGACGTCAAAAACATGGTTTTCCGCACCATCAGACTTTGGCGTGTAAAACCATCGGGGTTTATCGCAGCCCATCAGACTTCGGGGTGACCATTGGACTTTAGAGTCCCATCGCACTTTGGAGTCTTACACTTATAACAAAGAACATGAACTTCTGAAGTCGGTACAATGAGCTTGACAATAAATAAAATTTGTCCTTAAGTCGAATGACTTATGCTGATTGTCGTTTTTCATATTCATTGTTAGACTATTATTTACACACTGAATTGCTTACGGATTTTTATATCAGGAGCACACGGCACATATAACCGGTCAGCAGGGGATGCTCATTCCTCCATGGCAACTGACCCCATCTCTAAGGAATTTGAGGTCCGTGTTTCTTCTGCTCCTGAACTGTATTTTAAAATGGACTTTTAAACATTTATACTTTGTTTTCTCTATATTTTGTCATACTGATTCAAAAACTGCGTCATGAGGTCAGAAACATTTTATAAATGCTAAAGTAACTTGAAAAACCCTGAAATCAATTTATTTTGCAAAGTAGGTCAAATGTCAAGGTTAATTTTACTCTAATGCTCTTTTTTTATTTTAATTTTTGACACCTAGTGAACATGCTGAATAGCATAAAACTAATTCTTCAATGTATCAAATATGCTTAATATATTTGCACTTAATTCTATTATCATGAAAATTAGGCTAAAGGTCATGGTTATTGTGCCCATAACCAGGTATTTTACAGAAATCAGCGTGACAAGCAAAATATATCAAATCGTTGTCGAGATATAATGCATGCGAGACAGCCGAACATATCGACAGAATGTCTGATAAAATTATTTTCAAATGTAATTTTGTTCTGTACAAAAATTAAGCATGATTTTTCCCGTCTTTTTACATTTTTTTATTGCATTGGCATTGTGTATAGAATGATTTTTTTTTATTTGAATAATATGTTATTAATTTTTAAGTGTTACTGAGTTTTAAATAATACGAAGAATAATTTTTATATAGATAACGAACAGTATTCAATCTCAAAGTCCATAAAACAATACAAATTAAGAGCAGAGCAAACACGGACCCCCGAAACATCAGAGGTGGGATCAGGTGCCATGGAGGAGTGAGCATCCCCTGCCAACCGGTCACACCCGCCTTGTGCTCCTTGTCATGATCAGGAAATAACAGAAAAAATCCGTCGTCAATTCAGTGTATAAATAATGGACTAACAATTTGTATGAAACCCGTCAGTCAGCATTTGACTCAATGATAAATTGTGTTTGCTGACAAGGTCATTGTATCGACCATAGAACTTACGACATAATGACTTTAAACGAGACTGCTGATATTCTTGTTTCATCAACTTGCTTTCAATAATTTACCTCGTTTCAGAAATTGTTCATACGTAGAGCATGCTCTTGCGTATCGAATCAATTGAGATATATATACTTCGTATGCAGGTGATGAAGGTATATTGCTGCATAAGTACGGGAAGTTGACGATAGAAAAGTTAAAGTCATCATGTTTATCATATAGTTTGGTTGTTAGATTACCATTAGCGTCTTTTTCAAGTAAAATATCCAAGCATGAAACAGAAGTGTCAGACTCTGTGGTATCTTCTACCTCAAGCTCACCAGGATATATCGTATCGACGTAGGAATGGAAATTACCATTGTTAATTGACAATACGTCGTCGATATATCTAAATGTCGAGTTGAAGGCCACAGCAAGTGTTTTCTTCTTTCCACGCATAAGATTTTGCATAAAATCTGCTTTATATGAATATAAAAATAAGTCTGCTAATAACGGAGCGCAGTTTGTACCCATGGAAATTCCAATAGATTGTTGGAATACCTGGTCTCCAAAAAGCACAGAGATATTGTCAATCAGAAACTCAAGCATCTTCTTTATGTCAACTTCAGAGTACCTTTGTGTGCAATCAGAATCTGTTTTAACAAAATAATTTTGCAAATGACCAATGACGAGATAAGTAAATTTACGAGTTCCATTTTTTTTTGAAGAAGCAGCTGTCAATGATATCAAAAAGCCTGAATTTTAATTTGTCGTGGGGAATTGTTGTGTATAAAGTTGAAAAGTCGTAAGTTTTTAAGCTGTTGATTTTTGTAAAGTCTTATGATTTCAGATTGTCCAAGAGTTCTTTAGAATTTTTTAGTATCCACATCTGATTCACACCACTTCTTGAATATATAGTTGCACAGTACTCTTGAAGTTTTTCCTTCACTACTGTCAATATCTTAGTGAAGAGTAACGAAAGAGGCTTGGTTGAAGCTTATTTAAAAATATTCTGTTTATAAATACAGTTGTTTGAAAAACAACAACAATACAAACAAACAACAACAGGGTATTCTTTTATCAAAAATTCAAAAACACTTGCTTATAACCATTGAAGCAATAATAGCAGTCTGTGAGTAGCTTCTTGTCGAATCAAATACTGCTTCAAACTTTGCATCGTGTTGCTTTTTTGTCTGTCTTGGGCTTCTCAAATAGCAAATTGAATTCACATAACGTCAAGTATGAGCCATCAAATTGATGAAATCTGTAAAAAGACAAGTACAAGGTAAAAGGATGAAGTATTCTCTCAGATATTAATTCTGTTCTCCCTGATATATGACATTTTGACAAGTCTCATCACTGATTTTCTTTTTTTTTTCTTCAATATTTTAATATGGTTGTTTCATGCGGTCCTATTTTATTAATAAAATTAAAAATGATTTATACATAGTGTATTCAAATTAAATCTAACTTCTCATTCGACTGTAATCTTTTCGGTAAGAATTTTTTTTGACAGGTTAATGGGATTTCGAGAAACAAAAGTAAACTGAATATAGCCTTTTAAAAACTGCATCCAGTGCCAATGATTGACCTATTTTTCCTTGTCGGCTTTTATCGTGGATGAGAAAGCAGTTTGAACGATGCATTTTTTGGAATCCTAATCAAAATCATACATGAGCTACATCATAGAGTATTTATAGCATCCCAATAAAATGGAATTAAAATACTGTAAAAATCAATCTTATAATGAAAAGTCGTTTATCGATATAAAACGCCGGAGAAAGGATAATAACAAAAAACAATAAGACAATAAGAACCTTTTTGAATAAAATTCCTGGCTTATTTACCTAATCTGAATATAAATGTAATCGATTGAAAGTAAGTGTTCATACCTTATATAACTTCAGTCGGAATTGTTTTATCACTGAAGTGTGGTCGATTGCTCTATTGTGATCTGTTGTCTTTTGGATGTAAATCAAACAAATTTAAATAGTTTTTAGAGGGCAGTTCAATATACAAGAAGTCGGCACATAATTAGAAACACTGCTCATGATGTGGCGGTTTCACGACTCGTACCGAATTGACTGATTTTAATATTTTCACAGGTAAGAAAGGGTTTACATTTGTATTTAGATTTATATGTATATTTCTATATAATTATTTATATTTACATGTACTAGTATTGAAAAAATAGTCAAACTGATTTTTTTTTAAAATTATGTCTGTTGAGGAATACATATAGATCTTCATGCAAAAGCAAAATATTCATTTTAAAAATATGTAATAAATAAATGACCTTGATAATAAAAGTTTTGTAAACTTATAGGTGAATTGTTTCAAGTCATCGTTTCGTAAGTTCGATGGTCAATTCAATAACCTTGTCAGCAACTACAATCTATCATTGAGTCAAATCCTGACTGACGTTTTTTCATACTAATTGTTAGACCATTATTTATGCACTGAATTGACGTCGGATTTTTCCGCTATTAACCGATCATGACAACGAGCACACTCCGAATGTGACCGTTCGGCAGGGGATATTCACTCCTCCATGGTACCTGATCCCACGTTCTGATGTTTTGGAGGTCCGTGTTTGCTCTGTTCCTATTCTGTATTGTTTTATGGACTTTTGAGCTTGAATCTTCTTTATTATCGCCATATATTTCATTATTTCATAAATTGATGCATATATAAAACAAAGCTGATCACGACGCTTGAATACTTGCGGGGTAAAAATACTCATATTTTAAGGTATTGCCTTTTTACAAAGTCGACAAGCAAAATTTATACAGAATGGGTATTTTATAAAAATAAAAACTACTCGCAGTACAGCTTGATAGATTGTGTCATTTGAGATTCTTTTTCAGTGCTGAAAAAGCTGTTTGAGGTTATTGAGAATCTTCTAGAATCCATTTTTTTACTCTTCATCCAGGCTAAGCATTTTTTTCCTTGAAATCTGAGCAGGGATCAATAGTTACAGGCTGAAGTCAATTAAACATGAAAAAAGAATTAGTCTGTCGGGAAAACAACTTTTGTCCAATTTGATTTTTGATCTGCGTTTCATTAATTTGTTTAATTGAAATGAAGCAAAAATGGTCAAACAAATCTAGAGAAATACTATACCAAATCATAAAAACTATACCGAGTCTTCTACTGATACGTGTATGCTGTAGTTTTCACGTTTGTATATCTACTCTCAAAACAATTTGATAAAAGATTTTTAACAAAGAGTTTCTCTTCATTTTGATAATTCAGAAAGGAGGTAAGTAATTAAGAAAATTTTCTAGATATTTTCCACAAAACTGTACAAGCATTTTTATTTTTAATATAATAATTATTATAATATTTATTTAATCCTTTGATATCATTTAATTCTATAATATCTTTAGTTTTATTAGAATATATTCAAACTTTTTTAAAATTTAAGTTTGAAATGAAATTGTAATTTTTTTTTAAAGTTCAAAATTTAAAAAAAAACGCTTGATGTATTAACGATATTTTTTGCATTTAACGGATACCTTGGACTCTTATAAATACATTTTATTCTTACCTTCATAATGTATTTGACCTTCTGTGTGTTCCGCTGACTTGATTATTTCCTCCATCTCTTCTGTACTAAGTTTATCCCCCACTTGTTGTAAAACCTGTCTGAGGTCGTCAGATGATACATAGCCTTTCTTCTCTCGATCATAAACTAAAAACGCTTCCATTAATTCCTCTACAGTTTCTATGGTCTTTACATATTTAGACATTAACAACTGGAAAGATTCATAATCAATGATTCCTTCTCCTAAAACAGACAAAAACAAAATTTAAAGTTATGATAGAAGCAAAGGGGGCTGTTATACCTCTCTCTCTCTCTCTCTCTCTCTCTCTCTCTTGGACTGTGTAAAAATCGTTTTCACTCTTCAAAGATTACTTTAAGTTACCGGTAGTATTTCAAGGACATTGCTGATATAGCCTTACATAAAATTGAATGAATATCTTGTTGCTAGTCACATTACATGTAATTTCAATTTTTCCTTCTTAACAAGATTGTAACAACTGTAAGGAATAATCTAAATATTAGACGCACTATTATGTGTTTATCAGGATGTTAACCAATGTATAATTCTGCTAATGTGAATGACCACGTGTTCTATTGCTGGTTACCACCATTTAAACACCAAAAGGTAGACAAATATAGACAAGGTTATTAATGTAAAGAATTTACTGGTTAAACATTTATTCAATGTACCTTTACATCTTTTTTTCAATGGTCATTATAGTTAATTTATTAATATATAGTTGTCTGTTGGTACCTTCAGAGTCCACCTCATTAATCATGTCCGCTAACTCCTCTTCCGTCGGGCTGTATCCCATAGATCGCATTATGGGGCCTAGCTCCCTAGTGAGCATGATACCCTCCCCGTCCCTATCAAACAGGCTAAAGGCATTTTTGAACACTGAAACACAAAGACATAACGTATTTATTTTACTTCATATCTACTGCACAAAGGATACACTAGGTCATGAAATAATAAGTTGTCAGAAATGTCATTAGCTTAATGAGGTATATTTACGTACTTGCCAGCGTCTCTGGTTTGACTCCTTCTACCTGTTATATAAAGTAGTTGAAAATAAAGGTGAATACACACAAGATCATGTGTTTTATTTACTCTGAGTAAACATACAGGAATTGAATCTATAAGATGAAATAAATAATATATTTGCTTTTTACTAAGGGTTTTCAACATTTGTAAAATACTGCAACGTGAAAGAAACATGACCAGGAACATTACCTAGTGCATCAACAGATCACGATTTAAGAACACAAAATATTAAAAGTCTTCTCATTATTTTGTCCATTGCTCATTTATTTTACAAAGGAAAGTTTCTTTTCAAAACGATACATAGGGTTTAAAAAATAACTAAACAGTGTTAAACGAGGCAAAACTATAGCTCGATAAATAATGTCCTTAATAAAGCACAGGGATCAAGCTGGGAAATGTATCCATAAATACATGTTACGTTGTAAAGCGGGGGGTTAAACTTCAATATTCAACATAATTTACATATTACATAAGATATAGAACACCTACATTTCCTACAGGTTAAAATTAAAAATAAATTTACTTACCATTTTCTTTGGGATCTAAATTAAAGACACTAAATCTGTCAGTCCATTTTAAACTTAAATGTCAAACTTCTCTGCTATTTATATAAAGCATTTACTTTGTTATCTTTAGAAGGAAAAAACAACAAAGAACAAATCTAGCATTGGAAGCGCCAGTATGAGTCGGCAAGGCAGAGTTTTAAACCTTTTGTTTTATGACAAAGCAATCAGACATTTATTATTTACACACAAGCGCGCTTGTATATTCATTAAACAGTTCACGTATATTGCACAAATTGGTTACTTTCCGTGAATTGTTATTGACATAGTTATTGATTAAAAACGCTTAGAAAGGCTGCTTGAAGATTTTGCACAGGATTTTTTTAGTAACATTTCCTTTTTTACCCAAATAAAGGCTAAAAAGGAAAAATGCATAAAGGACACCTTTGTTTTAAAATAAATAATAAAACCTGTCTATATTTGTTCTCTTTGATCATACATTTAAAAATTAACAAGGGCTTCACGTAATTGTTTTATTTTACTTCGCTTGTAGAAAAAAGATGCTATTTATAATTTTGACTGAAAAAAAGTTTTGCATTGATGAAACTGACCTCAAATAAAACAATTTACATAAATCCTTCTCAACAAGGTTATGCAATACTTAGACTGTAACTTCGAATGCAAAATCATTGATATATATTAAAAACAGTTTCATTTAACACAAACTATATATATGATATATGTAATATTTTAGCAACATATTGAATAAATTCTTCCAATTTTTTTTATTGTGTTTTGAGAAGACATAGGATTAATTCTCGGTTTTTACTTACTTATACAGTAATTTATATTCTAAAAGGTTTGAAACTGTCATAGCTCCAGGATATAGGTTGTTGCTGAATCAATGCCTTATATATTATGCATTTTTGCTCTCTGGGGAAAAAATTAAAAAGCAGCATTTATATCTGTTACAAAACGTATATGTCAAATATTACTATAATTTTTTTCATGGAACTAATAAAAGTTTACCGTAGAAATACAGTAAAACCAGCTGTTTTATAAAAAAAGTGATTCATGGGCAGAGTATGAGCTCAAACATTGAATTGTTTTGTTTGAGGTTGCATTGTTACAATAGAGTCGATGATTAATTGATAGTCTTTGGTCTTCTGAGTATCAATGTGCTCTGTCAGCTTGCATTTCAAGTTTCTGAATCGCTCTTTGAGTCCGCAATAAATTTTAAAGTTATTGATTGAGGCTGACATGGTTGGTTTATGTTTAGTGTTAATTCCCGGAAAATAGTAATGTATAAATATTTGTCAAGTTCTTCATCCCCAAGATTGATACATTCCGTGGGACTACAGAGGGAGAGAAATGGTTTGTATTTTAATGATATGGAAATAGTTACGTGATTTATCAGCAACCATGACAAATAATTGTCTGATTATTAGATGTTTTAGCAAGCTATTATTTTCGTTGCCTAAGAGCTTTAAAACAAATTCTCTAAGTCGTAAAGGAATTTTAGGTGAATGTTTGGTTTACTTTCAGGCATCCAATAAATACGTGCGTTACAAGAAAGTGATGCAGTCTTTGTGTCCCTCGGAAGTTGATAGTATGTAAATTAATTCACTCTTAATTCATCTTTTACATCCTGGGAAAGTTTCGACTAAATGGTCCAAGCAAAATTTCTTCTTGATAATGAAGTTTTCTATGGTTTTCCCTTCCTTTTACATGTATATTCAGTTTAAAATCCATTCACTGAGACTGAGGCCGAAACTTTCTCTTTGCATGAAGAATATTTTTATGCATTATTTTATGTGAGAATTGTAAATTTTATAAAATGCATAGTTTGCTGATGGCACAAATGCCATCCTTCATAAAGTAAGCAAAAAATAAAGAAAATTAATTAATAATTCTCTCCAAATGAAAAATTCAATAGATTCATCTTGCTCAACACAAGGATACCTTCAAATGTTTAGTTAAAAAATCAAATGTGAATCTCGTTTCATGCATTAATTACATTTATTACATTAATAATAGAGGTAAATTCTGAACAGTGCATCGAAATGTTTACCGAAATGAGCATCCATAGGTCAGCGATCAGTCAAAATTTATACTCTAACATAAATTTGATATGTCTATGCCCATAAGAATCGGTGCATTGGGTTATTTTTTGAGAATTAAATAAAAAGATTCCTATGTATTTCATCAGTGTACAGAGAGGCCTTTAGTTTCTTTGACAAAACGAAGAAAGGGTACATAGTGGCGGAGGACTTTGAGCGAGCCCTAACAAGGATAAATCAGATCAATCAAACCCCCACCACCAGGGAAGAGGCTGAAAGTCTCGTCAAGGAGTATGATGTCAACGGTAAAACAGAAAGGCTTCATTTTGTCTGATCAAATTTCATAACTAGTTTTATCTGCAATCAAATATGAAACTTTAATATGGTTCAAAAGTATACAACTCTAAATGAATCACTTTAGAAAACATAGGATGTAATTGAGCAGAAATTTCTTGTTTAATCAACACGAGTTTATAACTTTATATACTGTACATACTCGTTCTTTGTAACTATAATTTACCCATGTTTCCTTGATGGTGTTTATAATCTCTCCTCTCCTAGTATTAATGTTTAACTTATTTTTAATACAGGTGATGGCAAAATAACTTTTGAGGAATTAGTCGTATCTATTGTAAAACGGTTAGAAACAAAGGACAAGGACTCCGAACTTCAGAAACTGTTTAAGAATTTCGATTCTGACAATGACGGCGCACTCAACAAGGAGGAACTAGTCGCTCTGCTAGGCTCTTTAGACGACAAAGTATCAGCCACAGACATCGAGGAAATTGTAGCAGATTTTGAAGAAAATGAATCGGGTTTAATGCAATACAACGGTAAGATGTCGCCAGTTAGTTATTGATTTTCATCTAGAATGCGATTCATCATCGTCAGTTTATAGGTAAATTAAAAATATACTCTCAGTCTACATGTCAGTCGATAAAATTAATTGGAATCAAAGGCTTGTTTTATCGCATAAATGTGAAAGTATCTACCAAAGTCTATCAAATATTTATTCGTTGATGAATTCCAATGGAACAGCGAAGTGTATTAATATAGAAAAATAGACGTTCATTGATTAGCTTAAAAGGTTAAACAAGTCTTTGAAAGCCCATTTTATGACCATGTAGCTGCTGATACATGTAATTAAAACATTTCGCATCTTATCGTACGTGTTTTATATTGGAGAGAGAGAGAGAGAGAAATGGGCTCAATATCTGCCGAAAAATTCGAAGAACGTTTATTCCAAAATTTATACCATAGGGACATTTGTTCTCTATTTCAGGAAAAAGAAACCAAGTATTTCTTCTTAAACATTTTGCAAAGGGGTGAATCCTTATTTCATTGGGAGGGGACTATGGGCTCAAAGTTTTTCGAGAATATTTGAGCATAAATTGACTAATTAGTCGACTACTCAAGATCAATCTCTAGAATAATTCTTTTTTCATGAAAAGTTTTGGATGTTTATTTTCGGTTTGAACATTTTCTTTCTTTAAAATTTTTAAACTCATTCAATATTTAATCTTTTCTATTCTGTAATTTCACGAAACGACATGATATATTCCAATCCAGAAAACAGGATGAAGATTGACTCTTACTATAGCATTTAAACAGTGTATTTATCAGGCATTAATCTCATGTTTTTCATTGTTGTTGCGTTCTGTAATTTTTAAAATAAATAATTGTATTTTGTATTCTTTATTGTAGACTTTTCAAAAATAATGAAACAGCTTGTTTGAAAGGATCTTACACAGATTTTCCATGAAAAAAAGTTTCACTTCAAGTCTTTAAAGACGCTCCTGATTTAAAGAATATTTGCTCTACAGACTGGTCCGAATGCAGAATTATCTGGTTATGAAGAGTAATAAAAATGAACAACGAACGAATACTGAACTATATATATATATATATATATATATATATATATATATATATATATATATATATATATATATATATATATATATATATATATTGACTGCTAAGACTTAGTTAAGATTACTTTTGCTTTCTGCATTGTATTTGTTAGAGTGGCTTATTTATTTAATTCATTGTTTGACAAAAAAACTTTTTGTTATTATTTTATTATTTTAAACGTTGTTAGAAATTAATAAGTATATTGGTTATAAATATGGAACATTTATCTTCAAAACATATATAGAGAAGATGCACGAGGGCTGTTCAATAAATGTCCTGAACTCTATGACATACAATACAGATATCATATGGCATTAAACTTAACTTTCTCTCATGACTAAATCTAATGAATTGACTTCAGTTCATGTGACCACTTTTCATCTCATATTTTCATTGTGAGAAGCTGGAAAACAAGGGCTATTCGAGACACTGCACGAGGACTGTTTAAAAAATGTCACCGATGCTCGGAAAGAAACAATAAACGCTTTTCGATGATTTAGTCTTAGTGATTTCGCTTCAATATTCTCAATAAATTAAGACACATGTCCGCAGCATTTTGAATCCAATTTCTAATTGTTTTAGAACACATTTTTGAGTATATGGCCCTTCGTATACTGGAATATGGCAGATCCGACAATTTCATGTATTTTTTTCTTTCTGAAAGGTGTGTTTTTTTCTTTCAAATTTTGGAAATGAAACAAGTCAAAGGTTAAAGGTTCTGGCGAATATTGTTGGTGTGACAAAACATTAACTTTCTGTTTATCCCCAAAACTCCTTCACTCTTCATAGCCCGTGGGTTTGGACGCTGTCATGAAAAAAATGTAGTGGTTTCCTAATTCTGGTTCCTTCCTCTCATAAACTTTCCGCTGTTTTTAGCAAAAAAATTGCTTTCTAGACTTCTCCAAAAATTGAACTGCCTCCCCGAATAAGAATTTGAACAACAAGACCACTGATATTTAAGAAAATAGCATATAAAACTGTTTTTGTGCTCTTGCAATTCTTTGCTCTTCTCAGGCCTTTGCTGTTTTAGTAGGTGCATCTTATTGTTTTGTTTTGAGGGTTTAAATCAATGGATTCAAGTTTCATTATCTGTTTGAATTTCAGACAAATGTGGATAAGGCAATTTTTGATTTTTAAAAATAACTGTTTAGATATTCTTACAAGCTGTCGTTTTACCCATTTTTCAGAATACAGGGTGACCTTTGAGTATTAAGCTTTTTTTATGTCAAATGTGTCTTTAAAAAAATGTGAATTACTTCCAAAATGATGCCTATCAAATTTGCTGTGTGTCGAAAAGTCAACCAAATATAATCAGTGATTTGTTGAATTTTCGAAAACAGTGTAATGGTTTTTGTAAGTCCTTGTCGTCAAGGACGGCACCCACTTTAATTTTGATGCCCATTATATCACTTTTGTTTATTGAAATCGACCTGCTCATGTGTATATAAAACAGACATTGGATACTGTAAATTTCACATATTTCAGTTAATATTTCTGTGGGTTTCTGAACAAGTTTTACAGCAGCTTTCATGAAGCGTTTAATTTGACTGTGGTTTACTGATTCTTTACCATGAAATTTCATATTTAATGCAGTGTCTTGAATAGCCCTTGTTTTCCAACTTTCCAACAATGAAAGTATATGTGATGAAAAGTGGTCACATAGACTGTTATCAAATCATTAAAGATTCAATTATGATAGAAACCCAAGCTTAATGCCATATGATTTCTATGTTATATGTCATCGAGCTCATGACATTATTTATTGAACGCTGCATTGAAAATGAATGGTAAAGAATCAGTAAACTAGAGTGAAATTAAAAAACGCTTCATTAAAGCTGCTGTAAAACTTGTTAAGATGCACTGAAATATGTGAAATTTTCAGCAATCAATGTCTGTTTTATAGACACATGAGCAGGTCGATTTCAATGAACAATATTGATATAATGGGCATCAAAAATGGGTACCGTCCTTGGATCAAAGACTTACAACAACCAATGTTCTTTTTGCCAAAATTCAACAAGTCATCACTTATGATGTTTGATTGACTTTAAGACACATAACAAATTTGATAGGCAAATTGGGAATAGTTCCCACTATTTTAAAGAAATATTTGACAGTAAAAAAGCTTTGTACTCAATGATCATCCTATGCTTTAAAAAATGAGTGAAAACGATAGCGTATTAGAATATCTAAGCAATTATTTTAAAAAATCAAAAATTATAGTTATCAATATTTGTCTGAAATTCAAACAGATAATGAAACTTGAATCCATTGCTTTAAACCCTCAAAACAAATTCATAATAAGATGCACTTGACAAAAACAGCAAAGGTCTGAAAAGAGTAAAGAATTGAAAGAGGACAAAGTTAGTTTTTATATGCCATTTTCCTAAATATTAGTGGTCTTGTTGTTCAGATTCCTATTTTGGGAGGCAGTTCAATTTCTGGAGGAGTCTAGAAAGCAAAATTTTTGCAAAATATCGAAAGGTTTATGAGAGGAAGGAACCAGAATCAGGAATCCACTACATTTTTTTTTTCATGACAGCGTCCAAACCCACACTCTCTGTAGAGTAAAGGTGTGTCAGGGATAAACAGAAAGTTAATGTTTTGTCAAAACAACAATATTCGCCAGATCTGTCACCCTTTGACTTGGCTCATTTTCCAAACTTAAAAAAAACACCTTTCAGAAAGAAGAAACAAATCCAGGAAATCATAGGATCTGCCATATTCCAATATACGCAGGGACATACTCAAAAATGAGTTCTAAAAACAATCAGTTAAAAAATGTTATGGATATATGTTTTAATTCAAAGAGAATATTTACGTTAAATCATTAAGACTAAATCATTGAAAAGTCTTGCTTCTTTCCGAGAACCCAGGACATTATTTATTGAACAGCCCTCGTATTTTTGGTGCAACTAAAGAATGTTATATCAATCACAACATTTTTGTTATTTGAATAGCAATGAAATAGACGATGTTTTCACTTTTAATGGGGGAAATGATTTAGGAGCACTAAAATCTCGATCTACCCTATGTATACATGATTTCTAAATGCCATAAAATCCCTTATGAACAAAGAAACCTCACCAGGTCCTACAAGTGTTTACAGGCCCCTTACTCCCAATTCAAAATTATTTCTTCACAAAATTTTGCATTTGATAAAATTCCAACCTGGATCCCCAAACGTTTTTACCAAACAATAATTTACCTTGAACACAAACTTTTCCACTTTATATTTCTTCTGAGAAAGCAAAACTGAGATCAAAACTGACCTCGTTTATGTTTTATTGCTCCGAAGCCAGGTCCCAACATGTTAAGATATTACTGTATAGGGATTATCCAAGAATTACCAAAAGGGTTAATTTTTCCCTATCTTTACTCCACGTTCTCAAAATGGTAGGAGGTGCTAGCCAGTTTACTGGGCTATAGCAGGAAGCAATGTAAAACAAATATTCTCAAAAAATCCAAAAGACCTTTAAGAACATTTAAAATCACCCAAATTTTAGAAGCCAGAAATTTCTAAAAGTTTGACTTTTCTACACTTTATACAACTATTCCTCACAAAGAATTAAAGACAAAGGTTTTATCAAAGACAATTGTTTCTAAAAATGGAAATCGGAATATGTCTTGTTATTGGTTATAAATTTCCATAGTTAAAAATCAATGGATCTGCCATATTCCAGTATACGAAGGGCTACACTCAAAAATGTGTTGGATTGATTTCCTGGACCTGTTTCTCATTTTTGAAAAGTCGATTTTTTCGAGTTTGGAAAATAAAGCAAGTCCTATTGTGAAAGATCTGGCGAATATTGTTGGTGTGTCAAATCATTAACTTTCTGTTTATCCCCAAAAACTCCTTCAATCTCCAGGGTGTGCATTTGGGTTTGGACGCTGTTATGAAGAAATTTAATGTATTGCATTCCTGATTCTGGTTTCATCCTCTCATAAACCTATCGATTTTTTTTTTTGGTTACAAAAATCTAATTTTTTAGACTCCAGAAATTGAAAACTAATATTTAAGAGGATGCCATATAAAACTGTCTTTGTGCTCTTGCAATTCTTTGCTGTTCTCAAGTGCATCTTATTGTGTTGTTTTGAGGGTTTAAAACAATGCAATCAAGTTTCAATATCTGTTTGCATTTCAGACAAACGTAAATAACTACAATTTCTAATTTTTTAAGAATTATTGTTTTGACATTCTTACACGCTGTCGTTTTCACTCATTTTTCAAATTATAGGGTGACCATTGAGATCTAAGCTTTTTATGTTACATGTTTCTTTTAAAGGTACTTGGACACAGATTTGAAGTCAATATTTTTCTATAATATTACGACATATACTTTAATAGCATTTCACACAAAAATTAATTAAAAATCTTATTTCATTTAAAAGGTATTAAAACTTCAAATTTTTTGGCGGGTTTGATTGACACATCCTTGCACTTTCACAAATCTTTACCTTATTCTTAATCCTAAGGAAAAGTCGCAATTTTGTTCTGTATTAATGAGAAATATTAAAACTTTTATCCAGAAAAGTAATTTTATTCAGAGTAGAAATGTTAGAAAGCAAAACTCCTTCACAAGTATCGTCATTCCGAACTAAGACTTGCGTACAGATTTTAGCAAATCAAGCACACCCGTGTTATGTACACAGTTTTTGTAAACACGGCTCGAGTTCTGTTATTGTTTATGTTTACAATTCACCGGGTGCGTTCAATCGTCACAGTCTGCTTACCACAACTGCACGGACTGACAATATATTGTGTGTTTGTTTTGCTTTCGAACATGTCTACTCTGAATTTTCTGGATTATAGTATTAATATTTTTCGTTTTTACAAAACGAGATTGCCACTTTTCCTAAGGATTAAGAATAAAATTAATTTGTGAAAGTGCAAGGATTTGTCAATCAAACCCGCCAAAAAATTTGAAATTTTAATATCTTTTATATGAAATAAGATTTTTAATT